CCCCAAGTCCCAAGCGACCCAATGCCAAATGGCGCCAAGTCAGGAAAAGGCTCCCCAACCGGAAGACACAGAGACCAGTAGTATCCATGTCGCCGAGACTGAGGGCGGCCTGCACCGTCGCCTCGACAATCGACAGATCCAACTTATCGCCGCTGGTGGTTCGATCGGTACGGCGCTTTTCATCAGCATTGGCGGAGGTCTCGCCAAGGGCGGCCCGGCTAGTCTTCTGCTCGCCTACACTCTCTACTCCGGCGTCCTCGCCCTCGTGAATAACTCCATCGCCGAGATGAATACCTACATGCCGCTGCCGGGAGGCTTTATCCGCCTCGCGGGCTACTGGGTGGATGATGCCTTGGGCTTTGTCGCCGGCTGGAATTTCTTCTTCTACGAGGCGTTGCTGATTCCATTCGAGATTACGGCTCTCAGCTTGGTCATGTCTTTCTGGAATAGCAATGTCACGGAGCCCGGCCCAACCGCTGGTGTCTGTGTTGCGGTCATTATATGCTATGCGTAAGGGCCATTCTTTCGGACGGATATCTTAAATCAATGACTCTTACGTCTTGGGATTATTGATTTCCCCCTTTTGCCAGGAGTGCTAGGCATCGTGTGCTAACTCATATCCATAGCGTTCTCAATATTCTCGCGGTGCGAATGTACGGAGAGGCGGAATTCTGGCTGTCCGGGGGGAAGCTCATTCTCGTCTTTATCCTCTTCTCGTTTACATTTATCACGATGGTCGGCGGGAATCCCCAGCATGACGCGTATGGCTTTCGCTACTGGAAGAACCCCGGTGCTTTTGCCGAGTTCCATACCACGGGAAGCCTGGGTCGTTTTGAAGGCTTTCTTGGCGCTCTTTGGAGCGCCGCCTTCTGCGTGGTCGGCCCCGAGTATATCTCGATGGTGGCCGCGGAGGCGAAACGCCCCAGGACATACATCAAGTCCGCCTTCAAGACCGTCTACTATCGATTTTGCATCTTCTTCATCGTCGGAGCACTGGCGGTTGGAATCGTAGTATCCTACAAGGACCCAGCCCTGGTCGAGATCTACTTCGGCAGCGGTGGTGGCAGTGGCACGGCAGCAGCCTCGCCCTATGTCATTGCGATGGAGAACCTCGGGGTCAGTGTCCTCCCGCACATCGTGAACGCATTGATCTTCACCTCCATCTTTTCTGCGGGCAACACGTATACATACTGCGCGACGCGATCACTATATAGTTTGGCCCTCGAAGGCCGCGCTCCCCGCTTTCTCCGTTACTGTAACAAGAGTGGCGTACCGATCTATTGCTTCTGTGTCGTCATGCTGTTCCCCTTACTTTCATTCCTCCAGGTCAGCAACGGTTCCGCAAAGGTCCTAACATGGCTCGTGAACATCATGACCGGCGGTGGCTTGATTACCTTCCTCATTATATCCATCACATACCTCAACTTCTATAGGGCCTGTCAAGTCCAAGGAGTGGACCGCAAGACCCTACCGTACTGCGGATGGTTCCAGCCTTACGGGGCTTGTATTGCCCTCTTCATTCAAACCCTTGTCCTCATATTCTATGGATACAGCTCCTTCACCCCGTGGAGCGTCGCCAACTTTTTCTCTAATTATACCATGCAGCTTGTGGCCCCTTGCTTCTTCATCGGCTGGAAGTTGATCAAGCGAACGCGCTATGTCCGACCCCATGAAGTCGACCTAGTCTGGGAGAAGCCCGCCATCGATGCGTACGAAGAATCATATACTACGCCCCCGACCGGTTTCTGGGAGGAGATGGGTCACCTCGTGGGCATCCGGCGCAAGGCCAAGGCGCAGATGAACGCCTAGCTAAGCCACTGCCACAAATTGGAAGCCCCAGATGCAACGTAAGTAGTGTAGAGATCCCAAATGCGCAATCAACACTCGGACTCGGAGAATGCCCATGCTACCTATGCGCCCACCAACCCATTATGCACACATGCGATTGCGCTATTTTGAATCCCACCCTTCGCAACCTCTATACGCCTGATACCCTCGATGCCCTCTCGAACTTGCCCTCGCAAACGTGCCCTCGCAAACGTGCCCTGTCGAACGTTGCCCTGTCGAACGTTGCCCTGTCGAATGCGCCCTCTCGACGTGCCCTCGCGGTCAAATAATAGAACGGATGGAGGAATACGTCGTCGCCTGAGACGCTGGATTTTGGTAGTGGTGGCTCCGAGTTGTATGGATGAAGGCTATCGTGTCACACACTGTATACTAAGTATGAACACTCAAATCTGGGACTGCCTTACAAGTGCTATATCCACAGGAGTCTTTGGTATTGACTTGGCCGGGAACAGATGCATGATATTATGAAAGATGTAGGCGCTGGAAAGCAATATTCAATTCCTCATCTACGAGAGTATACAGCATCAGTACCTCCAGCTCGGTTAAAACCGCATCACCCCGAAAAGGACCGTCTAGCCTGCCGAGCATAAAGCCCCACGCGCAGCCAAACCGATGATATGGGAACGTCTCCGTCACGAAGTCTCCCCGAGTTGAAGCCCATCACAGATAACATAAATTCCATCGCGACATTCGCATCCTACTCCCACCGCCGCCTCTTGTAATCAGGTAGATATCGATGAGAAAGGGTAGGTCTAGGGATCTCTTATTCCCACATTATACAGAAGTATCACATGGTGTATCTTTTTCACAGCTCCAGCACTCCGCTTCATACAGACTCCGGTGCGCACAGGTGCGTCCGATGCAACTGATATAATGAACGCCTGAACGCCCAGCGCCAATTTCGACAGTTTCGACAGTTTCGGCGGGAAGATTCGATGTCAGAGGAACAAACGCAGTCTCTGATCTTTCCGGAATGAGAATGCGGCAGAGTGCTAGAAGATATAATCCGACACAGATAGCCAGTTTGGAATCAGTCTAGAGCTCCATGACAGAGCAATTTCCCAGTAATACAGGGGGTGGACTTCTTTCAACGCAACGAAAAGGTCAGGCGGGAGCTAATTCGAATATCAGGCAAGGAGAATACATTCACGAAGGGCTCGTGCGATTGTGCTGAGGATAAATATGTATTATTCGGATCTCTTCTCGTACCATAGTCAATTTACTTTCCTTGAACCCAGGCCTCTATATTTACAACCGACACGTCTTGCCCTTTTACGTCCCACCTACTAACCAATATGCGGGCTGGCTTCGCCTTGCTTATTTTCTATTTGTGATTTGCACCTATACGGTTAAGCCCGAAAAGAGGCACTCCCCATAGGAGATCACTTACTCCCCACTCTAACCAGTAGATGTAGGTGCTTATCACAAACTAATATTGATCATGGAGGACTGATAGTTGCTGCTTTGGACAATGAGCAACCTCTACTCACAATTGGCGGCCATCAGATGCGTGGCAACGTCTCGCTAGGAGGTCTCAAGGCATTTAGGAGATGTTGCAAAGGCATTGACGCAATAGGTGGATATTATAGAGGAGTGGGGGGGAAGGGGAATGGCTTACCTTTGACAGCTCGGCGCATGTAATAGCCATGTGAAGTTCAGCTGAGTATTTTCTGTTCATTTACCATCGTGGGCCGTTTCGTTGAGAGTTATCTACCCATGTTTTGCACCGAATGTACGTACCGAAACTACGTCTCCCTGTGCGAATTCTGTTTTGGCAGGGGAGAGGCGAGAGAAGGGCGTGTCCTTTGGGATGCTCTTATCAAACATTAGAGGAAGCACAGTACGGTGTTCATCTCTATCACATATCATAGGCAACCATCTCTACTCTTAATAAACGTAGGGCAAATGATGTAATACCACCACCTAGAGTTGCTCAACCCCATTGGATCACCCGCCCCGTTGCCCAGATCCGGATTGAATGGATTCTTTCAATGCCCCTCCTATTCTTTGTACCGCTTTCCTTGGCTTGTGGTGGCATCGGAACGGTTGGTCTCTTAAATAAACCCGTCTACCAGCATCCGTTGTCTATCAGTGTTTATAACTGAGACGGCTGCTCTCTCTGTCTTTGTGGGGGAATCAATTCGGGCCCGGTCTACCTAACATGGGTATCTAACGTGGGCCAAGTCTTCCTTCAGTATCTGTTTCTTTTCCTTGCTTTAACACACCAAGTATCCTCCCACCTAGCGCTCAATGGACTCAAGTACTGACACAGATAGTCTTCCAAACAATATATCGACGGATGGTCGTTAGACTTTGTAGAAGGGTAGGTACACTCAAGTACGAGGGGAGTAGTCGAAGAAGATAACCCACGGAAGCTGGCCGGACTTAATCGGCGATAAAGAATCCGCCCTTCCTTGCTACCTACTGTTAGCATTATGAAGATGCTCGGTTCCATGGCTACCTTGATTACTATACTTAAGATTAATTTACGAAGTACATATAGTCCAGGCGGAAGGGATGAGAGAACATATTATGAAGATGTCCTGGAACAGCCAAATCACAAGTATCCACTGATCTGCTCTTCATTCCACTGCCAAAATCTCTCACAGGTAGCAGGGTCAAAGAGGTCCTTGCGGGCGGCCACTACTTTTCCTGGGGGAATAACTATCGCGGATGTTAGACTCGCGATGTAAGAACGATTGTTAAAGTTAGACTCACTCCATGTTCCAGTACTTGAGCAATCGACATCGGGCTGAAGCCCTGCGTAAAGCTCTGTGTACGCGCCTACCTCTGCTGGTTGTGCTATCAACTTCTATTCAAAGGGTCAGCTCTGATCGCCCTGGCAAGTAGGCCAAACTCACAACTAAAGCGATCATCCACCATGGCATGCTTCGCTGTAGGTCTGTGATCGCAGCTCCAGGATCAAGAGTCTGCCCTGAATGAGAAACAGGTGCGTCAAGAGTTATTACTCTGCAGACTTACCAGGCTGCGGACACCGTCCGCCTTAGAACGCCGCGCAAGCTCCACCGCAAGTAAGACATTCTCAGCCTTACTTCTGGCATACTTTTTCCATGCCCTTTCATCAATGTGGTAATCCAAATTGGACCAATCGATCGCCGGATTAGGAGCGAATCTGGCAGCCGACGATGATACCCATACAACTCGAACGGAGTTTGCGGGAGACGCTGCAGCTGTTTGGGCGAGAACCGGGTACAGAAGCTTAGTGAACATGAATGGACCTACAACGTTTGTCCCTAGTTGGAGCTCGTAGCCCTGAGCGGTTTGGGAGCCCTGCGGTGGAATCATGACTCCGGCGTTGTTCCAAAGAACGTGGAGTTGGGACTCCTTCGCTAGGAATTGCTCGGCTGAGTGCTTTATAGTCGACAGGTCGCTGAGATCCAGATGCAGATAGTGCATTTGTCCGTCTGATTCCGGGAAGCGTTGCTTTATATCGTTTATTACGCTTTTCGCTTTCGAAGCGTTACGGGCGGCCATATATATATTGCCGCCGTGTTGATAGAGAATTGACACGAGGTGCATGCCATATCCCGATGTGGCACCAGTCACAATGAAGGTCTGTTTTGCAGGCGCGGTGAGTGTGTCAACCGTATTCTAGAAGATATTGGCCTACCTTGCCCTTTTGGCTCCCCAGATTGAATCCGGTCAGGGGAGGCTTTGGAGAAGAAAGGAATGGACCCATGATTGGGGAATGAATGGGCAGCAATAGAAGTCAGTCGATTTGAAGTTGGCTATAGAGCTATGATTGTTCTCAATGCTAGCGGCAGGTACCGGCATTGATATAGGTCTCCTTCTCTGTACATTTTCATATCTGCCAAGAAGGGAATGGGTCGGGCATTAAGGTTGGTGCATTTTTATTGGACGGTGAAGTTAGCTTTTGGCTCCAGCTAAGAGTTCTAAGTTCTCGGGATAGTATCCACATATGAAGTACTCAATCAAGCGATTAGATCAAATCTCAGTATGTGAAAGAAACGTGTAATATAGTAGTAGAAGTAGTAGTATCAATGAATAGTACACTCCCAATCAGCTGACTTCTACGAGGGGCTCCTGTATAAAGAAGGCGGTGATCGGTGGCAGTATAGAGAGAGAGAGGTTATGACGTCGGTGGATCTGAGAGCATTTTCCGCGATTCAAAACGCTGCGCACGAAATCAGAGGAAATCCAAGGAACGGCTCCACTACGTCATATACATTCCTACCCTATGCACGCTTCTATAAGATTCGCCGAAATGGCTGATGATGCCAGGAACCAGTCGATGAGATCGGGGAAAACATGAAACTCCACCTCACAAGCACTACTTACTCCAAGTGAATACTACTAGTCTAATCGATCGATAGGGGATCCAATACCATCATTTAAATGTATATCTACTATACAGCCGAAGAATAATGGAGTCTCGCGGCAGCTCGGAAGGAGGACGGGAAGGTGGTCCTCGAAAATATGCCTACAATCGCGAGGGCGCCCGGGAGAGAGAGATGCACCTGTAACCAAATCCTTATCCTCCTGTCAAACAGAGCTCTAACGGTGCTATGATCTAGCTATCTTCCATATTGGGGATTTTCTGATTCTGAGAAATATGCCCAGCAATCCATTGGAAACCATCCGAATCTCTCACGCGATAATGTGCTCACTGTCTTTGCGCAACTCGCGACGCTGCGAATGAACGCCCAGCGAGCCTTAATATCGCTCTTTGATAAGACCACACAGCACATTGTCGCCGAAGCGACTCCAAGACTCCACCTGCGAGGTGCCGAATGCGATGAGCCATCAGATAGCCTGTGGTTGGGGGTTCGTCGTCTCCCACGTCGGGAGATCACCATGTGCTACCATGCGGTAAACTCATTTATCGAGGACGGCCGGGACATGTTCGTTGCCACGGATCTGACACACGACGGGCGTTTCAAGAATCACCCCTCTGTTACGGGGTATCCGTATAACAGATTCTACGTATCGGTGCCGATTCAGTCCCCAGATACATACGTCATTGGGAGTGTGGCCGTACTCGACGACAGCCCGAGGGACGGGGTCACCGACGAACAGGCCCGCTTCTTAAAGGACCTCTCCGCATCAGTCATGGATCATTTACTATCGCAAAGAGCCATGCGGGAGGAGTACCGCGAGGAAAAGATGGTCAGGGCGTTAGGATTGTTTGTAAGAGGTAAGTCGAACCTGAGCGAATGGTTCAACAGCCGTGATCCGTCAGAAAGAAAGTACGGACCACAGCTCGCACATGTAAACAAGCAACTGGAGCGTCTGCAGGTATCGGGCACAGGTAGCGAAGAGCAGGAGGCCCAGGAAAACCAGACGCCTCAGGCTGCAAGGACAGACAAAGAGGCTAGACACAAGAATGTACATCTATCCCCCGTTCAGAAATTTGACAATCAGGAAAGTAAGGAGGTTCAGAGTGAGAATGAAGTAGAGAAGGGGAAGAACAAAAAGCATCGACCGAAGCTTTCCCCCACAACCAGCCAACTCCAAGAAACACTAGCCCCGTCTAGCGTCCGGTCAGTGGTCAATCGAGCCGCCTCTTTGATCTACCAGGCACTAGATGTTGAGGGTGCAATGTTCATCGATGCAAGCGTTTATGCTCGTCGACAGGCAGTGGGATCTACTGCAACTGGACATGACAGCCCCCAAGCATACAACATCGAAAACCAGTTAGATGCAGATAGCGTCCCTTCCGCATCAGGTCCAGAGTCGGGTTTAGAACCCCGCACCTCGGAGGACAAGGAGCCTAAAAGTCTCGTACTGGGCCATTTTACTTCCTCCACGTCCGACCAGGCTGACAATCTGAAGGACAGCCATTACGTATCGCTCTCCGGTGCTTTCATCAGCCATCTCATCGATCAGTATCCCCGAGGAAAGATCTTCCATATTGAGGAAGACGGCTCTATCGCCTTGAGCTATGAGGGACTAGCAGATGAAATGAGCTACTCGGAAAGCGGTGCGCGCGGGGCCATGACGACCGATCCCGAGAAAAAAGACGTCCAACAGGAGACCATGGATATCAAACAGTTGATGAAGGTTCTTCCTGATGCACGATGTATTGCTATATACCCTGTTTGGGACTTCCAGCGAGGCCGCTGGTTCACTGTATGCTTGACCTGGAGCGATGACCCGGGCAGAGTGTTGTCGGAACCGAAGGACCTGACATATATGGCAGCGTTTAGCAATACGGTCATGGCAGAGGTATCACGGTTGGACTTGGAGGCGGCGGACCGAGCGAAAGGTGACTTTATTTCATCTATATCTCATGAGCTGCGATCGCCTCTCCATGGTTTACTTGGGACCGTGGATCTACTCCAAAAGTTGGTGAACAGCTATGCCCAGCGATCCTTAATCGAAACGGTATACAGTTGTGGTCGGACGCTGTTAGATACCTTAAACCATCTGCTGGACTACGCCAAAATAAATACGCTTACCCGCCCAAGCCTTTCGGGCAGGCCTGGTGGGCAAAATAAAACTGACGTCTCCAAACCTCAGACGGCAGTCCCTGGTTCTTTGCAAGATGAAGATCTGAGCGTGTTGGTGCAGGAGGTAATTGAGGGTCTTCTTGCCGGGGCAGAGTATCAGCGCCGCGGCCCAAATGCTCTTGGCGAAGCCATCACAACTGATACCAAGGATCCAAAATCCCAGCTTATGACTATTGTGGATATCGTATGGCAGGACAGCTGGAAATTCAGCATCTATGCCGGTGCTTGGCGTAGAGTCGTCATGAATCTCTTTGGCAATGCCCTGAAGTACACGAAAACAGGGTACATTCGGTTATTCATGAGGAGAGACACATTAATATTGGACGGCAAGAATCCCACGCCAGCCGTTCACATGACCATCAGCGACTCTGGGCGTGGCATGTCTCAAGACTTTCTTACGAACCATCTTTACAGTGCTTTCCTCCAGGAGGACACTACCTCTCCTGGCCTGGGAGTGGGCCTCCACCTAGTGCATCAAATAGTTAAGTCTCTGAATGGCCAGATCAAGTTCTCTAGTGAAGTTAATCGGGGGACAAGTGTAGATGTTATCTTGCCCGTGACGATGCCGGACCAGGCGCATCTAGACTCACCTGGCGACTATCCTGCGCTAAGAGATAAGCTGAGTGGTATGACAGTTTCATTATTCACGAGAAGCTCACAACTCGGTGACCTTGGCTTTGACCCCAAGGTCTTTGGTGATATTTTATCTAGCTTAGGGCGTATGATTTCAGGTTGGTTTGGATTACGTGTTTTGACTCGAGATGAACTTACCCGTACACGTCCGGACTTCGCAATTGTCACGGAGCATGAATACCGCAACTATTATCGACAAGGCTCGAATGAGCCAGAGACAGATAGCTCGGAAATCCAACCGTCGTTTCCGCTAATTGTACTTGGTGCTCGGACGAGTAGCTGGAAGACATTGGAGGAGAGCGTTGACGAATCAGTCATCTTTCTTACACAGCCGTGAGTATTGCTTGATTCTGTGCCCCGGGTCGAATGTTAACGCGCATGTGTAGTGTGAGTCCCAAAACTCTCTCAACGGCATTTGAACACTGCCTGGGTCAGTCTGATCGTTCTGGAAGGGCAACGCCGACGTTGTGCGACGGGGCCCTGACGTATGATAAAAACCTGGAAAACAAATGCAATGGTCATACAGATGGATCATTGGAACAATACGATATTGACGGCCCTGTGAATAGTGAAGGTGAACATCAGTCCTCAAACACCGAAGAGCCTGATGGCGAGACAAGGTCAAAAAACCTTCTTCTGGTGGAAGATAACCAAGTCAATCTCAAGGTTTGAAGCCTCTCCTGTGTAACTGGATTGTCTAACTTGTTAGTCTTAGATCATTGAAATGTGTGCCAAGAGCGCCGGGTTTACGTACCAGACGGCAAGCAATGGTCTTGAAGCCGTGGAAAAATTCAAGGCTGGCCGTTTTGACACGGTCGTGATGGGTAAGTCGCAGTCGACTGTCTGCCATGTTACCAGAACAACTCTAACTGGCTCGCAGACATTTCCATGCCTATAATGGACGGATTGACGGCTACCCGGAAAATACGGCATTACGAGCACGTCAAAAAGCTGCCGCCGGCCGCCATCATTATTCTGACAGCTGTCCTGTCGGCCTCCATGCAGCATGAAACTATAATGAGTGGCGCGAATATGTTTCTGACTAAGCCGACGCCACTCAAGCAATTGAAAGAGATACTTCGAAACATATCTGACGGGAAGGAAATGCCTGAAGAACTGGGATCATGACTGACGATATACATGTATGTATGAATATCACGATAGACTTTTGCATAAATGGAGCGGTGGCTTTGTAAGATATACAGTTCCGATTATAGTATGATGCTATTCTCTTAACATTTCTAAGTGTTATGATTCAGACTATCTGTTCAAGGCCTGTTTCCTTTAGTTACAAAGTGAATTCTTAGAAAATAATGATGGCTACTAGCATAACTCCGAAAATACCTGGAGAGATTTGTCGCAATACAGGCCGTTGAGTTCGAAACCAAAACCTTAAATCTTTCGAAAAGCAAAACTCAAATTTTGAATCTATACTCTATATCTATAAGAAAAATCTATAAGAACAAAATGGTATTTACCAAGGCCAGCCTTGCCGTCTAACATTCATTCCTCCTGTCTTCGTAAAAAAGTAACATAACATGACCTCAGTAATTCAGTCCAATAGCCAAATCAGACGTCGTGTCACGGAATGATTTTAACCCAAAGTGACAGAAATGCCCGCACCGGTTGTGCAGCTGTTGGTATTGACATCGTCAGGGTGCTGGTACGACTCGGCACAGTTGGCATCGCCAGCGGAGCAGGAAGCCGACTTGCAGCTGGAGTCATCCGGGGTAGCCGAGAACCCGGACTTGATGAACTCGGAGTTCTTGTCCAGGTCGATGGACGACAGATCCCAGTACAGCTTCTCGCCATCGACTTTGTATTCGAATTGGAGGACGCTGGACTTGTCCTCGGAGGTCGACATCTTGATGGAGATGCCGCCGTCGCCGGTTTGTTTCTGCCATTTCTCCGAGTATGTGCCCCCGGCAGACACGGTTTGCTGATCGCTTCCTCCGTCGGACGTAGACCAGACGTAGACGGTGCTGTCGAGGTTGTTCACGATTTGCACGCCGCCGCCGCCGCCAGCGCTGGCGCTGGCGCTGGAGCTAGGGGAGGCACTGGAGCTTGTCGCGGCGCTGGAGGTAGGGGTGCCCCTTGGGTAGACTTGGGGGAGTGCTAGGGCACTGGTGGCAAGGATTGCGGAAAGGATGGCGTTGGAGAACATCATTGTGGATGGTGTGGTTTAGAGAGTGTTGAAATTGTTTCAAACGAAAGGTAGGTTTGAAGTGGACTTGGAAAGGACAGTAGGAGGATCAACCTCAAAATGTCAAAGTAATGAAAGGAATGGAAAGGACTGAAAAGATTGTACAGTTTGAATCTGATTGAGATTAGACAGAGGCCATCAGGGGCCCCCTTCGCTCCCTATATATAACCCATGGTGGGGCTGATGAAGTTATCGAATTTTCTCCCCAATTCGTCCAAGACCTCGGTGGCTAATGTGCAGTCCAGGAACCAAACCTGTTATTATACTGGGTACCTATTTCCATCATGAGCTGTGGAGTGAGAAATTTCTGAGCTTCCATCAAGTGCAAGTCCTTATTGGCCAACCCCTCTTGGGGCTTGGACGCTTAGACGCTTCATTGCGCTGAGGCGGCACCAGGTACGGAGTTTGTTCCTAGACCTCCAAGCCAATCTGGAGACCGCGTGGGATGGTCCACAAGAGTGTCTGCTTTGTAAAATTCTAGACTCTCTTGTGGGTCTTCCACATGGTCTGGACCGACTTACGTGTTGAGTGGAGATTAATCCGTCAATGTAGCGCCACTCATCACACCCGCTGCGCAATACAGAGGCGTGACTATCTGACGACGCTGTTTTCGAGACTCCAATCAGGGAAGAACCACCCCAGAGCTAACCGCGGGTGTTGTCCCCATGGGAAAAAGGTCTCGTCCTGGGAAGCGCTGGGTCGGATGTCCTACTGAGAAGATCCGATTCGGCCTTAGATAGGCGTCGAAAATTTGTGGAAACTCGTCCGAGCAGTCGAATTCCTATAATTTGCCAGTCGATCCAGTACCTTGAGAAATCTTCAAAGGTTCAACCGTACATACAACTTTTTCCAAGAAATCGCCTCTGAAGCCATGCTCCCCGTTCCAGCAACCAACCGGTGGCAACGGTGCGGAAAATCTTAGATAATCGCAAGGAGTGGTTCACAAGAGAATCTCTATAATACCGAGAAAAGTCCCGTGTCAGAATGTGAAATCATATACGCCACATCCCACCCCTCTCAGTCAGGAGTTCAGGAGTAGAGTCGCCGCAGTGCATCAGGATCAAGCGCTGCTAGTGCGATTTTACTGCAGGTGATTATAAGTTTGTCGTATAGTTTATTTTAGAATTCAGGTGCCGAGTTCACACTCCATAACCCTAGCTAGGTAAATAAAATCATGAGACTGTGATAGTTCATGGACATGTTTTGTTTGACACCCATAACATCTATTCAGAGTTTTCTCAGTAAAGACAGTTAGTAGATTAACTAGTTCCTAATAATTTTGAATTAGTAAAAATCAGAAAAAAAGAAAAATGAACGGCTGCCAAGGTTGGTGGTGGTGTATGAGTTTATATACCATCACATGACTTCCCCAGATAACAGTATTTCTTGCCTGTCGCTACGGGGTTCGCCCCCGCTCTTTTCATGCGCTTCTTAATTCCCTTCGAGAACATCAGCACCCCCCTATCGAGGACTCTTGTTCTCGTAGACATCAAGTGGGAAATAAAAATGGTAATGTGGAAATACCATGCCAAGAATCCCCCACCCGCCGTTAAGAGTGGGTCTCCCTAGTATAACCCGGGGTATTGCAACGGTTAGCATAGCCCGTAAGACACTGATGGAGGTTCGAATCCTGGCCCCGAAACTGTTTTTTCCTGTCTATATTTTCTTAATCCTTATTCATATTTTATATTAATAAATAGTATTAGTTCATTAATTGTCAGTTACTTAAAAATTGACAAAAAAATAAAGTAGAAGAACAGACGCTACCTTAATTAACTGATATCTCTTCGCAGTAGATACAAAGTGGCTGTGATACCCGCGTAGATTTCTTTTCCATTACCCCGAAGGTTCCTCAGGCTCATTTCCTTTTTTTTTTGGGGGGGGGGTTTCCATTCCCCGTCAGGAAGCTCCAGCGAGAGGTGGGGTTTGAAAGGATAAAATCTCCATACAGATTTTTATAGGTTTGTTTGACTTCCAACGCCACTGAACGGCATGATATCATAGTCGTGGCATATTCCACGAGGAAACCCACAACTGAAGTCACTCTCTACAATAAAGTCTGTCTTTAAGCTAGTATATTATAGTATAGTGTAGTTTTAAAAGTATAGACTAGTTCGTGTTAGCCCCACACAGGCATACTGAGTATATCCTCGACTGACCCAAGATTCGTCACACAGTTCCTCGGCATCATTGGGATGCACATTGAACGAAAGCTTTTGCCCTGGATAGGTCATCAAATAGACGAAGTTTACCGGTGTTCAGTGAGAACACGAAGTGTAGACAGATTCAGCGATCCCAATCAGACGCACCGTAATGGAAGAAATAGTCCGACTTCTCATATCGCACATAACGCTATCATGTACGCTTAGTTGTCCAGTCCTTTCTACCATATCTATTTGTAGGAACCCTCACATATCTCGCCAGCTGGCAAATCACGACCTTGCCGTGCTCGGCGTGTTGCATCGCAGGAACGACTTAGTGACGCCTTACTTGTATCACACTGTGCACTTCCACAGCCCGGGACGTATTGCACCAGATGAATGCCTCATGGTAAAGTTGGATATACTGGGGGACCCTAGATTCGATAAACTCCCATACGAAACGAGTGATTGTATCAGCGTTATGGTATGAAACGTATGCAGCGATCGACTCGGAGCTTGGCGAGCACCGCATTCTCTCTTCGACTGCGCGCATGCTGAGCAACATCATTTGCAATTGCGTTGCGAGGATGCTGAAATTAGAAGAGTACACGTATATTAAGCCTTGATAGGCTGGCGGCCAGCCCAACACGGTCATGCGCCTGAGGAATAGCAAACGTATCTGCCAGTTGGAACATGTAAGTCTCCCTTACACAGCGCTTGCTGACCACCGTCATGTTGCGACCAAAACTGCATTCGATGCGGCTTCGCCTGGGAACGCATTGTACGCCGGAGCTGTTCTCTCATCCCGCATTAAACTTTCAGTGCATCGATAGACGCCAACCTGAGTCCAACCAATCTGGCCGTGAATATAGGTGGCAGTGTGGTATGGAAGAGTTTATCTATTCATTCGGTGGTCTGGAAGTATTCCACTTTCTCCCCTCTGATACACCACGACTCATGGATTCAGTGCCCGCTCTCATTGACGCCCTATTTCTCCATACTAAAGGCTTTAGGTCTTTGTCCGTGCGGTGATGGACCGAGCTATATTCTGGATGTCTCAATGTTAAGAGACTAACCGGTGCAAACACTGCCCGACATTGAGGAGCTTCGCTTCTTGCCAGATAGTTACTACGCAGTAAGGATCACCCATAGCGACATGTCACTCCTAGAGCAAAATGAGCAAAACAAATGCTGATCTCGAGGTACTAGAAAACAATAAATCGAGCTTTGTTTCCCCCCCAATTACGGGTACTTCGCATTGATCTAATCGACGACGAGACAGCGAATCAATCATGGTTCTTAGACTTCATTGTGTGTCGATTGCATAGGGGCATTCCAGAAAGTTGACCTACGTTACGTTTAGAGATAGTACAGTGCATGAAATAATCACGCGACCCAATACGGATTTCGAATCGGATCTCACTGGTGGATATGTGGGCGATACCATGTTCTTGAACGAAGATGTCTTTGGTTGGATTCGAACTTCATCGCGACCCGTGAGTATTGGATAGTCCGCTCACTATGCCGTGGATAAAGTTATCAATAATACCTTCAGGGCTTTTTCTACTAAAATTCAACTTTCACAACTCGTTGAAAGGTTGCTTTGTGATCCTTGGGTCGGCATACTAATTCTGAGTGATTGGGACAGTCAGCAGGTCACACGGAGCGGGACACTCAACAATGTGCTTCATCGTGTAGATGCAGAAGCATGAATCTCTTTATCTCTAGGTCTCCTTTCATGACAATACTAGTAGGCATCCCGCTAGACCTTTTTGGGAATACATCACGTCACGTGACTGAATTACCAATAAGTTGACTGGAGTGCGGTGAGTAGCACCACCAATAAAGATTCCCATTACAGGCGGTCAGCTACTTTGCTCCCGCGATTCTCACCGCCTTTCTTTTTCGCGTCCAAAATAAGAACCACGAGGATTGATGAACTGCAATCTCACCTTCAAGATCATGTCGCTCAATCGCGATCCTCGCATGCAGCCCTTCGCATATCGTGATGTAGTCAGTGAATGGGAACAGGAGAATGGTCTTGGTCCCTATGTGGATCAGGAGACCGCCGACGCCGTTGACTGGAACGATCCGATGAGTTTCTTCCGCCAGACCGGGTTACCCATGCCATCGTCCATGCCCAAGCCAGCGGAGGTGCGCCACGAGGCGCGCGCACGCGCTACGAATATCTTGAGCGATGCAGCCTTGTTGAATCGCATTCTCGAGCGCTTTGAATCTACCATTCAAAAGCGCTGGCTGAAGCGAACCCGAGAGCAGCGCAAGAAGGTGATACTCGCCGCATGGCCTGACATGCCCCTCTCCCATCGTCCCGACTGGGAAGCCTTCGACAAGGGCTCTCCGGGGGACCCGCAATATCGGGGGGCGTTTATGTGGCCATATATCAACCAGGAAGACCTCCTAAAACCTAAGATCCTACTGATCTTTCTCAATGCCCGTGGACGCCATCCGCCGCATGCCTTCATCGCTGCCGACTGCAACGCGACCCATTTCGGACATACCACGGGCAACATCCGTCCGGCGTTCTTGAATGAGCATGTCATGATGTTCACAGGGCGAACCACACCGGATACATACGGAGAGCTTCTACACTGGGATGACGACGAGCGTGCCTTCGATTGGATGCATACACAACGCGGAATGAATCCTGGGGAGGGGCTCATTGCGCTCGAAATTCAAGAGCGTCTGTACCGCTTTCTGGTCGACTGTTGCATGTCATTGCTCTGTGACTACACCCGGCACAATATCCTGCACGATGATATCCCCATCGCAGCTGAACCGCCTGCGCTGTTGACATCAGAGCCCGGGATGAACACATTAGCGCTAATGACAGCGGAGGCCCCCTACCGATTACCGGCTAGCCTCGACTTCAGTCGCCTGCGAAGCATTGTCGCCGCCAAACGGTCCGCGGCGGAGGATCATATCTGGGCGTTGCGCGAAGACCCGGGGTACTTTGCCGATGTATTGCTCGATCGGAGGGAACACCGACCGGAAATTGTTCCGGATCGGCAGGGTCGACTTCATTATACAGTCAAGCAGCCTGGCTCGAAGACACTGTGGAACCGAGTCGTTAACACAGTTCTCTCCGATGCGTATCTCGCGTTTGGTCTCTGGGACGAATTGCAACTGCAGCTGAGCGATCTACAATCCCTAATGGTGGGGTACGGGCCAACTCTGCGACCGGAGAAGGATCTCCCTGAGGACTTGGAATGGGCCTTCTGCCGGTTATTTTGGTTCCTCGAACACATGGTCCGGGGTCCTATCATCAACCTCCAAGTGGGCGTGCCTCCATCCCCTCCGCTGCGCTCTTTCTTCGTTCGTGCGGAACCACAATACGGCAAGGACAACCTGCAGACGATGTCGAAGGAGAGCTTCGTGGCGGACAAGAAGCGGAATCATCTATCCTTCTTGCTAATCACCTTATGGGATGAGCGCAACCGACACCTGGCCGGTTTGCATAATCTCATGGACGAGCTCGACCGATTGATCGAAACCGAGAAGTCGATCAAGAGTCTCATTTCGCCCTGGGTGATGAGCACGATATCGGACCTGACCCTTATGTCGGAGTGCCAGCACCAGATTTCGTTGTTCCAGCCCTGGGCCGCGAGCTTCGAGAACAAAATCGCCGAGAAGGAGCAGGAGATTAAGGATGATTATATGCGGAAGATGGATCGGTGGAGCGAGTTTGATAAGGAGATGGAGGAAGTCCCCCTGGGCGATGTGGCTGATCCGTCGGATGGCCGGTATTATTACCCCGTCGACAAACGCCGGACGCGCGAGACGACCGCGGCCATGCAGAAGGCCGAAGCGAACCTGGATGCGTTCTGGAAGAAGGCCGATTCACTGCTAATCAACAAAGACGGGGTCTCACAGCAGGCCGCGATTCGCCATCTCCTGGCAAAGGATCGTGTCATCCGCCGGACGCCAGACTGGATCGAACCCGTCAAAAATGCGGAACCCACCCCCACCGCTGACGAGCTGTGCCTCCCGCTGTCACAGTTGTATTTCGACCTGGAGCAACGGACGCAGCGTACCGTCCGCCCGGATTCGGCTTTAGCGACGGGGAAGGTGAAAGTAAAGAGACGCGGGATGACGCAGAGTGTGCGGGAAACCTCCAACAACCGCGCGGAGGAGGTGAGTCACCATGGGCCGGATCGTCAACCCACCTTTTCTGTGGACCAACGCACCCTGAAGGTCTTCTCGACTCTCTTCTTTACCTCGTCGCGCACCTCGCAGCCGGGCGAGGTGGCGTGGACCGACTTCCTCCACGCTATGCGTTCAACCGGGTTTGCGCTCGAGAAGCTGTACGGGTCGGTGTGGCAATTCACGCCACAGAACCTGGACGTAGAGCGCAGCATTCAATTCCACGAGCCCCATCCCAGTGGCAAGATCCCCTTCCTCGTGGCTCGGCGGCACGGCCGGCGTCTGTCCCGGGCATATGGATGGCACGCCGGGATGTTTCAGTTGCTCGAATAAAAGCTTCATCTATGTTTCTACAACACGCTGTGAGCGATCAATCTCTGATGTTATTTCAAATAGAGATGTATCTTGGCGTATTTACCCACGATAGGTGGTTTACTAATACTGATGCGTGACATTCTGTGAATCATTATTACAACACGCCAGTCACACGAATCTCCTCTGCTATTATTATTATCGGCTCCAATGATATGCTCGCGATCTGAGTGTGCGGCTCCATGATAACATGCAATGAGACACTACCAAGACATACGTTGCTATAATACACTAATGGAAAGCAAGCCACATTATGAAATGGTCACGAATACGTGCTCTGACAATTCAGATATTATGCGAGGACAGGAATCGCAACTGACGGTATTTCTCCCACGATGGCAGTTTTCGCCTGGGGAATGGGAAGCCATAGATTAGGTTTCTTGACCTATCGCAGCGCGCCTGAAGGGGAGCCAGCACCGTCGCTCAGTCCGATACCTGGACAATATTCGGTAACCCTCAACACCCTGATCCTTAGACAGAGAATATGAAAAGGCATTTCGCGGATAGTGTCGTAACCCCTCACTTCTCACCTCGTGTGTTGAGCGACTTCCTCCTGTTGTCCCTCATCTGCCGCTCCGTATCCATCAGGATATTCTGGAGACAGCGGCTCCCCTGGCCACTTCCCTTTGCTCGCGCGTCATTGAGGAGCTCGGTCAGGGCAGTTTTCATCTGGAGATTGTAGCTGAGGGCTTGCTTGTTCCACTCTTTTGCTTGATCAGTGGATGCCGACGCAGGCCGATCGGGATCTACGGTCGCGGTAGACGAAAAGGAGCGCTTCATGACCGGATTCGAGTGGATGGTTGGAAGTTTGTTGGCTGATGCAGCCGGCTGAGTGCGGGTGGGTGGCCGATGGTCCATCTTGTGTTCCTTCGTAGTAGTATTGACCTGGCTCTCAACAACATGTCACGTAGTCACTCTCCTCACAAGATGTCCGCGAGATGTAATCCAGCGTATAGACCAGAAGGTGATATATACATATTTAACGTATAAGAAACTTATATAACAGGAGTTTATTTATATCGACGGAACATATTCAATTTGACTTAATCATGACGTACCGACTTTTAGGATTGATTGGTGGGGAATCTTGGGTGTTCTTGGAACATGGTTTAGTTTGGCCGAGATTGGCGGGATGACTTGCCGGGAAGTGAAGATCTTTAGGGCTTAGAAAACGGGTGATATAAACCTTTACCTGATGTGAGGAGATCAACCTCATCCTGATATAACTCTAGTTACGGTAAAACTTGGAAAAGAACCGTCGATCACTAAAAATGGCTAGTCTACCGGTGTGCGTTGCAAGGCCCGAATGTGATATTATTTCTTGTTCACTGTGGCAACCAACACGTAGCCCAAGGGCTCATGAAAGATAACTTCGCGCTGTGAAGCTCGTTTTCAGACATCTATCTAGTTGTCACATCGCTCCCTCATCAGATCTATACAACGGATGCAGTTTGGAAAGCTTCTTCGCTGAGTATCACTAAAAGTGTCTTCTTTCTTGGATGTATATGTAATTTCCAATAGGAATTGGGACCAACTGCTAATTAAAACGCTGAGATCTATAGGGAGCTTCTATCAAAGGATGTTTTTGGACAACCAAAAACATCACCAATTGCTGCAGGGTTCTCCAAATAAGGGCGCTGCCAGATAACATAGGATGGAGCATCGCGCCTACAGCGCAATGTTAATTTCTTCCAATTGAATCCAGGAATGGAATGTCGCCACCTACTATTGAATGAATATTTAGAATAAAAGCTATGACTTAATGTGCTGATAGGAAGATAGTATATTTGTGTGAAGAATCAATCGCCGTGTTCACCATAATGCCACTATGATATAACAAAAGATCACAGCTCCATAAATGATCATTCTTTATTCTCCGTCTAGAAGATACATAATCGAATGTTAGCATTCAAACGCTGTCCAACGCCTTCATCACAACGCAGTTCAAATCGAAGAATCCCGGATGCCCAATTCCGTTGACAGCAAAATCACCAAGCCACAATATCAACAGCCATCGCACAAGAGCAGAATTAAATCCAACAATATTCACAACAAATCCCACACAGTGCCGTCCGAGTCATGGTAGACTCCAGACCTCACACATTCTCACTTTCCACTTGATCAACATGTCCCGACTTAAAATGGCGCGGAACAACATTAACCGCGAAACTGTCATCATAAAGATCACGACAAACGGCGTTCTTGCGCCGGAGGATCTTGCGCCGGAACCACCAGGGCAGCGCCTCAGTCAACTGATACTTAGCATGTGCGCGAGTCGACATGCTAAAGACGCGGTCCAACTCCTCAAGTGACCTTTGCTTAGTCTCGGGCAGGAAGAAGAAGATCAAGACGAAGGCGACGATGTTGAGGCCCGCGTAGAAACCGAAGGCGCCCTGCGGCTTGAACTCGCGGAGGATGTACGGGAAGGTCAGGGAGAGGACAGCGGCCCAGAAGTTGTTCGTTGCTACGGCCCAGGCCATGCCGATTTCACGATGGGACACCGGGAAGACTTCGGCGGAGTAGGTGAATGGGACGGGACCTTCACCGGGGGAGTAGAAGATGTTGAAAAGGTAGATGAACAGGGTTATGCCGCCGAGATGGGCACCCTTGTTTTCTTCCGGGATCCAGAAACAGAATCCTGCGGCAAGGAGGGTCCAGCACATGTTGGGGAAGGTCGCGAGGAGCAGCCAGCGACGACCGAAGGTGTCGATGGTCCAGACGGCGGGCCAAGCGAAGAGGAAGTTTACAAAGCCGAAGCCAAATGACGCGAGGAGTGCCTCGATGTTACTGGCGCCGGCCTTGGAGAAAATTGAAGATGAGTAAAAGGCAATGATATTGACTACGGGGAGCCGTTAGCATTCCTAGCTTTGCGGGAGCAGGGAGTGTGGGAGATACGCACTTCCGCACATTTGCTGTCCGATCATGACGATACCAGAGGCCTGGGTCGCGCGACGGTTGCGTGGAATGGTGAAGAGCTCCATGAAACGCACGAACGTATTGTCGCTCTTCGAGAGTTCGGTGGAGTTCTCAATCATTTTCTTCTCCAATCTCATCTGGGCATGGATCTTGTAGAGATCGCGAGCGGCCTGGAGAGGACTGTTCCTCAGTCGTAACAACGAGTTATATGCTTCACGGGCCTTGTTCTTCCTGAGTAACCAACGAGGAGACTCGGGGCACCAATAGATTCCGAGCAACAGTGGAACGGCGGGGATGAACGCTGAACCGAGCTGAAGTCTCCATGCGATGGCACCCGTGTTGACCACCACGAGATTGGCGCATGTCCCAAGGAAGATACCGAACGCGGTCCCTGAGTAGTTAAGAGTTAGAGACTATTATGTACACCTTCTATGCGAGCATAAAGCACTTACAGATCTGCCAGGACATCACAAGCCCTCCACGGACGTTGGTCGGGGCATTTTCGGCTGAAAGAACAGGAACGCTGACCTCTTTCAGGCCCATGCCAATTCCGAGGAGAACACGACAGGCCGCTAGCTGGCCCCAAGTTTGGGTCACGGCGCACGCAATAGGCGCGACCAAGCTAAACACCGCAGCAATGAAAATCACCCACTTGCGACCTAGCCAGTGGTTCAGAGGATCGGAAAGCCAGCCCGCACTGCGACATAGATGTTGGATCAGCCTCCACATTGAAGTGAATCAGGGAAATACTAACAAAATTGCAATTGTCATATAAGGGATAGCATTAATAGCACCCACAATCCACTGGTTCCGACTACATTCGGATGGCGATGCACAGCCTGGTGGATCCTGGGGGATGCCAAACTGGTGTGCAAAGGTAAGGTTGGCACCGTTAGATCCTACGGTGGAGGTCAGTCACACATCTTGCAAGTAGTTGCGCCGGTCCTCAATTACCTGTCTGATCCCATCCTTGGATAGCGGCGGCGATAGAGCTGAGAATGATGGTGTAATATAGTGCCCAGGGTTGCTTCCAGCGATTTGTGGTCTCCTGTCGTATGAACTGACGGTCCTCGGCGCTCAGCTCTGGGATTTCGTCATACTCATCTGGCCTCTGAGCGACCAAGGCTCCCTTCTTCAGGAAAGGAAGGATGTCGTTCAGGTCGTACTCTTGCGCATAGTCTTCGACGTCGCAGAGGAGCTGATCTTGAGGAATGCCACGCAGTGGGTTCTCAATGCTACCGCTCCGTTGTCAGTGAAAAGAAGCAAGAGGACTCTAGGGAAAGAGCACTAACTCGGCAGGGCTATGGATCGTCACGTTCATCTGGGCAGCATACTTGGATTCGTCCATTCTAAATGCGGAGGGGAAAAGCCAACGGTATAGTTAGATGCTACGTCACCTCAGTGTCACTTCCTGGCCCAAGGTCAGGAGGATTGTCCAAATTGTTGTCACTTGTTTTTGTATTAAAGTGCCGGAAACAAGAGAGTACAAATAGTCGAGGAGGATCTGGGGTGTTTACCCGGGGCCAGTGTGCAAAGATGGAGCAAGGCTTGCAGAAAAGGGCCTTCCCCAGACGCAGAATCCATGGTCCACCACTTGTTAATCCCGCAGGCGGCGCAATTGCCTTCAATCTACGAACAGAGTCTAGTGGGTTTCAAAGGCGACTGGAGTCATTGAGGGTTTGTTTGGTGGAATACGGGCAGTCCCTTTGTCCCTGGTAAGCCACCGTTGAAAACCATTGGTAGGGTTGAAGCCAAGCACTCTTTCTTTAGTGCCCGAGCCTAAAATCTCAGGTCAGTTTTAGCGAAGTCTCGTGCCCTGTCATTTCCCCCATTTGGTTAAGTTGACAACTAAAGGCACGAACGCTAGAAGATCTCGGATAGTATCTTCTGCATGTTTTTCTGTAGCCTGTTGGTCATTGCATAGTAATCAGAATCCAAATTTCCTCAGGAAAGGTTCAATAAACTAGTTGGGGATAGTTTTCCCATATTTACTCGTTAGGGCATGTTCTGTAAGCCTTGGATGTGAGCCCTTTGCCACCAGGTCGAGTTAATAGTATTCTTCACTTGTCTTGCCATGTTCGCTTCTCATTCACCCCGCTTGTGTCACTTCATCATTCACCGAAGGCTGGAAATGAAGATAGTCCAAGAAAGAACTTATTGTTGCAACCCAAGGGTAAGCCACACCCCCTCCCCCACCAATCCAAGGATGGAGGGTCTTCTTAACGCTAAGTACGCCTACGTGAATGTCCTTCCTATGCCCGGTATCATAATAAGCTGCAACAAAGCCCCTGCTGTCCTTTGCTAAACCGGTGGCGGAAGTTTCCTTGAGCCATGTTGGATTAGCTCCACCCGAGAATCTGTTAGAAGGCGTTTTCTTTGTCCTTCATACAACGTATGGATCGAGCACTGACGGAGTTCATCTCTAAGCCCCTTGGTAATGGTCAGCTGGTCTGCAGACTCGCTACATACTCAATGAATAGGGAACTATACCCATTCTAGAAACCTTGGCAAAGACTACAATGCGCCATTGATCGTCGTCGCAAATTTCGGATTGCCGACCGAATGGAGTTCGTATCGAGAATGCCACACCGACTGACACCGGCATACGGCTCCTCAATTGTAGCTACCTCACCTTTGCCTATCTAAGGCTCCTAGAACTGCCCACTGTTGTTTCTCCCGAAAGTCCTCAATCCTCCATTGTAAATATGTTCAGCGTAGTGTGCGCCACTTACCCGGAGCAAAAACGGGCTCCAGCAACATATTTTCTCCTTGTCATACGTGCAGTAAGCGCTGAGGTAATACTCGTACGACGCTCTCCTAGACTAGTCTCACTGATAGCCAATTGATTCGACCTTTGTGTGTACCTTTGCGTCCCGCAAGGCTATTAGAGGGAAATTGTATCCTGCCGTGTATAATCTTCTCCGCTTGAAAATATTCTGATCGGCATGGTCAATTTTCATTCGTTCTATTCTTAACTAGCGAATGCGGAGTGACAAGAGCCGATTCACATCCATCACAGGTCTCCTTCTCAACGGCGCCAACGGAAAAGGAGGTTAGTTGTTACACCGTCCCTAGGGTGATTCGACCCTTTAATGTCTTAAAAAGAACCCAGGCCCGATAGAATAGTCGTTACCTCTTGCCTCGGAAGAGCTTTTTCCCGGGGTTTATCTATCATCCCTACATAAACAGCCGCTAGGATCCCGCATAGGGCTCTCTTGGCAACGTGACCAGTTACCCCTGGCCAGAAGCGAAGTCGTAATTATAGCCCGAAAACTATTATACGAGGTATGTCTTATACATATATGTCTTCTGCCCTCATTTTATTTCACTTTCTCTCTGGGGCAAAGATCTTGCTTGGCGTTTAGCCGAGAATACTCTGGGCATCGACGATCGCTCATTGATGCCGCTGGCGATGCCATGATTCAATTTGAACATGAGCAGATGATAGGAATCAAGATTAAGATGCTCCCAGAATCGAGTACCTAGAGAAGGATATGGCAGCAAGGAACCAGTCACGTACCATTGTCATCACCTTCTACCGAACGAAAACATGGACCTCTTGTTGCGATGAAATTCAATCATCCCTACCTCGGGTAGGTAATGTCCAACCTTGAAAACAGGATTAAGGGTAGAATTAAATCGGCTGGATCAGAGTTCGCGTCGCTTGCTGAGCCCAAATTGACAGCTATCTAGACCATCATCGCTCATCGCAAGGTGGGTTCTTACGTTGGTGTTGACAGTGGTATCTATACGGACTGGGGGACCCGCTTTTTTGGCACGAACAACAATATCTGAGGATAGGTTAGGTCTTGAGAGTACTACGATGTAGGCATGCAATGCAACGCATCGTCCCAACTAGAGCAACATGCCGTACAAATGTTCTACTGATCGATAGGCACATAGGTGGATCCTCTGGCTGTCCGCCATACTCTGATAAGTAAGGGGCAAAAGCTTTGCTAAGACCACATTTTCTCTTCTCCTAGGGGTGCGGAAACAGCATCATCTATGCCAGGTAGTGTGATCGATCTTGCATCTCTAGAGGATATATATCTTGAAAAACACAGCTAAGTAAAAAGCCTTTTAGAGTATTAGAACCTTTAAAGTCTGATATCGAAGACTGGAGAACCACAGTTTATATCTATCTCCTATATAATTTTAGAATCGGAAGCGTTTCACCGCATGCGACCTCCGTTAACATTACAAAGCCATTAGTGTAACTATTTCTCTTCGATATGAAGCTGTTCCCCTTGCTTCCTCTCCTGCTTTTTCCGCAAATCCGCCAAACAAGGCGCGACGAAGAGACTCCGATCATAGATACCTTTAGTGGTAAGACACGTCACCAGGATCCATAATAACACCACACAAACTGAGAATATCTACCATCACGTTAGCCCCAAACGAAAAGTCCCTCCTTTATTAGCCTTAACATACCGTACCGACCACGCGGAAAAACCGTGATGGCATCTCGCGACCCAATTGACATGTACTGGTAGCATACACACCGAGAGGGAAAGTGAATGCCCACCAGCCAAGATTGAATGGGAATTTCCGGGTGCGAATAATAGAAGCCACAGCGAAGAAAAGCCAGAGAAGTCCGAAAGCCCATAGTAGTAGTCCGATGAAAAAGCCCATCATTTCGAAGACCTCTCCCGTTCCCGGTCGAAGAGTGTGGGCTTCAGGGAAGATTTTCTGAGACACTTGACCCAGCTTTTGGATGCTACAAGAATTAATGTGAGTTGATGAAGACTTTGTGAGGCGGCATGGGGCACGCATACCCATAACTGCCTTGCCCAAGAGGTCCGAGAGGCAAAAACATGCTGACAATGAGCTGCTTTGGCGGAAGCTTGTGGAGCATCAGTCGCAGGAGATAAATGACGATTATCATCAGCGCAAGAGGTACCCCCACTCCCCATAATACATAGCTGACGATAATGGTTCCGAACGCATATTGTGGATCTGGCAATACATCCGCGACAATGGCACCAGAGGCTGCGGCGACGACGCATGCTACGACGGGAAGTAGCCATGCTGCGCTCATAGATGATATCGTGATTTCGGAACTCCGCGTCATCCTACACGGATTAGCCCTGCAAGACGCACTCGTTCCAGAAGAACTTACATGATGAACGGCACCACAAAGCATGTTAGTACAGAGACAACAGCATCAGCTATCCACAGCCCCCAGACAAAGTAACTTGCCCAGATTCCCCACGCAGGCACGCAGACAAAGCAAATCATGTTAATAATCGTGGCGAGGCCCATTGGGAAAGTACCCAGGAATAATGATTGAGCTGGATGAGTAATCATCACTGGGAATATTTCAGGGTACAGCAGATACCGAAGAACTGTTAGGAGCAAAAAGCCAAGGAATAACAGCACATTTAGGGCAAATAGTATCACTGATATCCAGTAGAGCCATCTCCCATTGTATGGTAAGGTATTGAGTAGGATAGATGCAATTCCAGTACCCATGTTTGCTGAAAACCACCTATAGATCGATTAGCCAAGCCCATTTGGCAAGCAGGATCTGCTGGCAAGTCAGCCCACACCTACGCAGGAGTAAAATTTCGCACTATATGGCGCCAGCCAGTCTCATGTTTCGAGGCTAAAGGGCCTGTCCATGTTGGTCCACTGTCCGCTGGGCATCTTTGCGATTCTGGTTCTACGACGTTGTTGGCCATGAAGAGAATGGTAGGAGGTATCTTATCGACTAGATCAGGGTCGCTCGCGGCCGGATTCCTTGCCGAGTTATCGGGTCTCGTTGTCTTCAGGGAGAAGTTTACAGATGATGAAAAAGATTTCTATATGCTCTACGTCTGGTGAAAGGCGGTACCGCCAAGACACAACCACCCTTAAATCGCATATTCACGGGCTATAGCCAAAGTACATCTTTAGTCGGCCGAAAGATGAAGGGGAAAAATAGATTCTCTCTCCAGTATGACGGGTCGCCGACCTTTCGAAGGACGTTGTAGGTCAATCGGCGATTGAGCATTTCTCGAACGGCGACCCACACTCGACCAGTTAGGGCTGGATGAACCAAAAGGCAAGCGGACCTGCAATCGGCGACTGACCACTCCGTCGTATGTCCTGCCATCAAGCACTCAGGGGCGATGTGTCAGGTCGGCTAGGGCTGACCTTTTCCTGATAATCAGATACTAGCTCCTTCAGGTAGGTCATGGTCGCCGTCAATTGTCAATCTCGTCCGAGAGGGTTGATTGAAGTGCTCCCCCCTATGGTAGACCTCCGTAGCCATCATAGTAGATAACGAGTGAACATAGTGGTTATATACGCATGGATTACCTGAATCGAAGAATTAAGACAACTATACTCACAGCTCATTGCGGCCATGGAGCCTATAGTCCACCCAGTTTTCGAACACCAAACCTCCACCTGGCAGTATATTGTCGCATGCCCTGAAACCTGCGAAGCCGTCATCATCGACCCAGTACTAGACTTCCGCCAGGAGCACTTAGCAATCGATACAACATCAGCGGACGCACTTTTAGACTGCATCAATTTACACAAGTATAAAATAGTCCGACTCCTCGAGACACACGCGCATGCCGATCACCTTACTGCAGCATCGTATCTGCAGGATCGAATGCAAGAGCAAGGCAGACGAGTCCCTATCTGCATTGGGCGACGGATTCGCGAGGTCCAAGACACGTTCGCTACCCGATACGGCGTTCACGCCGACGAACTAGACAACGCCTTCGACCATCTACTGCAGGACGATGAAACCTTCCTCATTGGAAATCTCTCCGCAAAAGTCTTACATTTGCCGGGGCATACCCCGGACCATGTCGGCTACCTGATCGGTAGTAGTGTCTTCACAGGCGACTCTATTTTCAACCCCGACGTCGGCAGCGCTCGCTGTGACTTTCCCAATGGAGATGCCCATGCCCTTCACCAATCCATGCAAAAGTTGCTTGAATTGCCACCCGAGTTCAAGCTGTATACCGGCCACGACTATCCACCTTCCACTGCTGCACCAAGTCGAGAGCCGATGCCTTTCGCGACTGTGGATGAGCAGCGGAAGCGGAACAAACACGTTGGGGAAAGCCGCAATGAGTTCGTTCAGTGGAGGCAGACAAGGGATTCGGGGTTAAAGGAGCCAAAGCTACTCCATCAGGCTCTGCAAATCAATATTCGCGGAGGAAAGTTGCCTCGGAGCCCCGATGGTAGCCGGAGAATTTTCTTGCATATTCCTGTTACATTGTCGGAGACGCTGGCTTGATTTACGTAAGAGGTGGTCGCGCAATGTCACCATGTTTGGGTTTCAGATCCTTCGATTTTCAAAGGTCGTTTTTTTTGTGTTCTCCGCTGGGAGATGGATAAGAAATCACGACGTACACAACACTGCAGGTATTGAAGATGATTCAGATATTCGGGAGGTTATTATATATTATGGATAGGAGGACGTCAAAGTACCACTCGGTTAAGCGTAGCAGAGCCCGTGGAGATTTAATCAAGAAAAGACAAAGTAGAAACTATGTATCAAGGAGCTCTAGCTATACTAGAGTCATAATTAGCCCCAGGACGGGGTAGAATGTGAAATTAGCAAGTCAATTAGTAGAGGTTGGGGTTTTGAAGATGACCCCTGGGCAAGTTCAGCCTGAGGCACCTACCCGCTAGGCGGATCATGTGTCTCAACCCCAAACCTGGGGTCGAAATATATCCTAGAAAGATTCACAAATTTACTTCACAATCTGCTCAACATTTCCTGTCTAACTAACAAGGGCATGCAGCTAGTCTTGATACCTTGCCATTATGTCGATGATTTACCTGTACAGCACACTACGATAGGTGTCTAGGCTCCAGAGAACATAATAAGTCCTGCAATGCTTGATGTCTCGGACTGATTTCGTCTCCGGCGCTGAGCGATGAGATCCTGAATGGCTACAGTGTGGATGACAGCTAAATTGCTCTAACAGCGCGTGACTTGCCATGAACCCATACGAATACTATTAATAACCAGCAATCGTGACCTAGAGGAGATTATAGCTACGACTTTAGCTATATTAATGCTCTAGAAGGATTAACATACATCAGAGTGTCTTATTCCAGGTTGAAGCAAGGGACTAGGACTCCCTGAGCACTTGGTTCAAGTGACAATTGACGAACTAGTGTAAGGGAAAGAGTCTTAGATATATTTCCCCATAAACCCATGCCTCATGGTCAAGTTCCATGTCTTTAACAACATCGCAAAAGTCCCTTCAACGCGATTGGTGTGTGGGCCAGGTACCCCACCTGTTGACACTGAGAGGTTGAAGTTCTTCACTCATATCGAACAATTGCACTGCATTTCCTCGAAATCAATGCGAAAAATGACCGTTTAAGGCCCCCGATCATCGATCTTGCGGGTCAGTATCTAGTACTTCAGTATCACCAGGTTCTCATTTCAAGTCTCACTATACTGACTGACGAGAGCTGCAGCATTCTATGGCCATGAATTCCCGGCCAAAGAAATGCTGATCAGGGAGATGCGGCGAGCCTGTGAGAGTTATGGCTTCTTCCAAATCATCAATCATGGTATCCCGTCAGATCTTCAGCAATCAATCTTCCAACAGAGTAAAGATTTATTTGGCCTCCCAAGTGAGGTTAAAGAGAGATATAGCCTAGGTAGGCCAACGAACACGCCCCTGCACATCGGGATTGTTGTTGATTTGGCCTTCCAGATACCAACAAGTCCGACCAGGGTTACGAGCGCCTTCGCTCCCAGAGCTTTGAGAAGCGGACCAGAGGCGATCTAAAAGAAGGGATTTATTTGGGAAAGAACTTACCACTGGATGACCCGTATGTGGTACAAGGGAAGTTTGGACAGGGAGCCAACAGGTACACCGAAGAAGTGCGCAACCCAGGCGACTTCAGAAAAACAATGGATGAGTATTTATGTCGCCTTGTCCTCTTTAGTAGAGGGCATCCTGCAGATACTGGTACGCACGTTGGATTTAGATGAGCATACGTTTGACGAATTTTGCGAGCATCCAATCGCAATTCTACGACTTCTTCATTACCCAACCCAGGGCCCGGATGCATCCGAATTGGAAAGAGGTATAAAGCTCCCGTCGTACCATGCTTTTGATAGCTTACCCTCGAAAGGAATCGGTGCGCATACGGACTTCGGCGCTGTTACTATTCTCCTCCAGGACGAGACTGGTGGCCTACAGGTGTGGAACAACATGTCATCGGAATGGGTAGACGTTATCGCTATCCCGGCGCTTATGTTGTGAATCTGGGTAATATGATAATGCAGCGGACGAACGACCGATATTTCTCGACTCTACGTCGCGTAATCAGTAAAAGCGGCAAGGAGCGCTACAGAGCGCTACAGAACTCCGTTCTTCTTTTGCGGTAACCCCGATTATTCGATCAGTTGTCTTCTCAGCTTCCAAGGCCCAAATCAAGGTGCCAAATACCCTCCTGTGACGGTTGGCGAATGGATGACTGGAAGATATGCGGACACATATGGCAACATCGAGGGATAGAGCGTTTGATGAGCTGAGAAAGGAACCTGGTGGTGTCCTATGCCTTCGTACATGAGCGAACGACACGGCCAATATATTGCTGTGCCCAGCGCTTCCCCCGACCTGCTACCCTCCGTATGTTCATCCAGGATGAACCCATACTAACGCAGCATATCGCGTACCGAGACTGACGTTCCATGTTGTACTAGGCCCGTAAGCACTGATGCGATCAAGAAGATCAAGAAGTTGAATGATGATACCATTGTCGGAGAAATCCACGAAGATTGACTATGGAAGAGACTTGACAGCGAGGTGCAACATGGATATTTGGATCTGGCCTTTTTCCTGGAGTTGGACTAATGTTTCAAGGTTTAAACAGAGTGTTTCCCCGAAGGTTAATGAGCAATGTCATGCCGCTCTTAAGCTCGTACGATTGAGGAATTTACCATTGACAGTATTAAAGAGACCGAGCTTTGCGAGACCATGTATCCAATGTTTGTCGCGTACTTCAAGCTGTTCCATATAGGTCATGTGGTACTCCTAGGGACCAATCAGAGCCCACAAATTCCTATGATGTCACGTTGGACGCGGACCTTCTTTTCCATTTCCAGCACCAAGAGAAGCAAGACTTGCTAGTATATAATACTGTTGTAAAAGTTCACTTTTACAATCTAATCGAAATAAAAACCGTTGTCTATCCGCCCACAATCAATACTAGGCATACAAACGGAGCCCAGCGCGAAAATGTCAAACAGACCCCCACCCCCAAACCACAGCAGCATCGAGGACTACGGCCTCATCGGGGACATGCACACCTGTGCCCTGGTGAGTAAAAACGGCGATCTGGACTTCTTGTGCTGGCCTGCGTTCGACTCCCCGTCGATTTTCTGTCGCGTCCTAGATAACGACAAAGGCGGCTATTTCTCCATCCGTCCGGGAGAAGACGTCAAGCCTATGAGTAAGCAACGATACAGAGCGTGTACGAACATCTTGGAGACGCGGTGGATTCACGAGGATGGGGTGATTACTTTATCGGACTACTTCCCTGTATTAAGCAAAATACCGTCGCATCCGGATGTCTCCGCGTCAGCTTGGTGTTCCTGTGATGTAGCCTCTGCATGTGGTATTTCGGGGTGGGGATGTCAGTCGGGGGTGGTTAGGAAGGTTGAGTGTGTTCGAGGGGAGATGGATATGGTTGTTGAAGTTTTTCCTGCCTTTGATTATGCACGTGGGCCGCACACTGGTCGATGGCTAACCGGCCCTGATGCGGGTCGTCGACTGAATGCATATTCGTTCGAGGGCACCACGCAGAGCTTGCAGCTCAGTATATATACCGGCCCCGATCCAGCGGCTGAAGGGTCTGGTGCTACTCCAGAGATCACGTTTGAGGTCGATGACAGACCAAATCTAAAAGGGCCGGGTCTTTTCATGAGAATGAAGATGTTAGAAGGCCAGTCTGCCACATTCCTGTTACATAACAATGATAAAGCTCTCCCGAGTGGGAGAACTCTAGAACATTACTTGGATACAGTCGAGCATGACACCGCCGAGTTCTGGGCAGACTGGATAAGCCAATGTACGTTCAGAGGCCATTACCGCGAGCAAGTGGAACGAAGCCTCCTGGTACTGAAACTGCTTACATACAAGCCGACTGGCGCTATCGTTGCATCCCCGACCTTCTCACTCCCGGAAAGCATCGGAGGTTCACGGAACTGGGACTATCGTTACTCGTGGGTGCGGGATGCCGCATTCGTCGTCTATGTCTTTCTCAAAAACGGCTATCCCAAGGAGGCTGAGTCATATATTAATTTCATTTTTGATCGGGTCTTTCCGCCCATGAAATGCGACTCCCAGCTGAAAAGACCGTTCCTACCGATCATGGTTACCATTCACGGAGAACATGAGATTCCTGAGTCGGAGCTGGATCATCTGCAAGGATATATGGGTAGCAAGCCGGTCCGGATTGGGAATGGAGCGGCGGATCACACGCAGCTAGACATCTATGGAGAGCTCATGGACAGTGTATATCTTTATCACAAGCACGGCCGTCCCATTTCGTATGACCAATGGCTTGCCGTTAGGCGCATGATTGACCATGTCTTGGAGGTGGTCCACGAACAGGACAGGTCCATCTGGGAAGTGCGTGGGAGACCGCAGAATTTTGTGTACTCAAAGATGATGCTATGGGTCGCGTTAGATCGAGCCTTGCGGCTGGCGGAAAAGCGCTCGAACTTACCATGCCCGGATCGGATCGAGTGGCTACGTGCGCGGGATGAGCTCTACGATGAGATCATGACCAAGGGATATAACTTCAAGGATAAGTACTTCTGCATGAGCTACGAGAGCCAGGACATCTTGGATGCAGCGGTTTTAATTGCACCGCTAGTTTTCTTCATCGCCCCCAATGACCCCAGATTTCTGAACACACTGAAAAGGGTCATGTTACCTCAGGCGAAGGGAGGACTATCGATGGCGAATATGGTATCTCGATACGATCATACGAAGGTGGACGACGGTAAGTTTCTTAGCATGAGGAGGTAGCTAGTACGCGTCCACAGTCTAACATTATCGCCTGGTATGATAGGTGTCGGAGGTCGCGAAGGAGCCTTTGTGATGATCACTTTCTGGCTAGTTGAAGCCATGATGCGAGTTAGTTCGCCACGTTGTGGACCAAATACAAGTAAGCTGACTGAATGAGTTAGGCATCAAAAGCAATATCCTACAATGTGGACGATCCGTTTTACCGGCAGCTACGTAAGTCAGCCATTACACATTTCGATAATATGCTTTCATTTGCAAACCACTTGGGCATGTTCTCGGAAGAGGTAGCCATCTCCGGTGAACAGATTGGCAACACTCCACAAGCCTTTAGCCATCTGGCATGCATTAGCGCGGCAATGAATCTAGGTGGATCAGATTGAGAGTGCTCCTATATTGGTGTAATTACAGAAGTGTTGTACTCATATTGGGAATCATTACTGGAGACATTTCCATATGTGGCAGCTTAATTGGACATTCACATATGCAAAGCGTGCGGACATTAAGCACATCCAAGGAAACAACATAATCTCGCCCAGCATAAGCTAATCAAGAGGAAATGAAAGTTAGTTAACGAGATTGACTGTATTCCCATCTGGCACCCTCGTCTGATACTCCAACACCATCCGAACATCTTTTCCAGGGTCCAACCTGATAAACCATTTCACCTCTCCATTCCTCATCATTACTGCCTTTCCCTTACCCCGATCCTTTTCCATCGCCATATCTATCTCATCACCTTCCTTCTCCAAGCCCTTTGGTTCAAGCACCTGAATGCGCATCTGCTCGTTATCCTTGAGTGGAACCTGGTCGGAGACGATTATATCTATCGCTGTACTCTTCGTATTCTTTACCCAGCAGCTCCGACGAAACACTGCAGCGTTTTCTTTGTGGAAGAATCCACTCGTTAACTTGCGAACCGTCGGCTTCGCATACGTCACTAGTACATTGGGATCGACACCTAAGGAAATACTGAAGAAGTCGTTCGGTGCACAACTGGGAAGGGTAGAGGTGCCCAAGAACGTGCCATCAACAGATATGCCTGTCTTCCCGCGTATGATGTTCACGGACGAGGTATTCTTCACACGAGCACGAAGAAAAGCAGCAGCACGTATCTTAGGAACGATAACGTGTGTGAGGGTTAAGGATTGCAGAGTTGCCTGGGCGAGTAGATGGCGCCGTGGACTAGTCGATGGGGCGAGCGTGCGAAGGCCGGAAAGCTCATACGTCGTGGTTAGACCGTAGTTTTGTCTCATGGAATCTTGTCTCTCTAGAGTAGGCGATGAACTACCCCCTCTGACATGCTCATCTTCGCTCTCACTGTCAGATTCGTTGCTCCACCCTAGTGCTCTCCGAGCCGATACGGCCCAAGAACTGGATGATGGTGGTCGGCCAGGGTGGCGTCGCCCCCCTAAACCGAGCTGAATCGGAGCTTGTGGTACCATAGCTTGTCGGGTATGAGCCTGCTGCTGCATCTGCATCTGCTGCATTTGGGCCTGCTGCACCTGAGCTTGTTGCATTTGTTGCATGGTTTGGCCTGTCCAGTTTTGATGTCTTGTGGCTGCGCGAGGTATCTCGGCTGGGCTCCTTAAAACATCGTTCCACGGCGGCGACTTGGCGTCTGGTACGGAGGACATCGTGATGTGCCAGGGCTGCAGAATTGGAATAGGCTCATCAAGGCCGGAGAACGCAGCATGCGATGTGGACAGCGTGATTTTAGCGTCGTTCCAGGTTTCCGAACAATTATTCTGGAAGTCCGCGTTGCAGGTCAAGGACGCCGTGGATGCAGGTGTATTAATCTTCAGGTTGTAACGAGGAACCCAGCTTGGGCCAGGGATGATGTAACTCAAGTTTATCGTGATCTGAACCGGCTGGTCACCATGCGTGACATTTTCAGTCACCGAGCTCCGGCGGCTAGACCCTAGAGTCGCAGAGACATTGCTGTCAAGATACACCTTAACCTGGCCCATCCGGTCCCTCCAGAAATGCTGTTTCTCAAGCCTATCCCGTTGTTGTTGAGACCGCCGTTGCTGCTGTTCCTTTACTCGCTTCTCACGAAGCTGGCGGACCTCTTTCATTGCGTTCTCTTTAGCCTTGGTATGAGCAGATTCCAACCTTTCTCTCTTCCGCTTAACTTTCGCTAGAGCTTTTTCACCTTCGGAAATCTTTACATCCGTATCCCTCGCCCGATCACCTTCAGTCTTCCTCTGTTGAAGATACATATTCAAGAAATCATTAAGCTTGGTAGGGTCAGCATTAGTAGACTCAATAGTTTTCCCATATCCAACCAAAAACTGCAAGACAAACAAAGACGCAGACTTGTCGTCCTGGTCCTTGGCCAGCGCGGTGGTAAGCCCCTGCTCTTGTTTGAGGATAGCCTGAAGCTCAGAGTCATCGATGTCAATGCCTTCCTCGTCTGTCGACATATTCCCGTCGTTATCACTTTCTTCTTCAACAGCCAGGTTTGGATAGACATCGTCGAACTTCTCCCGTCGGGGTACGACTTCCGCCTGCATGTCTGTGATTGTCGCTAGACCGGAGCCGTCGATCTGGACAGAATCCAGGTCAACGTCCGGGTCTAGGCCTAGGATAGTGATTTCATTTTGACCAGGCTAATACACCCTTTAGCAATCGTATCAAGTGTTATGGGGTATAGGACTTAAGACATACTTGAATGGCGGTGTGGATCTCACGGACGATTGTTGCTCTTTGGGGAGTGAGAGTGACTGATTTGGTGGGGAGGTTGGAGATTTGAATCTCGGACTGATGGAGATCAGCCATAATTATGGGAAGGGAAATTTGGGGGACAGAGAAATAAAGACAGATAGGGAAATAGTTTTCGCCATGATTCAGAGATTCATGTTCAGCTGTTGGGGGCATGAGGGCTTTAAATAAACAACGAGGCAAGGCATCGACGCGGAAAGCCTTAGCATTATTTGTACAATGTCCTCGGGCTATGACTCAGCACTCGCATTAAGTCGTGCATAGTGATGGGCACGTGATGCATATATGAAAATAGATCATCACGGTGGTGACTAAAATCTTTCCCATGTGGCACAAATGAGGGGATATTTTGAAACAGTGCTACTTGCTGTGAACGTCCTACCTCTGTCTGATCTTGTACTTTATTCTTAGACCTTGTATCAGGGCCTGTTCCGTCAGTGTTACCACCTGTTGCACTATGTCACTAAGCTAATGCCAGGATCCGATCGCATAGCATTACCCAGAAAAGCCTTCTCTGTGGACGATGTCATACAGGGGGCGTCATATAGTTCGCGGGACTTTGCAGTCACTTTGTAAGCCTCGGAATGATACACTATTGTAGGCTATAATAAACAACTTGTTCGTCCTACATTCTGGTCCCAAAAGACATGCTAAACCATATATACCCACACGCTTGTGATAGGACTACCACACCTTTAGTTTGTAGGCAGAGCCTGGTCTAACTGCTATGGTAAACGTATAATGTAGTTGGGATATACACGGCAGAAATGTCATAAAGCAGGGCAGCGACGTTACCTCACGGCGATTGGGATTAGAATTGTTGATCTCATATGTGGTCTAACGTGTGTGTCATGAGGCCCATTGGCAACAAGCGCTAGCTTCTGCGCGTGGAGCAACCTCTAGGAGATAGTGTTGAGCCGTGGGGGCGAATCTATGCGCTGCCTGCGGAGGCATAGTAACCATAGCGCAGTTGGACATTATACAATCGTGACAAGTGGATCAACGGGAATTCCTTAGAATGAGGAGCGGTAAATCTATTGAGATGTAGGGCCAGTTAGACCTCCAGCCAACGTTGGTTTTTGGTCGAGTAGGAGAAGCAAAGAATTCCCCAAGGTGGCGTAGGTTGCATTGAACCCCAAGTTTTTGAGAGCACTTATAGGGAGACAGAGTATAACAGGCTATCATATACAAAGCGGGATCATCGTCCATTACTAGCGCAATCCAGAAAACAATATGTAGGTTGCTCAGGAGATGGCTCTCTGCATAATGCCAACAGCCATATATAGCGAAGTCCTTCAACCTTCCACATCCACCTTTCGAATTATTGATTTTAGCTTTAGGTTTATAATTTCACCCAGAGTGGGCCGCCGATCTAAGATTGGTTTCTCGATCCATAATCGGTTTCTCAGTCCGTAGGAATGCTGGTGGGGTGCTGGATCTATCTATGCAGGTTGGTGCCCTCCGTAGTGGAGAGGGGCAGGGTAGTGGCATAACGGGGGGTTGCGGTGATGAATCAGGCCCAAAGAGAGGTTTGAAGCACAGTTTAACTTGAAATTCCAGCGGTTAGAGAGGGATTTGCCAGAGCAAGATCCAAGATTTACTAGTCCAGGCGGGCATTCCCCCGCCCATTACTAAGTCTTGCATAGCGGACTTTTGTCCGCAGGCCTTCCCGCCCCGCCTCTCTCGCTGATATTATACGATAATATATAAGGCTTGTAGGGCCTCTTTTCTAATCCAAGTCTTGAAGAGACGTTATAGCATTTTAAAAATGTGAGTTAACCCTAGACTGTTACCACCTGACTAACGGGTGGTGGCTGACCGGAGACCAGCCCAAACATGGACAATTCGGAGAAGGGCTTTCAGTCGGCGGATGACGCTGGCCGATACGTCTACCCTGCAGAAACCTCTCGCCATATTGCCACCATCCTAGGATTTCCATCTATACAATCAATTGCAGCGGAATACTACCAAACTGCTTGTGATGAGATCGCGCACGTAGCCGCCGCAATCTCCGCGTTCGAGCCAGTTCGTCTATACTGCCGACCAGAAGATACCGCCAAGGCGCAATCTCTGGTTGACCAGGCTGTTAAAGAGACGACTGGCAATACCTCGGCCATATCAATCATCCCGTTCCTCACAAACCATCTTTGGGTTCGTGATACCGGCCCAGTGTATGTTCGCAGTACTGACGAAAGCAATCGACAACGCCGTTTCGCAATTAATTTTCGATTCAAAGAATGGGGTAGAGGAGACAGGATTGGCGAGGATGAGCGCGCCGCAGACGGCCTGGATTGGCCTGCCATGACACCCTCGCAACACCGAGAAAACACGACCTTTGCGACGCGGGTCATTGATTCGGATAGTGTCCCATCTCGAGTGACGCGCATTGAGTCAAATATTTGTCTGGAAGGTGGCGCGTTGGTTGTGGACGGTGAAGGCACCCTCATGGCCACAGAAAGTAGTATTCTTAACGAGAATCGCAACCCCGGTCTCTCTCGTGCCGCGATCGAGGCTGAACTCCAACGTTTACTGGGTGTTGAGAAGATCATCTGGTTCCCGGGTAGGAAGGGTCTCGACGTGACCGACGTGCACGCTGATGCTGAGCTCATGTTCATCCGGCCTGGGGTAGTTGTCCTTTCCCGGCCGCACCCCAGTGCTCCGAAGGAATGGGTTGAAGTCTACGAAGAAATTCGAGGCATCTTAGCACGGTCGCATGACGCAAAGGGGCGCCCTTTTGAGGTGCATATCAGTAACGAGCCCAACCCTCAGGCCCTTGGTTCACTATCGTACGATGAACCAGCGACAAACTATGTTAACTGTTATTTTGTTAACGGAGGTCTGATTGTGCCGCACTTTGGAGATGCCGAACGGGATCGAGAAGCAGTGGAATTATTCCAGAAGTTATGCCCTGAGCGTGTGGTTCGCCCAGTCCATGTGCCTACCCTTGCGTTGGCTGGCGGCGTCATCCACTGCAGCACGCAGCCTGTATTGTCCATCGAAGGTGAATGACATACATACCTGTTTGACTAAAAGATGATGCAGCAACTTTTTACGGAAGTCGAACCTGTTTATGAGAACCAAAATGAGTACCGAGGAGAGCCCTTATTTTGATCAATTATCCTTCCTCATTCTAGAACATATTTGCTACCTCTTGAATATGACCACCCATTACATAGATCGGCGCTCATATGAAAATGTCCGGTGAATATATGCCTTTGCTAAATCAAGCAAAACGCTCAGTTCCTTTGTGAAACAAAGAACTGATTCTCTAATATCTACGAGAAGTGCCTAGACTGGAGATACCTAGGTGAACTATGGCTTCGTGCTGTGGGTGTACTCGAAATATCGAAATTATTTTTCAAGATACCTCAAGTTAAATTTACTGAATTGCATACACCGGCGGGGGCTGATGCCAAAATATGCTCAGTATCACAGTATCAGTAACCGCCTGTCTTCCAATTCAAGACATCTGAAGAATCATATCAGGTGGGAAGAAAAAGCGACCATTTCACTTGCAACTCGTTCGATGGATACAGGAACCGCATATGTGGTTAATAAAGTAGAGAAAAAGTGTGTTAATTGGGAAGAATTGAGCACAAAGGCACTGTGCGTCATTAGTTCAGACGGGTGGTAGTCTTAAGATCATCAATAGCATATTGGCAACAACCCAGTCGGACTATATGCGAAGACAGGGTATGAAGGCCAAGCATTAATATACTAGGATTCTATATAAAAGCTAGGTGTTATCCTCGTGTAAATCAGGATGCAGGGACCTAACGCTGCATATGAGGACTCTCTGTTTCAAGCCAGCTACTGAAATCCTTCAATTTGGGGTGTATCCTCCTCAGGTCTTCAATGTCTGCCTTGTATCCCTCATCGTGGAACCATTTGAACATATAGCCCATATCCTTCATCGACGCCATGAAGATATGACAGGGGAGACTGAATGTAGTCGGAATTGCGTTTCCAGTCTTTCTCCGGTAGATGCGCGCCATTTCACCAAACGTCAACTCGTCCCCAGCTAGGAAGATAGCCCTGGATTTGTATCGCTCGGGATCTGGGAAGGCTAAGGCGCCAAAATAACCGATGTCGCTGGTGGAAACCAATTGGAGAGGCTTTCCTTTCAGAGCAATTCTCTACGATGTATTGAAGACCTTGCCAAAGAATCCCGGGACAAAGTTCTCGAAAAAGGCGGTAGGGCGCAGAATAGTCCAGTTCCATTTCTCCTTTCCGTGTCTTTGCCATTAGATGCTGCTCGATATTGTGCTTATTGATGAAGTGCGGTACTCGGGTAGGGCTATTAATCGATGCTTCGCCACCGCAATCGACGGAGCTGTAGATGAAGTACTTCACACCATTCTTGACAGATTCGTCTATCAGTGCTTTGCTTTGGGTTTCCTCCGATGTGCTGTTTCTATTTGCTGTCTAAAAGCAGGAATATTAGGTGAAGGCTGATGGTTTAATGCACAATAAGGCTTACCTGAACACTAAGAACGCCCCAGATAGGCGTAGAGTCTGCTTTCTTAGCATTCCTAAAGATCTCATGGGGATTGTCCAAGTTCCCTTCCACCAATTGAATATTGGAAGACTGTTCCAGCAATCTCTGAGACGAAGGAGAGTTGACATCACGGGTCACAGCCAGAATCTTATAGGGTCCTTTTTGGAGAATCAAATTGTTGATCAACGCACCACCCTGTTTTACCAGTGGCGCCGGTAACCAACACTGCAGTCATATTTTGTGGTGGAACGTCAATTTATTCACGGTTTTTGGCTTCCTTCTTGTGAGTAAAAACTTAGGGGATTGGCGGCTTCTACTAGACAATGGGAGACGAAGAAGGCTAAAACTGGAGGTGTAATTGAGCAATTAGTCGACCTACGCTAGTCTCTTCATGAAGGATATTTAAGCTTGTTTTCTAGACACCAATGGCCGCTGCTTGTGGATCATGCTCCTGTGGTTTTTTTTTTCCCTCGTTTCTTTCTTTCTCCCCAGGTTTGGCTGACCAATTTATCGTATCCTTCTTCGGCAAAAGCCATGAAACTTCTATTCTTCTAGCATAGTTAACTAAATTTATTACCAATCATGGATGGTTTGTCTCAAAAGATTATTTACTCAGCGCTAATATCAGCCCCGATATCTGATGGTCAGCACTGAGTTCAAAGCCGACGGACCAATGCTGAATAATTAATGCACTCAAAGTCGAGTATTAGTAACTTCGCTACCCAACCGAGGCTCCGAAGTTTCCATCATTGGTTTTTGATGCTTCATGGAGAGACGGCGATAAAACAACGAAATGGCGCTTGTATAAAAGACAAGTTAACGTTCTTGGAACCCAGCAAGTTAAAATCCTATCGATTAACAGCTTCCTCTCTACTCCTACAGAGCAAGAGCTTTCGACAGTATCCTTGAATGACTATCATCAAACGACAAAATGCCAAAGATTATTACTGTAGTCGGTGCGACAGGTCAACAAGGCAGGTCCGTAATTCGCACCATTCTTCAGAACCCCAAGCTCTCCCAGGAATTCAAGATTCGCGGCATCACTCGCGATGTCTCGAAGCCCGAGGCCCAGGCTTTGTTGAAGCAGGGCATTGAAGTGAAAAGTGTAAGCGACGACCCATTAGCAAATGAACGAAATACAATAGAACAAACCTAACCTCCCCTCCCAAGGCCGACATGAACTCCAAGGAATGCCTAAGCCAGGCGTTACAAGGCAGTCACTCGGTGTTTCTCGTCACAACGCCAGCTTGGGGTAACGCTGGCTCCGATGCCGAACTAGTCCATGGCAAGAATGTCGCCAATGCAGCCAAGGAAACCGGTGTCCAGCATTTGATCTTCTCCTCTTTGCTGAACGTCACAGAAACTTCTGGCGGCCGGCTCAAGCACGTCCCGCACTTCGATCATAAAGCTCAGGTAGAGCAGTATATTCGCTCTCTGGGGATCCCGGCTACGTTCGTCCTACCAGGGTATTTCATGACCAACTATACTCAGTTCGGAATGTTGCGAAAGGGCGATGACGGTATCTATACCCTCGCCTATCCCGTTGGCAAAGATGCCAAGCTTCCGCTTATCGATATCGCGAAAGACATGGGTATGCGTCTCTCCTTTTGAATTAATGACATTGTTTTGCTTCGATGCAAGTGTAGCTGATACGCGTTGTATCCATAGGAAAGTATGTTGCGGCAGCCTTGCTGAATCGCTCGGAGGTATTGGGTTCCCAGGTACTCGCTGCAGCGGACTATTACACTCCCAGTCACATCCTCGCCGAGTTTGAGGAAGTCACTGGACAGAAGACGCGGTTTTTGCAGATTGACTCCGAGACATATAAGAATTTTATTCCTGGTCCGATGGGTTTGGAGATGTTGCAGAACCACCTTTTCATCGAAAATCCGGGATACTTCAATGGACGGAGTCTCGAGGAAAGCCAGAACTTGTTGGCAAAGGCAGCCTATCAGCCCGAGAGTTGGAAAGAGTTCCTTGAGGTAAACAAAAGCTCATTTGTCTAGTTTTAGGTGCTATAGCGAGGTCTCTGGCGGTGTGTGATCGCTGTGATAACACATTGAAGTCGATGCCTTCTGAATCGAATAATCCAGGGACAATTATAGAGCTAAAATGCGCATCATTCACCTGGTCTAATGCGAAGTTGTGTAATGCGACTATTAACCTCTAAGGATTAGGGGTCTTAGACGGTGCAACCCGCCACGAGCTCAACGACATCTAACCATCGTGCAACTAAAGTGATGTTATGGTCAAATAAGACTGTTTTGGGTTTTCGTTCACAAGGCCTTTTTAAATAAATGCCGCCCCATACGCGTTGAGTACTAGCAGAGTGGTAGCACTTGTCACAAGGAACTCGCAGGTGAATCGGGGGATGTAAGAATGTGAGCTCTCGCTAGCACGTAAGTCGGGAACAAAGGATTCCCGTGGGGCAACTAGATGGAGATAGTACCCACCCGGATCTAATTCGCCAGCTTTGGATAAGCGACTTGCATTAGTGTCGTTGTACTTTTATCTATATGATGATCTACAGGTAGGGCTGCTATAAACTGGGCTATATAGCCTGCGAACCGTGTCCGTTCACTAATTTTCCTTTGGTTCACTTAAGTTTCGATAAACATATATTTCACTTCTCTACCAGCCATCATGTCTCAGCCGGCGAAAGGATATTTACATAAGGGACCTGTTGATTGTACCCAGCCGATCGACACAAGGAGCCTTACAGGCAAGACAGCAATTGTCACGGGAGGTAATGAGGTCCTGCCTATTCACCGACTCATACATGATTGCTAAATGTGAACAGGTGCCAATGGTCTCGGCAAAGGCTATGTTCGCGCTCTCGTTGCCGAGGGGTATGCTACATATAGGGATTCCTGGACAGAAAGTACACCAAGCAACTAATGCAAGAACTAGAGTGAACGTGTGTATTGCAGACTTAAACGAAGAAAAGGGAAAGGAACTAGAAGCAGAGCTGAAGGGGTAAGAGCGAATACTTCCAATATGTTCCAAGCCCCGTTAACCAGCCACAAGCACCAAATACATCCAATGCAACACCTCCATATGGGAAGATCAAGCCCGCCTCTTTCGTGAAGCCGTTTCATTCTCTCCAACAGGCCGCATCCATTTTGTTGTAGCGAACGCTGGCATTCACCGATCGGATGAAGTGTTTCTGTGTTCCAGCGACGAAGAGCCACAGAAGCCTGATCTGAGTATAATCGATGTCAACATCCAAGGGACCTTGTACACGGCCAAGTTAGCAGCACACTACTTCATAAAACAAAATGGACAGGAGTCCTCGCTAGAACAGGAGGACACATGTCTGGTCCTTATCGGATCCGGTGCAGCTTTCCTTGATTGCCCTCGAGCCCCTCAGTACTGTGCTAGCAAATGGGCCATACGGGGCATCCTGCATTCTTTAAGGAGGACGGCTTTCTATTATGGTAGCCGGGTAAATGTAATCTCGCCATGGTAGGAACCCCTCTTTTCTGCCCGTGTGTCGCGGTGGTTAATCCAGGTGTAGGTACGTCAAGACAAATATCTTGTCTGAGGAAGCATTTGCCCATGTCACAAACGTTGGGGTAAGGTTCGCCACGGTTGAAGAGGCGGGACATTGTCTTCTGCGAATTCTTAGCGATACGAGCATTAACGGACACTCATTCTTCATCTCCGGATCAAAATGGGCTCCCCAAGGCTACATGGATCTGGACCTTGAAGACTATCCCGACAATGAGCTTATCCAGGAGATTCAAGAGGATCAAATGAAGTCCGCCCCAGTCTCTATGGGACTATTTGTGTAGGGAAATTGTACTAGCACTCTGATACTAGTCAAACGAAGATAGGGAGATGTATGTGTGAATTAATGTCAGTTTGCTGCCCCGGATATGATAATAAGGTAGTGTAGAGCCAAAGAGAGGAGAGAAGGGGAAATTGTCAAGAATGAAAGAGAACAATCAACTGGCCACACGCCACCAGTTGCGTATTTCTGTGTCAATGATCAGCCTGTAGATAGAGGCCACAGTTACACGGTCTAGGATCATTCCGCCCAGGAACCTAATAGGCGGCTAATTAGAGCGCCACAACTTGGTGAACTCTTATTCAGACTGTCCAATAGTTAGTTACTGTGATATATCGAGAAGAACAATGCCACTTTGTTCTAGATTTGACGTGGTCAGGATCACAGCCACGCCCTCGTCCTTCTCGGCCCGCGGGTCCGCCCTAAGACAGGTATTTTGACCCGGGATACGATTGAATATGGCAACGCCAAGGACCAAACCCTTGGTTTGGAGTAATCAACTTGCATTAGCCACGGGAGCTAAAAGCCCTAGTGGGTGAGGTTTCATCGGATATATGGGATAAATCCGACATGCTGACCGTCGAGATATGTAGACTTTAGTAAACCTGGCGGCCTCTGGTGTCTTTACATCCCTTTTCTTGCCGGGGGAAAAGGTGTGCTGATCGGCTTATGGGACAGGCTCCCTAAAACACACTTGCTTTCCCTCTGAGATAGGAGCACCTCCTCCCACTTTCGCCTATAGTAGAACCTGAGTGAAAGGTCTACTAGTCAGCCGCAAAATAGGGCTACAATTACATCTCCTGCTGTGTTTCCTGAGCCCTCCGGCAGTATTATTAAAGCTTTCTATATACATCAATGCGCAATTTCATCCTAGCATCGTTATCACTGAGTTCCTTGTGGGACCCAAGACCGCCAAGGAAAAGCTGAAGTTGCAACCTGGCGGATCCATATACATGGCACACACACTACACATGGTTGAATAAGAAATGGGCAGCGTATAGAACGACGTTCGACCAAATGTTCTAAATAGCATTCACAAAATTACGATCCAACATTATGTGGGTCCAGATAACAAGCCCATCTGAATAAAAATCGACCCATCCCGTAAGCAACGTCAAGTTCTGCAACATAACAAAGCTACAGCACAGCCACCAGCATCGCCAGGTTAGCGTTTAGGCAGCACAAATAATCATGAGTGCGGCCAATCCCAATTCACCGTACAGAATACACTCCCACTCTCTTGGCGATATCTCCCCACTCCGGGGGATCCGTAGCCACTGCAGGATTCGCTGCCAAGTCGGCCCGAGGCTGTGCTCTCCACGGCTCTGCTTGTTAGGGTACAAACGATAGAGTCGGGTTGTGATATCAACATAGCAGGTCTTGGAGATGACGAGTTTGTCTTGGCCTGCATAATATACCCTCGTCAGTAGATGGCAGACTCCCATAGGACTTTATACTGATGCCTGGAGTATGCGGGTCGTATATGGGTTAGCTTGACAGTAAATTTACAAGGTTATAGTGTTAATTGGAAGCTTGGTATCGGTGTCACTCTACCGCTATGGGACGTAGATTATAAATGAATGTTCAAGAAGTCTTTTTGGGGGTATATATACCTGGGTGGATATGGTGTTCACTATAGTGGCCCTCAAATCAGTTGAAAAATTTCGCAGCAGCTAGTCATGAGAGTACATCCGGTCGTCATAATCTTTACAGGTTTAATTGTCCTCCTGGAGATTGCTAGAGGTAACTCGCATCATGCCGGAAGAAAAGCTTCAGATGATTCGGGCTAATATCAGCAGGACACACAATAAGTTCTCCTCCGCTAGGAAAAGCGAACTTCATTGAATCGGTTGTGATCCATACACCATCTCAGGTGATTCCAACTCAATCCGACTTCGATATCACGTTCCAGGTTCAAGGGCAAAAACAAGAGTTGAAACTCATACTAGAGCGGAACCATGACCTTCTCGCACACAGCCCTCACATCCAATACCTTGGTCCAAGCGGCATCGTCCAACGAACAGAATCTTTTGTCGGAGATGAGGACAAAGTCTTCAAAGGTAGAGTGTGGACCAAGTCTCCCGATGAGCGTTGGAAGGAGGCTGGCTGGGCGAGAATATATATTATTCGCGATGGGAATGCTCCTTTATTCGAAGGCACAATCAGCGTTTTTACTCAACTTTATGAGGTGACAGTATTAGCGGAAGATGGGAATACCAGCATATCTGGTCCAGAGTGGCAGATGGTTGTCTACCACTCTTCCAGAACTGATTTACGCCGTGATGCAGAGCTACCGAGACAATCCCGCTGCGCAACTGGCCAGCTGGCTTCCAACCAATTGACGCATCATATCGATGATGCTTCGGACGGATTCTTTCTTGATACACCCATCACACTAAAACGACGTCAAGGAACCCTAAATACAGACGATCTGATCGACAGTATCGGCAGTCCGGCGGGATGTCCAACCAGGAGAAGAGTGGCTTTGGTTGGAATTGCAACGGACTGCACCTACACATCGTCATTCGAATCAACCGAAGATCTCCGCCGAAGCCTCATTAATATGGTAAACACTGCATCTCAAGTTTACGAGAGTACCTTCAATATCTCACTTGCACTCCATAACCTGACCATAAGCGACGCAACCTGTCCCGGTAGTGCTTCAGACTCTGCGCCTTGGAACGTTGGCTGCTCGGAGGGAGACATGAACTGGCGCTTGCAGCAATTCACGTCGTGGAGATCATCAATAGGCGATACACAGAATGCCTATTGGACACTCATGACCGGCTGTCCGTCCGGGTCAGAGGTCGGCATTTCGTGGATTGGACAAGTATGCAATTCTCAGTCGAGCACGAATGTGGTGGCGAGGACGTCCAACCAATGGCAGGTTTTTGCGTGAGTACCCCTGTTATAATAAAACAATACCGGTAATTGATGATCTGATAGTCATGAATCGGCCCATATGTTTGGTGCTGTTCATGATTGCGATTCAAATGCATGCGCCTCTACTACTCAGTGCTGTCCATTATCGGCTTCGGCTTGTGACGCGGATGCACAATATCTCATGAACCCATTTTCAACCTCATCACAGACACAATTCTCACCATGCACCGTTGGTAATGTCTGTTCACTACTAGGATCCCGGAATATGAGGACGAGCTGTCTCCTAAGCGATACCAGAAATATACCTACTCTTACCGCTGGGCAGTGCGGTAATGGAATCGTCGAGGCTGGCGAAGAGTGCGACTGCGGCGACAGTTGCGATGACAACCGCTGCTGCAATGGCACAACGTGTCGATTCCAAAATAATGCCGTATGCGATGACTCCGCTGGACCTTGTTGTACGAACTGCCAATTTGCATCGTCCAACACTGTATGCCGGGAGAGTACGGGAACGTGTGATATTCGGGAGACCTGCACAGGAAACTCTACTGCATGTCCTGCCGACCGGCACGCGCCAGACGGGCAAACATGTGGAAACTCATCGGGTCTGTTTTGTGCCAATGGCGAACGTACAAACCGAGACATGCAATGCCGACAGGCGCTGAACACAAATAGCACAGGAGTCTCCTCGTGCAATATTGATTCATGTACCCTCAGTTGCTCAGTAGACTGGTATGGGTCTGGGGTTTGTATGGGCATGAACCGGCGGGTGCAGGACGGTACTCCCTGTCCAGGCGGGCTCTGTCAAAGGGGCAGGTGCCGAAGCGATAGTGACAATAGCAGCTCATGGGTGGATCGCCACCGCTCTATCGTCATCGGACTCTCGGCCGGTATAGGTGGAGCCTTGGTCCTAGCGGCGCTTCTGGGGATAATTCTCTGCTGCTGCTGTCATCGCCAGAAACCTGGGAAGAAGGATACTTCAACAAATGCGTCAGCCAGGAACCAAATCCCTCGTCCGCCTCCTTAATCCACTATGGAAACCAGCAGGTCTACTCCGACTTCGAATTATCGTTATGCTTAGATGATGAATGTATATGATGAAAAGAGCATAGCTCTCGATATACGAACCAATCGGTGGTGTCCATGTGATTTTTATCATGTTAAATGTCTTCCATCGCCTCGTATTACACCCCCCTATGACTGTAGCAACTGTCTCCAGGCCAAAGGCTTCTCCCACCTCCTCATTCTCCAACAATTTGTAGAAACAAGCAGTTCAGAACATCCCCACAGCATCGTTCCCCATTTTTTACAAAAGCCCTCGGTAACCTCCCAGTTCTTAGGGTCCCATGGCTCTCCCCACACGAGTAAGGTCGCGCCTGTATTTCTTGTATCCCAAAAAGCCATCAAATCATGACACAAGTCATCATCATCCAAAGTATTTCCCGCAGCGATGAGATTATCTCGCATACGGGGAAACGGGAAGAAATCCAACCAGGGGTGATGCGGTATAGTCCGCTGAATGAGGGTTGGGCGTAGACTAGGCGGAATCTTCTCCTCCGAGAACCCAGGATGAACGAGGTTAAAGATCGAGATTGAATCGTCACTTTTCATCCAGTCATCGGTCATCCCTATCGCAGAGATATTTTCAATGATTGCTCGATGGACATTCAGACGGCTGAGGCTAATCAGATGCTCTAATCGTGGGGAGCCACACAGATAGCTATCCCTGGCTTTGGCCTCAAACCAACGGCGGAATTGTAGCGCGTATGGTGGAGCATGGGTGCATTTAAGTTCTTCTGTGCTTTCTGCTACGGAGTCTACCGATGGCGTGAAGAGAGCAACGTCTGACACTTCCTGGGAAGCAAAGGAGGTAAATGGGGCCTCTTGTCGTTCTATGGCCTTACCTTTGCGTCGTAGCCCTAGCATTCTAAGTTAATATCCGGCTCAAGGATGTATGGTAGAGGACATTATTTACGGTATGCCCTCTGATTATGGCGGTTCTGTAGTTTTCGCCGTTCACTTCGATCTATGACCCCTGTCCAATCGTCTCCCGGTGCCCACACCCACGCTTGCTGAGGCATGTGCTCTAGTCGAATGGCGGATGATTTGGTGGCAACTCCATTTCCCTGCTGCCCATCCATATTTCGGGTTAATAGTAGTTCTTGATGTGGTAGGATGGAACTCGGTGAAGTTGAAAAACAGATTAATGTAAGTTGCTGACCATCCAGCATAATGTGATATCTCCTTCCAGCCTATGATCAACACGTAATATGTGGATCTACGAAGAATGATAAGTGGCATTTCATTGGAGCATAATAGTTACGCTAATGCATGTTGCTTACGCCACTAGCCTGTTACAGTTAGTATTGTTTCTCGATACTTGGTAACTTGTATTGATTAGCTCGCAGTCTCTCCACCTAGTATCGAAATTCACCCTACTCCGTACAGCAACTAGTCCGAAACAAAGAGGTATTCGAAGCATCAACAGGCCAGTAACGATTTTCGAAAAACAACGTATGTAATATTCAATTGTATGCATTGTGGCTTCGTAATCGAAGTGCAGCGGTTAAGTCGGTTGACATTCTAACCTAGCTAGTAGTTTAATTATATATGGTGAACTTTTTGGAACGTGAGGTGAAAGTGAGGGGGAACATCTGTCTTAACGGACCTAATATGTTAACCATATATGGATTTGAAAAGTGAAATTCAAACCTCATAATTATTGGAACTCGTGTTAGCTATATACTTCATTAGTATTGCAGGTAGTAGTTGTACAAATTTTCAAAAGATCACAATCACAGCATCCCTTGAAAGGTGTCTAGGCCGAACAGCGGATCTAAGGGCAGCAAGAAATCTGAGAAATCCATAGCATTCACAGTCCCACTGTATTGAGTATGGCCCTCTGGAGGTGGTCTACTTTCAAAGGATTGCTGATCGATCATTTGGGATATGTCGAAGCTCCGGATAATGATGTCCATATCATAGCTTGACAATTCATACTCACGTCCGTGGTCGCCCTAGCTTGTTGCCTAGATTTCCCGGAAGACGTCGAGTGGAAGCCAGTAATACGTCCTGTCGTTTCTTCCCTGTTTGAACTCCCGGCCTCCTGGTCCTCCATCTCAACTCCCATGGCTTGGATTAGGCTTAGTATAACCTTCAACGCACGTTTCGACCCTAAGAATAACAGCTGGTGTTCTCTCAAGATTACAAGACAATTTGGAAGACAGTTGTGGGCATAGGAACCTCGGGGTTCTGTGCTGCTATCCGAGCGTGGATAGTGACACTGACATAGGTAGCATAGGATACACTATATGGTGCCAGTCCTATGGATAATGTGGTGCTGTAAGTGTTGAGGGTATCGTGTATAGCTTCAACTGCGGTAACACAAGCCTCAAAGGCCACTGTTGCCACTGACGATGACACGCTACGTAGATGTCCGTCGGACACAAATGGGCGGTGCAGGAGAATCTGAAGTGTATGATATAATGCACTACACAGTATAAGCAGTCATTACACGTGTCTGGAGATCGAGAATGGATTGATACTTACGCCAGGGTCAGAGTATGTGGTGATGCGGTGGAGGCAAAGGGACCTAAATGTTCAGCGGTAAGCCCTGGATGAAGGTTGTCATACCAAGATTGAAGTTGGCGGCCAAGCGATGCTGAAGATTCGAAGAGTACACTTGGATCACCTGAAAGACTGTGTTCTGTATATAAAGTCTCTAGCATACGAGACATGATGATAGACAGAGAGCAATACCTCCTCAAGGTTGACACGTAACGTGCTGGAATGGCTAGATATGATAGAGAACTCCCATAGGATACGGAATCCAATTGATCGTATTCTTCGTATTCGTCTAAGGACCCTAGAGGAATGCTTGCATCCGCCTCTCCGAGTCGGATCGGCCTCCCCTGATACAACGACTGGAACTTGTCAAGAACTATATCCAGAATGGTCAATATGGTAGTTTCAACTTTTGGAAAGTCTGCCTTACCATAGGCTCCCCAGAAAAGTCGCTTTCGCATTTCGGATTCCTCAGAGCTTAAGCCTTTGACCTTCCGATCAGACCTATGATGGGTCTGGATGCCTAGATCCATTATCATATTGATGGCCATTCCGGAGTATAACCAAGCCAGGCTTCTCTCGTCACATCAAGTGAACAAAGAGGATGACACTAAAAATAAGGCTTGTACTGTAGTAATTTCACTGCGAGTCATATGGTAGTTAACTAATTCCGTAATCCTTCGCCGAAACATGCACCCGGCAGTCAGCCGATCACTATGGTCGTCCCGCACCTCTAAGCGGGGCGAGAACTAAGAAGCCGTAAGACAGATAGCATTTAAGAGAAGTTTTGAAAAGTATGGTCCGCCGCATGCCATGTGTCTCATAAAGAGGGGTCGATAAATAACCGCGCTGACGTCTAGTTGGCGGTCCCAGTACAATGACTGAAAGTGTATGGCTAATTCTGGGTTCACCCCGTCAAAGTCATAAGTATTGGACTTGAAGTTGAACCTCTCAAGCTGGCCTAGTTAAGAAATATTACGTCAATAAATCAACTGTGATTGGCAGGCCACATCACTTACGGAATCTCGCAGAGCTAGATACTAACAGATTCTGCGTAGCATCCTGGCCCTCCACTTGTTGCGAAAGCCCTCTGTGTCTCATTGCGTGACTAGACATTATCACGTCGGCAACGGCACTTGTCGGCCCATGAGTTCGCTCTACGGTATCAACTGCATTTTATAAAGGTTGATCCACCATGTTCGAAAGGCTCATCCCATGGCTTCTACTGACCTTCGAAGGCACAATCGAATCAGGCACTGTCTGCGTCTTTGCCGGTCGGAGATCAGGTGCAACTAAGCTCCTTGCGGTTGGCCTATCCCCTGCTAGCTGATCTGCTTCTGCAAACTTTCCATAGCATCTTTCAGTCGTTGATTCTCTTCTTCAAGCCTCGCAATGCGCGCTTTAGTCGGCCTATTCATCTGTTGTAAATTTGTTACCCTGTCAAGATTGACCAACACCTCTTACCGTGGAATCCTGGCCTGTTCGACATACGTGCATTCTTTCCCACGCGCTTGACAATGTTGGCACTTGGGGCGTCCATTGCTACATTTTTAACTGTCATGATGTTGTTAGCTATTGAATGGATAACGGATTTGGCCCAACGAATGCCAACCTTTTTTTGACGACAATATTCACAGGCAATCTCAGCGCGCAATTTCCGTTTTCGTGCCTCAATTGGGGTATTGCTGAGCATGATAGATGGCTGAAGTTACCTCGATAAGCACGATTTTGCCTAGGATACGTGACCTTCCGGCCTTATGCCCCTTTCGGTCAGCCCGGCACATTCTAGTGTAGCACGTGCGGAATTCCGCCCTAGAACTATACCCCAACCATGATGAGAACGTCTTCTTGCTAACCTTTTAATGAGTGCGATGGATTATTAGGGAATCTGAATAGTGATATGAGATCACTATTACAGTTGTACTCCTATTCCTTACATGAGGTCAACGTTGCGAAGGCTGTCTCTTATACCCTCCGAAGGACAATAGTTCCTGCTGGAAAGTCTCCTTCCGAAGCTTACGAAAATATCACCAATTGGGTAAGCAAATATATACGCACTTGGTCTAGACCACCATTCTTGAATCCTGTATTGAACCAATCGGGTGTTTTCAATCCGACAATATATGTATGACCATCGATGCTATCTGACAATTCGGGTTATATATTCAGTGTGCGCCCGTTGTTGTAAATATGTCATTTCTTCCATTCTCTACGATAGGATTTAGAACCTTATCAACTAGGTGTTTCGATTATTATATTCATTGCAATCGATCCTTCAATATCGGCGATTCGGCCAGCATGCCGATGAACAGTTTGCAGCAGATTCCGAGAAGGGCCTAGAACTATGGCGACCACCCAAGCCGGGATCGCCAGGAAATTACCCGGCAAACGAGGATGATACTCAAACCGCGAGATCAACGCAAAGTTTCTCGGATATGCCAAGCGAAACCCATACGGTCCGATTCCGAAACCGACAAGGAGGTTCTGATTATTCGTTATGAAGCTGGAAAAGATCCCATCCATCCACGTGATTGGGGTTTTGCTAAGCGACTGATGGTTACAATCGTGGTGTCATTTATGGGTGTTATTGTGGGATGGTCTTCGTCAATCGACTCGGGGGTTATACCACAATACGCGGAGGAGCTCGGCGTAAGCGAAGTGGTGGCACCTTTATCAACTGGTGTGTTTGGTATCCATTCATGTTCCATACGAGACTAATCTTTAGCTACTAGGTCTGTTTCTTGTCGGGTTCGGGACTGGAGCCGTGATTAGCGGCCTGTTTTCGGAAACCGTCGGGCGGAATCCCGTTTATATCATTACTTTGGTTATGTTCATGCTTTCCTTGGTGGGCGCCGGGTCTACCTCGGATCTTGGTGGTCAGCTAGTTTGTCGTACACTAGCTGGAATCTTTGCGGCCACGCCTCTTTCTTGCGCCAGAGGTACTGTTGCAGATGCCTGGATGCCTGAAGAACAAGTATTTGCGTTTCCCATTATCGCTATTATTCATTTCTTTGGCCCGGTCCTAGGGCCCGTGGTTGGAGGCTGGATCGGACAATCGGGCATCACCTGGCAATGGACTGAATGGGTTACTTTAATCGGAGCCGGGATCGTTCTCGTCACCGTGGTTGTCTTCTAACCAGAAACATATTCCCTAATGCGACTGAAATGGAAAGCAATGCACCTCCGCCGTGTGACCGGCGACGACCGCTACCGAACACAAATTGAGTTCAGACAGGCATCTTTATCAGCAAGACTCATGCTAGCTATGTATCGGCCCGTGGTAATGCTTGTGCAAGAATCGATAATCTTCCTCTTCTCGCTGTACCTCACAGTGGCATACATCATCATCTTCACCTCCTTCACTGGCTATGAGTTCATGTACAAAGACATCTACGACTTCTCTCAAGGTGAAACAGCCCTTTGCTTCCTCGGCCTAGCTATAGGTCTCCTATGCTGCGCCTTCCTCATTCCCCACAATGCAAAACTACACGCCCGCGATGTCTCACGCGCTAAAACAGTCGATCCCCATGGAAAAGCACCCCCAGAAAGCCGCCTTTACTGGGCAATGATCGGGGCGCCGACCTTACCGACCTCAATGTTCTGGATGGCGTGGACAGCGCGATCCGACATCTCCTTCTGGTCACCGCTATCTGCCTCCGTAGTGACCGGATTTGGTATGCTATGTGTCTTCACCACCTGTTATCAGTATTTGATCGATACTTATGAGGCGTATGCTGCGAGCGCTTTGTCCTGCCTTACGTTGATGCGGTATTTGGTTTCCGGGGCCATGATTGAGGTGTCCATTCCGTTTTATAAGAATTTGGGCGTGCCGCATACGCTTACTATCTTGGGGTGTATTAATGCTGTTCTTGTTCCTGTTCCGTATGTTTCCTATAGGTATGGGCCGTGGATTCGGAAGAGGAGCAAGTATGGAAAGATGTTTGCTAGTGTTGGTGTGGCAGACAGAAGGCCTTTTGGATCTGTACATAAAAACTTTACAGAGCGGGCTTAATTTTTGATTAATTTTGAATAAATTGGACAATTGGACAATTATACAAAAAGTGAAGGAAAGAAACAAAGACAAGAGGAGTAGAAAAGAAGCTTGAAGGAGACGATGGTAGAGAAAACCGACAGAAGGAAAGCTTTCGGTGGACCACCTCGACCAAGAGGAATGTTATCTGCCTGAATGCCCATAAGCAACACATGAAGCTTAGTTGAAGTATTTCTTGAATCATGGAACCTGATTGCCAGGTAACATAGGACTTGACAAATTACGCGTGCAGGATAGACCCGAGTGGAGCAACCGCAAGACAAATGATTGATCGTTTTGTTGTGAAAACCAGTACCGGACTGCCGTGAAGTCCCCTGAATTTCGAACGGGGTTTGCAGGCTAGATTTATATTAATCTAAGGCTTCAGATGTTAAGCCGATGGAGTATCTCACCATTTGGCCCTAACCCTAAGAGACTATGGGATACCGTTGCCAACTCCAGGAGCTCTCCTGTAGGTCTTGAATCACACTTTTCATGGATTATACCGAGCTCTTCAATTTGAACTCGATCCAAGGCTACGGTGATCTCTGATTTATATATCCATCTGCCACAAACATAAGATCTGCTCAATATGTTAGTAGAACGGAATCAACACAAGATAGCCCGAGGCCGTCGTATAATTTATGCATGAGCAGGAAGCACCATCGCATATCTCGGCATTAATTGGCGTTGTATCTATAAATTAATAGCCTGATGACCTTTCTTTCGGCCATTCACATCTACGACCCGTGACAATCATTATCCGTTCATCCTCCGTTGCCCTTAGAGTGACAGCATGCGCTAACTGGCACTCGCCGTCTCAGTCGAACTTGCCAGAGGTATTCTAAGTCTGCCTACCGGCAATGATGCGCCCTTCGTAAAGGTCTTCAGTCCGACCGAGGCCGTCAAGACAACTCAATTTGGAATGCGACTGTTGGTCCCAGCGTAGTCAAGCCCATATATTATCAAGACAAAGAGATTGCCGGCAACGCAAAGGCCAGTACTTTGCCTAGGTTAATCAAAAGAAGTCGTTCGATATCACAAACCCGGCTATCGTGGGCTCAGGCGACGACTTTATTGGCATACGATTCACGGCAGGCGAGTCGAGCAGCATTGGTTTATCTACAGCAACCAGAACGGGGCATACTAATATTTCATTAATAATGGCCTACTATCACCTTTGGGCGAGCGGCGAAACTTGTCCCAACTTGACAACACGATTTTCACACACGGCCACAGGACCTCCAGCCAGGGCGCTCTGCCGGAGCGGTCCGAATATCCTGTCCTGGAAGTAAGTTCAAGATGAGACGTACCATCCCTCTGATGCAAGCTATATAACCCAGTACGACTGGTGTGACTTAATTAATTTGGTCAAGTTCTGGGGTGTATACGGCGACAGCATTGGTTGCTCGTACATTCATCCGTCCAAGGAATGCATCAACGGAGATCACCAGGAGGGGGTTATGGTACACCGTGAAAGTAATACAGGAGACACAGTTCTGTTGAACATGATTCACGGGCTCCATGTCCTGACAGACGAGCACGAACTCTCTAAGGGGAGAATATGGGGACCTTGGCTGCAGTACCTCAATGATGGCTCTGTGGGTGATGCGTACGCTAAATACGACAAAGAGGTAGAGTTATGGCCGTACAGCTTTCCCAGTTCTGACATTGAGCCTGGTTATCATCAGCGCATATCTTCCGTGCAAGGTGTTATTATGTCGTCAGATGGCGCAAGCGTCTTGCTGGGCGATAATCAAAGCAATCAACTCTCAGCCGAACACGGTGCTAATTATTACTACCACATCATTTCTGACGGAGACAGAAGCTTTGTATTCGAGAACGTCCGCAGAACAACCTATGCCCCTTTATGCCTGGGCGGGCAATAACTCCGACAATGGCGGTGTTTCTACTAACTTAAAATCTAACGAGGTATTACAATGTCCGGACCTTGCGGCCGCAGTCAAACTAGGTGAATATGCATGGGATACTCAAAATCGCGCCAAGGTCTGGCAAATTGGTGCCCTTGACCGGCTCGCGTGTGGCTTCAAATGCCTGCACTGAGTACTATCACGGCTTATCGGATGACTCTCCTGCAGATCTTGAGTACGACGTAAGTAGCTCGGACACTGCGGAATGGTTCCACGTACAGGCTGCGGAGGGCACTTGGCAGGCCAAATTCGGCCTATTCGATGCCCCCAAGTCTGATGCAGTCGCCGTCTCATCAACTAGCCTCGCCGGCTATAGCTCAGGAGTGAACATCAGGATCATTACGCAGGGCGGTAACATCACAATTGGTGAACTCAGCGGCCCTCACCAATGGTCCGTCTATATATAGAAGTTCGACATTTGGTGGCCTTCATTGATACAAAGAGTTTGAGTTACCGGCCGGTGTGTTCGTGAAGGGTTCGAATACCATTGAGTTCACAGTTACACAAGCATCCTGGTGGTATGGGTTTATGTGGGACAGCGTACTACTTGAGAGGGCTTTAAGCTGTCTTGAATCTCTGCGTGATTTGTCAACGACTGCTTGTCCATAGGTTCCCAACAAGAGTATGGAAAGAACGTGTATTGCACGTTTTGTTGATGGAGCCATTCTGCATTGCTTCACATATTAATCATTTTTTTACGTCTTGCAATCCAATCTGACTATAGTATTACGACAAGCGAGTGGGATTTGGCTAGCATGGTTGCTACTATCTGTTCTATTCCAGTTTCCCAAAGTCATGTCAATAACAGGGAGTCCATGCTGTGCAATAAAAGCATCGTTTACACTTTAATACAAGGATGCCTGGACTATTTCAAAATCCCAAATCGTTCTCGTATTGCTTCCACATTGTCCCAATCGGTTGGACAAGGGTATAACTTCGCGAATTCTGGTCCATAGCTTGTACACCATTGACCAAGTAAAGCGGAGTCATCTCGCCGTCATCACTAAAGAATATCTTCGGCCTCTCGCGGCGTTTCAAATTTTCAACCGATCCATCAGTGAATGTAACGGTGGAATTAAAAGCCTCCTGCAACTTAAAATGCCATGGCCCGGCTAGGTTCCGAGCGTACATATGCGCCCCGACGCGTGGCCATTTTTGCCCCTCGTGTTCGACTATATCGATCATCCAGTGCGTCAAAGTATGCCAGTTCCCTCGCTTGTCTCGCCAGAAAAACGGATCTTCAGTCCATGTTGGACTATCGTTGGATGTGTTCCACTTTTGAGTGTAGAAGAGCTTGTATTGGCCGTCCCATTCGTCTGCGACGAAAATTGCATTTCCTTCGACGCCGAGCAAAATCTGACTGGTTGGGTCCCTTGGTGACCAGAGTGGCCAGGGAGCAGGGTTGGTAGACTGTGGGTCTTCTGAGCTTAGGATCAATTGAAATGGTGCCCATGGGCCTCGAATGCTGTCGGAACTGGAGACGGAGATGTTATTCGGCCACTGGTTGTAAGAGATACTCTGACACTTCTCTGGCTTCGGGGCATCGACGCCGATGGCGTACAAAAGATATTTGTTATTTGCTGGGCTGAAAAAAACATAAGGGTTATGACGAAACGCAGGAGCCACCGTGTCAGCGAAATAATATGGCCCCTGTGGCCCACTTTGAGACTCTGCCCTCATTATGAAAGAATGAGGCCTCCAGCCACCGAGCCCACAGCCATCACCAAACTGAGGAGCAAATAGGTGGAAAATCTTAGGGTCTGTTGGGTCCTGCAAGATTTGCCCACCCCATGAAGAGTTGCCATACTTGCCGAAGTAATTCGGATCCACAACATTGGTGTGATTATACCCTGTGTCTCTGGTAGCCGGGCTGAGATCCAGTCTGCCACAGTCTTCACCAAACCAGCCGGGGTCACATTTACATGTTTGGTTCACTGTGCTCTGGCGATCCTGAGCGCGATAGGTTTCCGTAACGCGAACACAGACGCCATTCAGACTGCAGTCGTCATCGGTATCACATGCGCGAGCAATACCGAGCCCAACGAGCGCCAGACTAAGCAGAGTACATAGAGCATGCATCGGTAGACACCCGACACCAAGTGAATAGGACTGCTACGGATAGAGGGATCAACACACGTTCGCATGGCCCGTCGTGGTGTAAATTGCCGTTGAAGCCATTTGCACCACATGCGCTGCTTTAGAAGTAACTCCGCATCCTCGCGTTTTCGGGATAGAAGGTACCGATGGAGAAATTGTCATCTCACTCGCTCCAGGATCATCCTTGTTGCGCAGCCCCGCATAGCTAATATATCTCTATCCTTATCATTCCTGCAATATGAGCAGTCATGTCGCTCTTCATCTAGGTATGGAGGGTGGTTTCCTGTCCAGCCTCAACCTGGGTTGCATCAGTTGATATAAATTTGGACTCTATACATGATCATCGCTGACTTTTCCATGGTTAGGTTACGTCAATATTCTATAAAGTACTAATGATATGCTGTATTTAATCCATAGCTAGAGCCAGAAAGGACGTTTGAAGGGAAGGTGGGTCAAATATATACATCTTCCTATCACTACGCCCCCCTTAGTAAACTCTCGTAACCTGACTGCATTTCGTTATCATATCCTTCCTCAAAAGTCCACATACACCTAAGTCATATACCTTCCAATCAATAAACACAAGAGTATGAATCGCTCAACACGGTGACTAAGAAGAGATGAGAAATAAATAGATCAGCCGAACCCGAACCCGTGGGAAAATCGCGGTGTTTCAAGTCTCCACCGGCCAACAATCAGCGATCTACCGTTCTTTGGCTAGAATGGGGCCACCACGTCACGACCGCTAGAAGGTCATGCGATTTTTCAGAGTTAAAATCCAATGGGCAGGTCCTACCTAGCTCTGCTGTCAGTCACAGACCTTTGTCTTTATACTATAATTTCCAATGAACACAAGGTTAAGTTCCCACTAACCATGATAAGTAGATGTTTTGCCTGTCTTGTATGTAACCTCACCAGCATCTTAGCGAGATATAGCAAATCCAACAATCACCTAAAACCCAACACCACAGGCCTCACGCTAGCGAGATCTATACGTCCGATCAATATCATGCTGATACATATCTAGCGTACGTCTCCGCCTAACCGTTCCTTGGGAGCTCTATTCATCGTGCGATCCGGTGTGGTGAAGGCCAAAAGGTCAGGGCTCTTGATTCTAAAATGGGCTGGTTGGAGATGAGGCACGTTGCGCTCGCCACACTGCGGGGCCCGATCATAGAAGGTGCGACTTCAGATGGCATGAAATAGTGTTGAGTCTTCCTCCTGAAGTGAGCACCGTTCTGTCGTGAACAATGTGGATATAACCCACGGTCGGCGGTCTCCTGTTGGTGTCCTCGCTATTATAGCATTAGGCGTTTTCCTTCCCAACGAGCCCCCCTACGGACAGTGCTCCAGCCCTTAGATTAATAAACGCTCAACCAGACACGTCGACTTTCTGGCGCGTTCCTTCTCATCATAGCCAACGGTGACAGCTCTCCTTAAGGCCAGCACTCAGTACTCCTGGTCATCAGTGCTGAACATGGCCTTTAGTGGGGTCAGGTGTGCTATGGGTCTCCTTGGTGCTCTGGGGCTGGGTCGCGACGAAAGACACCTAGCCCTTCAAGCCCGTCTTCCCATTCCGGTTCTTTCACAATCGCTACTGGATGGGAATACATTTCCAGACTTCCTTTCTGGCCGCCCCTTTCACTATGTTAGTTATTTCCCTCCCCCAGCGCTTCCAGACAGTCAACAGCCTTTCTGCTCTGCATGCGGGTGTGCGTCTTCTCCCTCACGTGATGCTGGCGCCCATCGGCTCGCTCAGCAGTAACATCATCTTCATGCGTCGACCAGTGCTCCTTTTTCTGGTGGCGGGGGCAGGCTTTCAGCTAGTCGGTCTGGCCTTGATGGACAGTGAATCCGTCAGCACGTATATTACCGTAAAGGTATACGGATACGAGATCCTGGCAGTCTAGGTGTTGGTATCACTTCTAGGACGCTGGTCACCATTAGGCCACCCAGTGTGTCGAGCCGCGAGATTTAGCCACGGCGACGGGGGCAATGATTTGAGTTCCGACCCATTGTAAGCTACTCTCCGCTGTGCACGTGGATATTATTTTCACAGCTGCTAATCCCTATTCAGGGTGGAGCGATTGGGCTCTCGATTAAGTTCTTTCCTGCTCAACAGCTACCTTAAGAGCCGTCTCGCGCCGCCTGTCATGATACCTTCCCAACTTACTGCCCTTTTACAGAACAACTGCGTGGGTTTTACGTTTCCGTCTGAAGCGTTGGGGATCACGCGGGATGCTTTGCCGCTGCGTTTAGCTTGTAGCTCAAGGTAATTGTTATTTCCTGCGACCTTGCTCATGGTGAGAGTGACGAAGAAAGGGGGGGATGGGCATGAAGTCGGGTTGGAGGTATTGGTAGATATTCCTATTCTGGTGTTTTAATGATAGCTAATTGGTCCACAATTACAATCCATTAAATTAGTGGCAATATGGGCTCGCTCTTTAGTCCAGTTTTTATTGCTTCACAACTATAACTGCCCTTGCCGTAGCCCACAACTAGGGAGGCGTGTGGACAGGTGAGCGTATTTCCCGATATGCCTGTGTCTAAATTGGTTCCTCCGGTTAGTGGGACCGATCGAACTATAGGATACGGCTGCCGGTGTAGCCGTCATTGATTCTCTAATCTCGGTCCGCAAACGGCGATGTTTAGTAGGTCGACCCATGGATCTCGGTTGCTTTAAGCATGGGTTCACAACATCACACAAGCTATTGGATAACACGACCTTTGCTCTGCACAATAATTGAAAGTAGTAGACGTGCAACGGCCCCAGGCAATAGGTTAGTCCGTGGCAATGAAGCGGCGCAACCACCTGGATAGCACTCGCAATAGTGGTGAATTACGTCCTAATAATGTTTATTTGGGTCCCGTGGCACTGATGGGTTCATACTTATATCCATAGAATGTACTGGTCTTAGCCTCCACGTCCCTGGTTATCCAGCCGTGTATCGTCTGGTAAAAACCACATCACTAGTCATCCCTTTGCTTCACAAATTTCAAGCTAAATATCATATTTACGAAATCTTCAAACAAGAGGTCCTAGTGGACATTAATCAAGATGGTGTTGTCACTACATGCTGTTTACAAGCCGGGGGACGGCACAACCAAGATGAAAGTCAATCGAGATGGTGCGGAAGCAATATTATCCCCATATGACACTTCTCTTTCCTTCGAGCAGCGTCGGGCGGAGCCCCCGCCACACCGCACGAGTGTGAGCTTCGCTGATATTCATGATATTTGGACCACTGGATCGATCGAATTGGAAGATATCGACCGGCAACTAGTGATAACCCACGATATTGAGGGTGGTTGCCTCACTGTTCCTGTCGATGGCAACAAGGACTTTGATATGTACTTCACTGAGGACGGCTTTCTCGAGTTGGTTTGTTTAGGGGAAGAATGGTCAAGCGGTCAGGGGAACTTTAAGAGGGTCAAGCTTGTGAGAGAAAGGTCTGGATTGTTGTGGTGATGTTGATCTCATTCTTCGTTGGATTAAATCAATTTTGCTCCCACGGGTGAGAGGACGGATCTGTGTTGGAGACTAACACTTTTGTTCACGTTTCGGTACGACACATATATCGAAAGCCTGAAATCACTATCCTTCACCACGGGACATGCCAGGCTTGGTACAAAGAGGCATAAGGGTTATTGGCAAAGTACTGAATTTGGCACAGGCTTGCAGCACTAAAGTACATGTCAAATTTGAAAAGGAACTACGCATTCCAACAATCACTAGGTATATTTGTTTGACTGCGATGTTGACCGTCACTCTTCCTCTTTTGTGGTATACACAGCCACATTTAAAGCTATCTTTCCATATATGATTACAGGCTCTATTTTATAATAACAACTCATAGAACCTGTCCAAGGATTGTGGTGACCTATTCTCCTTGACCTTTATTCTAGACCATTGGCTCAAAGTTTATATTATTCGTTTTGTCAACAAACGGGCTCTGTAAGTCCTCTAGGTACCCTCTGCATAATGTTCACGACAAAGATGGTGAATTCATTAATATACTGTCAGTTCATAATTTGAAGGATTGATCTCAGCTTTTCGAAGTATTTCATTGTCCTAGAGTTGTACACGGGCTGGTATGGCCAGGAGCCAGAAACTAGGAGTTCAACCTTACAGCCAACACGTACTTGACGCCATTGAGTGATGAATATCCTATTTGGGTTACGGTATCAGCCTTTTAGTGTCTGGCTATATTTGGTGTCCCAGTCCAGCGCCACAAGTAGTTAGAGTTCACACAACAGACCAAGAGGTTGTCCAGTGATGTACTTGCGCGAATTACTATCCAGATAACAAATCTTTTCGCCGGTCATAACTACGACTTCTTCCATTGAGAATGCATGAGTACCTGGATTGACGTCGAAGCGGACCTTATCACCTTCATGCACAATCACAGTCATTCCCAGTGGAACAGCAACCTCGAGATTAACAATACTATCATCCTGAGGCAGACGCCAAGACCTGGCCAATCCGTATGGCGTCTCGAAAGATGCAGTTGCGTGTGTAATCCCACCTCCAATGTATGGACGGATCCTTTATGGAACCAAAGACTCTAATAAGAAGGGGAAAAAAAAAAGAAGGTGATGAGTGAACGAAGATGTTGAAGGAGGGGCACAGTCTAGGAGAATAGTAATTTAGCCTAATAGCTATACAGGATACCCTGATCCAGATATATAAATAATCAGTCATCAATAAGGAATATCATGCTATCAATAGTTAGTTTTCAACAGGAAATCTGGTACAATTGGGTTACTTGGAGGTAAAGAGAAGACAACGCACAGAGTAGAGTCTTCCATATGTAGACCAAGAGCCAGCGGACTTTTCGCTCCTCAGTGCAGTAATGGCCAATGGGTGGAACTCCAATCACTGAGAAACACCAAGTGCGATCTCTACCCCGCAGGACACCGGCGAAATACATATTCGTTCACGTCACCTGCCCATAGTTCATTGGCTGTGATACTCGAGCTCCCGGTCCGTATTTCGTTCCTTATAGCGAGCTAACTGCCATAGCATGGATCAATAAGGGAAGCTGATTGGCAATAGAAAATGTCTCACTCATTCAAATGTATGCCTGCGTTGCGCGCCGATATGAATAAGAAAATGCCTCACCCTGTTAGATATAGTGACTGCATTGCTGCGCCCGGATACCCCGCATTAGGACAAAGCCAAAAGCAAGGAATTGAAATAGGTTCCACTAAAAGCGTTGCCGGGGACAGCGATATCAGTTCTAAAGCCATGAAAGGGACACCGCTGAATGCTGTTGCCAACATGCAGTTGGAGCAGGTGCATCTGGGTTAATTCGTATGTGTCAAGCTGCACGCCGAGACATCCTGCACATTTCGATGATGCATTTAGCAGGAAATAGTTTGCTGTGCAGCTAGAGAAGGAATGGGTTGAGTAACTGCAAGCGCTTGCATCGTGATCTGCTGCTTTTGCTGGCATTTCGAATTTCCCACTTCTTGTCAGGCATTCGAGGAACTCCACGCCGATCAACCCGGAGGGCATCAAGAAGATGCTCTGCAATGGGAGGAACTATTCCAGCAATATGAACTTACAGAGAATGAAACTGGCATGTAAACTGTGCAATATTATTGTTAATATTGTGATATATTTAAACCCCTCTCTACCTAGGACTAATATTGTAATCCGACCGAATAACAAGTCCACACGGCTTCAGCTCACCACTTTCCATTTTCCTAATATTTTCCTGGATGATTTCCTTGTTCTCCTCATTGTTCTTCTTGACACACGCTTTCTCCTCCGCCGTCAGCGGTGGAGGCAATAACGATGGATCTGGCTTCCACCACTGCTCCTGGGGCACTCTCGTTCCATCCGCTCCGCGGAACATGTCTTCTATTTCCTGGTCAAATGTGTCCCGATCGAGAAAAGCTTTGATCAGTCGGGGTGGAAGGCCGATGGCGTCTATTACGTCGTAGTCGGGCGTCAGAGTTCGGAGGACGCCGTCGGTGCCCATGACAAAGGCAGCGGTGCCGTCAGTGCTGGACTGTAGGTTGCGCATGATATTGGACAATTCTTTTTGGACAGGGTGATTGTTGGGGTCGGGGCCGTAGCGACTGGTGGCAGTCATTATTTTGTTTTTATTTGGACTATTAGGTAAGGGTTATTGTCAGGAAATCTTTTTTGGAGATGGTCAGAATTGATCATAAGATGGGCCAGTTTACTATTTATATAGAAGTGTAATGAGCCACATGACTACGTTGAAGTTCATGTCCTTTATTACGTCCGCAAAACAACAACACCCAATGGGAAGACGAGATTAAGACGAGAACCATGCAATCCGTGTGAATTAGACCTTGAAAACACCAAATCCAGATCTACCAAGAACACCGGTCTCACTGGCGTGAAATTTCTTTCTGCATATACTAGAATTCCAACGTCTTGGTTTAGACACCCGTCTGGTTGCGAGTTCACTGCGATACGATATCCAGGCTCAATGCAGGAGAGTCCGGCTAAGCCCTGTCGAGGCTAAGATGCCACCGGTCCCAGCGAGTAATGGCTGTGAGACACGGTCGCCTTTCCCTTTTTATCGTGTCCTTCCCAACTCTCCCAAGCAGTCGTTGCACTGCTGTTCACCCTGTGTAGCCATGAAGGTGAAGCCTCTTGCTGAAGCATCCGCAGAGCAACATCTAGGTGACCATTGTCTGCAAGGACAGGTAGTAATAATGGAGCGCTCAAAATTCAGTCCCAACATACCAGCCCACCTTTTTCACGAGTTGGACGAGTCGACCCACAGCGTTCTTCTCGTTCACTGACAGAAGGTCAAAGGCGATCGCACGCTAGTAGTCATCCTGCTTATCATCGCCTATACGGCGACCATCCGCCTGGAGGAACGCCGCACGCCATGCAGTTCTGGCCTCGTCAGCTAGGTAGCTGTATCGCTGTGCATCCTCTTGTTTTCCAAGAATAGAAGCTATTTCGGCTAGCAGAGCAGCCGAGTGAGCGGGATAGGCCGTTGCTACAGTACCTGACGCAAAGATAATATACCGGATTGAGCCGAAGGATCCTTCGCTAGGACGGAGCCCACTTGCCCCAGTCGTACCCGGTATCGACGATGTAGTTTTCCAGTTCGCCCTAGGTTTTTTGGTGGGGGGTCGACGAGTCCAGCTCCTATTCTGTGCACGTCGCGTGGGGAAGTCAACCCAGCGACACATGCTGCTGTAGTGGTCCGCCAAGGCCAGTTTATCTCCATAGGGTCTGTTCAATGTCCACGGTATCATAACTGACGCGTCGCCCCAGCCGACAGATAAGGAGACAAGTCGCATGAGGTATGGAACTGGGCCAGAGAATTTCGAGATTTCGCTGGGAATAAAAGGTAGTATTGCCCCGTCTGGTAATTGATCGCGTCGCATGTTGCGAAGGGATTGACGGAGATAGGACTGCGCGTCGATAAAAAGTGTAGTCGTTGGGGAGAATAACTGGATGCCTCCATTCCATCCTGCTTGCCCCCTTGTCGGGCAGTCCGTTGGCGCATCTTAGATGTTAGACCAGACGCTCCATGATATGTTCTCGTTGAGCTCGTTGAGCTTTGAATCGGAGCAGGTGAATGTGCCAGCGACAGGAAGCTTGCTGGATACCACGATGCCTTCTACGTCGCTTTCTCGCAGCCTATCCTCCAGTCCGTGCACTTCAACATACCGAAATCCGTGGAAGAGTGAAGCAGGGTTCGAACCACTCTTCTTCATCGGATATAATTACCGCATCCCGCATCACGCACTTCGCAGACGGTAAATCTAGATAGGCCGTATCAACTTTTGCGTCTGGTGTCAGAACCTCGCTGTGAGTGAGAATGACTTTCTCTCCCGATCTCCCTGAGAGCCGGATTCGAATGTGGCCAGCGAAGTTTTGCCCAAAGTCAATCAGCTGTTTCCCTGAGGGTAATGTAGAGATCTTCTGAGGTAGCAAACGGAGCATTTCATGTACTCGCTCGACCTCTTCACCTGCCAGCCGAATCTCGGGCAAGGACATAGGCTCGACTGGGAGTGACTCGATAGTCCACGATTTCCCCATGTTTGTGATCGGAGTGTTGAATTGGGCCCTTCAATATTTTCCAAGATTGGTCCGTTGTTAGTATCAACTCTGGGCCAATTGGAATCTCAGCCAAATTCCGTATATTGTAGAACGATCAAACGCTCCCACGTGGCCACGACATCGATGGTTATCCACTTCAAGCCGCAGGCCATTCTTTCCTAGCCGACAGAATCTCGCGACATCGTGCACCAAAGCATCGCCAGTGATAGTGATATCTATTTCGTTGGCAATCAATCGATACCATCCTAAAGCAGTCACATAGACGCGTCCAACCTTCACTTCTGCGTCAAGATGAAATGTACGCTGAAAGTACAATTCCTGCCTTTGGTCATCGAAGGCAGACAGCGCTCGAATCCAATGCGTTTTCCAAGGACATGGATCTAAGACTGTCGTGTCAAAATATTAAGTGTAACTCCAGTTCGAACCCTCACCATTCAAGTCTCACAATTTTGACCCTCCAATATTATCTCCGGGTTGATTTTGGTGAACGACCGGCATAGATCACGCCAAATTGTTCAGACGATGAGACCTTCTCGGAGGACATACAATGTCGTCTTCATCGAAATCCTCGCTCTCAACCACATGAATTTTATACGCAGCTAGGAAGGCATTGGAAAGATCGGTGGATGCGAACTTCCATGACAATTCTGGTTGGGATGTACTGATGGCGGGCGACGAGCGATAGCCGGCGCATAAAGAGCGACATTCTTGGCTTCCGTTGGCAGCAGAACCTTGGTGGGCTATAGAACCAGAGGTTGTCCTTTCCCGCTCAATCTAAGACATTCTTTTACTTAACTGCCGATCCAAAGCTTGTTTACTTGCTGTCTTCTTTCTTTTCTGCTCTTACCCTTATGTCTGCGGTATTCCTGCCTTTCTTTTAATTCCGGAATTTTGCGGATTTTTCTTCCAGAATATGACGGTTGGGCATACTATAATAGGTCCGTAGACTCCCCTAGGCAAGGTAGGGCTGAATGTATATATCCGCGGTCAACGACAGCTTTCCCATATGTTCACATGAACACATTCTAAGTAGGGCATTCCCTAGCAGATTCATCATTTGATCCAAAAAGTGAAATCTCTTTTCGTATAGATTATTGAATAAATTCAACCAATAACCGGATGAAATGTTGTCTTATATTTGGATATATTGGCAAAAACTTGGCGAAAGGTTGAGAGAAAAAGTAACGTGAGTGGTTCTAGTATATTATTAAATCAGGGTGAACCTTGTAGGGGATAAAAATGATGGCCAACCGTCTATTTTAATCCAGTCATCCCACATATCTAGGCTCCGCATTTATGATATCTACTCATAGTTGGTTCCCAGCGCAAAGGGTCGTGCAGCTTCAAGATCAGCGGAGGCTTTATCCAGTTTAGTCTGCATCCTTTGCACGCAGTCCGGACCCAATGGTAGTCGGAGAATCTTCCCCTTCAGCCCACCAGCCACGCCTTCGCCAGTGACCACTTCAAAGATCCGCGCAACGGCCTTCTCTGGATCGCCCTTCTGTTTTCCTTGCGATGTCTTGAATACGTTCAGCACAGCATCGACTGGCCCACCTTTATAAGGGTCACTAAGTCCGCCCTCATTGATCTGAACCGCCGCCAAGAAATTCGTACGAAAAGCGCCGGGCTCCACCACGAGCACGGAAATATTGAACGGCGCTAGCTCGCGGGCTAGCGATTCAGATAACCCTTCTAATGCAAACTTGCTAGCTGCATACAAGCCACATGAAGGTAGCCCATCTTGACCCGCGACACTGCTGACGTTCACGATCGTTCCGGTGCGAGAGGCGCGCATGCCCGGAAGCACGGAGCGAATTAACCGAACAGGGCCGAAAAAGTTGGTTTCCATCTGGAGGGCGCATTCTTGGTCGCTATCATTTGCATAATGTTAGTGTCTGCTTAGATACGGAATGGAAGACCGGGCGCTGACGTACTTGAAGTCCTCCACCGCGCCCAACAGCGAGTACCCCGCGTTGTTGACTAGTACATCAATACGGCCATACAGACCTTCTGCCTCTGCGACTTTCTGGGAGATGGTGTCGGCTTTGGTGACGTCTAATTCAATGACCTTGCCACCCTGATCTTGAATTTTCTGGACCGCGTTCGCGGACTTGGATGTACTGCGAACAGCGCCGATAACATGATGCCCGGCCGCCAGCGTGTGCAGCGCAAGTGAGAGGCCGAGACCTGATGAGGCTCCAGTGATGAACCAAACGAGAGGTGCCATTTTGTCGTGCTGTGGATTCCTGTGACTAAATTAAGCGACGAAGGTAGTTTGCGTTGGCAATAGTATATGGGGGTTAAGGTCCTATATATAACCTCAGAGAACTAGGTCAACACCCGGCGATAACGGCGTTAGGGCGGTGTTAAGGTCGCACTCACAATATTGCTAGCTAAGCACAATTTACAAATGACATTGGTTATTTGGTCAAAGTGTGTTGGACTTACTGTTAGTGTATGAACGGTTAGTGTAGCAATATGCCGCAGCGTGAAGGTTAAAAAGTAAGCAATCTGCTCGATGGTCGTCCAAAAGGCTATAGTCCTACCGTCCTGAAATATTTTATGTTAATGAACAAACGAGTCTAGCCTGACCTATTTGAAGCTCACTATATTCAGATCATGATGGCAAAGACTGCTCCTCTCTTACTAAAGAAAGTGAGCTACGCTTGCCTCCATCACAGGCTCCTTGGCCGATATCGCCTGGTCTGATGCACATAAGAAATATTATCAAACATCACTATTGCGAACTACTGGTCGGGCGCGTGATGGGAGATTGCGACTCGCAAGGTTGTCCTTGGACCTGATTGACGATTGCCAACCGAGCTGAGTCGATGTAGCACGGTATCGATACCTGTGATGCGCCGAGCTGTGTATGTAATGGCTCTAATGATCTGCACTCGATTCTCTCCATGGAATTTCGTGATCAATACCTCCGATCGTCATACACACAATGCCGATCGGTGCTCGTAACCCGTTCGCTAAACCCCCTACTGGCCCACCATATTGCTATGAATACGAGATGCCGAGAAACGGGGCACATCGTATCTCCACCGATGATCTGCAGACAACTGATATATGAAGGACCGGAGGGTCCATCAAAGACATTGTTGCAATCTTTCGTCTCGCACACACATCATGTCAATATCTCATATTTTATTACTGATATTGTCCACGTTCGTAATAGAGCCTGTGGCGGCATCCAAATGGGCTACAAAGCTAGACACGACGGCAACAAATATCGGGCCGCTCACCACGCGTTTCACTCCTCCAGCATCATGTTCGGATATCCGTACCAGGACGTACCTGGACCTCTGGCCCAAGCTCGAAATGGGCTGTGAAGGACCTGGCGGGAGCGACTGTTGCCCCAGCAATTGGCGGGAAGATGTCTACTACAGCCCTGGAATGTGTCCTGCCGGGTACCAGAGCTGCACACTGCCCACGTCGAAACAACGCCGAGAGACGACTGTCATGTGCTGTCCAGAGTAAGTGAGGAAACCATATCAGGTTGAGCTCCCCCTGTCACATTACTCACTGTGTATAGTAATTTCGCCTGTAACGGTCAATTTCGGTGTACCCGCCCGTTGAATACGAGAATTCCTCTTACCATGGATGGCCCCAAGACTACTACAACGCGGACTGAACATGCTATAACGGCCACCCCAATCCAGATCCGCTTCAGAGCGGCCGAGTCAACGGTTGTGCCGGTTCCAACTGCGTCGTTAGAGCTGCCGAGAGGATATCTTTACACACGCGAAAAAGTTGGTATCGGGATTGGAGTTGCCGCTGCCGTTGGTTTGTTTACAGCTGGCGTATACTTCTGCTGCTGCTACGGTGGGAAGAAGAGAAAAATGAGGGCTAGGGTACCCACGACTCCCCTAGAAGATAATACCACTAGTACGCCAGATGGACCTCCTCCGGCCTATCCTGGGAAATAGCAGGTGCCGAATATATAGTTGAATAGCACACATACAATATCGATGTGAGCGAAACCAGAGGAAGCTTGGTTGTATAGGAAAGGCCAGGCCGGGCAGCCTTGTAAGGTAGGACTGGGGCTGTGCACTGCTCTGGTATTTTTAGCATCGCTAACCTGACCTTGGTGTCCTCGTATTTACCCGCCCTTCTTTCTAGAGTTCAATAACATGGATAACAGCAGTCGATCCCATGTTCCATCATATATTCACAGAATTGTGAGTGTTCATATGATTATTCGAAACTAAACAATATGCTCTAATAAGGTACTCCGCAACTCTAGCTAACCATGAGAGCGGTTCTTATTTCATTTCCTTGTCTTGCTAAGCACAAGACCAGCAAGAGCGTATAGAGCATACCATCAACCAATAGACAGTAATACCTTACCTATGCCCCGCCCGTCAAGTGACTCTGCAAACGAAGAAAATGAGGGGTTGACTCGCTGCTTGTGGGCAGACTGGAGCGTCTATGACGACGAAGTACAATGAGCATAGAAACCCCAAAAGCTTTGAAGATGAGGTAGGTTAATCAGGTGCGAGCCTGGCAGAACAGGCGGCACGATGATTGGACACTTCGTCTAGAAGACAGTCATTGGACCACAGAAAGTCCATAAGTACAGTATTACAGAGATTGATTCTAAACCCAAGGGACTAGAGATCCCCGCAGAGGCGGCCCTCGGAACCAAATTCCAGCCCCATGCGAAGTGGCACCCGCCACTCAGTGCCATGGAGCTACCTCCTAGAAACCTGGGGTAATTGAAGATTTGACATAGCTTTTATGTCGCCTGGACCGTGAGAGGTCTGGGTCTAGGCTCGGCTCAGCGTAATTTTCAGCCACTTATTTTTGTACCCGAGAAAAGACCGAGCCCCGTGCCTCCCGTGGATCACCGTAAAGCTTCTATTCGCCAATCAAATGTGCCTCTTGACTTTGGGTCCAAGCAAACCCGAACATATCCATAAGGAAAGATTGGACAGAGGACATCTTCGATTGGTGGGAGCAGTGTCTATTAAGTTGTTTGTGGAAACGATGGTACTGGCCTGGCATCATCCGACTTGACAAGTGTGGTACCAACTGTTTGAGCAGGCAGGGCCCAGTGGATCATAATTGTTCCGTGTCAGTGGTATAGAGAGTGAGAAGCAACTCTTTTAGAAACATGGCCAACGCACTCATGCTTAAAGGAGGGCCACCGGCCGAGAGCAGATGTAACTAAGAAACAATAAGGTCAAAAAGAGAAAAACATACAACAGCCGGGATTCGCTGGTGGTCACCCACCCAACTACTAACCGGCCGGCGTGTGGCTTAAGTACGGCTGAGCGGACGGGAAGCCCTGTTCTCCACACCCTATGGTCGTATGTATCAGTTTTTGGTACCTATTTCATTTATTTCGTAGCACACATATCTAATTATTTCTATGGATTCTTGTCTAGGAGCAAGATAAACGGTTATCAATGCTCTGCTCGTCGATAAATCCTTACCACCCAGCCAAACATAGCAGAATGGTAGATCGCTTTGTATAGTACTGTAGTTGAGGGTTCGGATCGGTTGCAAAGGGAGGAAACCGTGGCACGGGTCTTATATCGTCCAAAGGATTCGGCCGAATAAAAGGGATGTAGTAGCACACATTCCTGGTTTGGCACTTTTGCTGGCATGTGTAGCCAATAACTTATTATTGTAGGATGAAAATGAAACCCTTGTCGGAGTAGTCGATTAGGATGTCGTGCCACGCACCTCGACACAGACGATGCCTTAGACTCTGGGCTGAAGTGTTGCGCCTTTGCTAATGGACAATCAAAGTATGCAGTCTTCTTCTGTTTGACTGGATGATTATGAGGCAGAGGTGAAGATGTATCACCCCGGCCTGCCCTTTGAGATGGCGGCTGTCATATGCGACTGCTGGTCGTATTTCTCGATGTGTCTTCCTGATGATAAATCCCCACTGATGCTCGCAGAGCTTGGAAAACTGTAAGTATTCCTCGGAAGGATGTACGAAGCGTTTGAGGTACATCTGTGATAGCTATGCCCTTCTCGGTAGGATGTCATTAGGGTAGAGATGTGTCTTAGCCCGCGCTTGACATGAGCTGGTTAGCAGTTTACTATATAAGGTTTCGTGTAAGAAACAGGGCCCGGTAGCTAGCATCACCTTAAGTGCTCTGATATTGAATATTGTGGTATATACAATCAATATTAACCTCTAGGTCGCCCCTTCAGACGATAGTGTCTACGGCAGGACTACGTAGAATAGGATCCTACCCTAAGGGTTAACTTTGAGCTCTACATGGTGTAAAGCGTCCAGCTCTTTGCGATACACTAGAACTTACTATAGGATATGGGGGTGGAAGCAGGTATGGTTTATGGCATGAGTTTGGATCCGCCTAGTACGTAGATTATTCTCGGATACGGCTCGGCGACCTTTTGTGATGCTCCCTTGTCCAGAACGATCTAGCTTTTCGGGGTTTCCTCCAATTAGCTGTTTTCACTTCTGATTGGTGCACGTTTGGACGTGATGGGTTAATGGAGCGGACAAAACAGCCGTGCACGAGGCTCAGGGCCCACTTGTAGTTACGATACTTCTATAGGGTCATGCAATGGGTTTCGCATGAGATAAGACCGTACTGGAATTATTAAATGGGTATGAAAACATTATACGCAGCCTGCATTCGGTACGTATATGACACAGGAGCTAGTAGTCAAAAGACCGTTGTATTCCAATGTTCATTCTCACTTAATCTGCGCCCTTCTTCTTCCTCTTCCTCTTTTATTTTCTTCTCTTTTCTCATTCTCTCCCAGTACGAATGCAGTGAAACGAAAATATCAGAAGGCCTACTTGACAGATTCTCCTCAGTGTATTCTATGTTTTCTTACACACGTCATCCACTTTATTGGAGCTCTCTAGGGTCCTTCGAGCCCACTATACTCTACACGGAAAGAGGCCCAACTGGCTGATATATCAAAGCAAAGAATAAGGAAGTCCCGAATGTTTTGTGCTGCCCTGGACATCGGTAAGGTTACCCGGAACTTTGTATAGTATCCATCCTCAACGGGTAATAGTTGGTGCGGAGTAGTACGAAAATGTCTTGGTTGATTCTCCAGGGCGTCAGCCATTTCGAAACCATTGAGCATATTCATTGTATTGAGTGAGTCACATCAGTCACCTTGAACAAACCCCCTCCCCTCCTCAGTACATGCTAACCGACCGCGGGGCAGAAACCTTCTCAGTGTGAGGTGGCAACGTCCTTGGCTATCGCCTGGCCTGGAACTAAGCTCCGGACCCAAGGTTAAAGAACTTAAACGAAATACTCCCGGCCAAAGTTTTTACTTTCCATGACAGCTCCAACCGAAGGGCAGCTTGCCGCACTGGCCTATCGTATGCTAATCCATAGTTCTCAGCCACTGACGCTCTCGCCAGGGCTATAAATGCCACCGCGGGCTAGACCGACCTATACATAATGGACCACGACTAGACCATCCTCGTCTGTCCATATGAGTAGGCGAAAGACACCGGAAATATTTTCAGTATTTAGGAACATTATTATTGAACTCCATTCTGTTTATGTTGCGAGTACCCCTTTCGCTATCTGAACATGACTATCTACTACGCAAACCACAACCTCTCGCCCGATCAGAGTGATCAGTGGTCAATGGCTTTCTCGTCGCTTCCTACTCCTGACTATGATAGCTGTCTGGGCTGGTCCATGCTGGGACTGAGTCCTGCAACTTCTGAGCCCGTCCCAGGGCCGCAAAACGCCCAAGTAGAGTTTGCAGATCTCTCATCCACCGAGGCGTATAGTCTCGACATAACGAAGGACTACTGGGGCCCTTCTACACATTCATATGTAAGACCCTACGATTTTCCACCAGCATCTGCGACTGGTACTAACCAATCTGAAGGGCCTTGGCACTTCTGGCTATCACACCCCGATGCCGATCGGTAGTCCTGCACGTCCTATGTATCCAGAGCATCAGCAGACGGGGGTGAACGAGCCTGGAAGGCCGACTACCGTGCCGCACACCGGCATCCAGACTCCGCAGCGAAGGATCCGAAAGCTGAGTTATAAGCTGGGCAGTCCTAAATCGCTCCCAGATCACTCTAGTCCACCCCCGATCATGCCAAAGCCAATGCCAAGACGACGATCATCGCAAGACAGCACCACATCGCAGCATCGACGATCAGTCTCTTCAGACAGCAAGGATGACGATCCGAACATATGTATGCTGCGGAAGAAGGCCCACAATCAAGTTGAGAAGCGTTACCGCGCAAACCTGAACGCTGGGTTTAAGCAGCTGGAGGATGTGACTAAACAAGACTGCGCAACCTCAGCGACTGACACTAAAATGGCTAAAGGCTTGAGGCCCGGTCGCAAAGCGTTGATTTTGCAACATGCCTACGAACATATTGTGGGTCTTCAAGCCGAACTTCGGTCGTTGCAGATGAGGCTCGGAGAAAAGTAAGGTAGGGCTGTACTTAGATATTGCATTATCGTTTTTATATACCACGCGCGCGCCTATTCTTCTATTGCCTCTTCTATGTCTCTATTCATATCTTAAAAACTATACTGTACCTTATTACCCATGTTTATACGGTCCACATTACGTTGCGCGGAGCTACTTTGGCACACTATACTGCTACGATACTATATGGATTTGATCGCTTAGTTTTCTGGGAACCGCACTCGCGAGATACTTGATGTTGGATGGAGATTTCAAACTTCTATAAATGTCTTCTATAATGAATAATAAAATTCGTTAGCTGAGACTCTCTATGCAAATGTGGCTTTATTACTGTGTAAGGAAGTGTGTGGTATGGAGTTACTGTGAGGGCATTGAACCAGACAATGAGAGAGAAGTGAGGCTTCGAGATTCTTTCATTGCTCTCTCTCTACTTTTAATCATTATTCCTTTTCTCCCTTGCGTGATCCTTTTACCCAGTAACACAGGACAGAACTAACATCAATCTCTCCCCGATCCACAGGAGCCATGGAGGAAATGCCAGACGATCTTTCAACCGATGAAACCAGCAACAATAGCCTACCCGTCAGCAAGTTTCCCCGGTGGTAAAGTCTCACTAAGAATGCTGGGAAAGCTAGAAGTTTAGCCATTTACAACCAGTGCGTGGCTGCGATTCGGGGAACTGCAGTTCCAGAGAACTCTACACTTCACGAGAGCGCGCTGCTCAGTAAGCTGTGGCATCCACTGTTACTATGGGTTTGCATTAAGTCTAGTTCTTGTCGAACTGCACCCGAAGTATTTAGACATTGCTACCCGAGCGGCAATTGTTTGTCGGCCTATAGAAGCTGGGGCCCTCAGCCTTCGCACTCCTAACTAGACCTCTGTAATTTCTGTCAATAGGGCCCTGTTTTTGTCGAATTTTACTCAGCGGATCCGGCAGGTCTAGCAGCCGATGAATGTTTTGGAGTTCCTTTTCACAGTGAAAAGACAGAACGTCAAATGATGAATGATGACGCCTGCGCAATGCTGAGATAAAGGTCAGAGTCAGGGATCTAATTGACAAATTCTCATGGGTTCCACTGCTGCAAACATCGGCTACTACGGATTGTTGCTGAAGAGGGGTACATGCTGTAGGCAGCATAGTGGACTATATCGGAGTCTATTTTCTGGAAGCCATAATGATACATGCAGCGAAAACCAAGCCGAGCTCTCCGTATGGAAAGCCATCCGGAGCTTGGTTCGTCAGGAATATGTTCTCGTCCCCAATCCATCCTACTCGGAACGGCTCAGAACCACATTTGACCATGTCGATCTGGAGTACATCTTTCGAGGCAGGCGAAGACATGATCCGGGGTCCACCTGTTCCATTCCGCCATACATATTGAAATTCAGTCTCACTGTGTCTTACGAGTCTACCAATCCAGCCCCCTTCGTGGCATATGGTACCATCGCCACTCCGCCCCTCATATTGCAAAGCTGCAACAGGCAAAATATCTCCCGAGGTATCCTGCCCTTTTATGCCATCCCCTTCTAATTCTACGTCGGCGGGTTTTAGTCAATCCCCCGTCCAAATTTTGTTTGCTACCTTCAAATGAAAAATGCCCGGGTGCCATAGGTTGAAAGCTGGAGTAGCGCGACCAGTAGCGGAAAGGCGCTGAAGCTGCAGTATAAGCCTTGAGTGGAGGTGGAATCGACGATGAGTCTTAGGTGATACAGCACGGCCGATATGAAAGATCGTATACCTTGGTGCCAACGAGCCACTGTCTGGAACGATTAGTTGCAAACATGTGGCTCGGGATGACCTCTTTCACCCACCTCGGTGCTTCCTGGGCGTCCACTGAACAAAGAGACTAGGCATCGACCACCATGGTGTTAGATGGGGAGGTGTATTTTCTTTTCTTGTACCAAGATACTGGCGCTAAGGATGTAGGGAGAGTACAGGGGCCGTGGACCGGTGGGTCGCTGCACAAATATGCGCGGCGAATATTATTATATAGTACCTTGGACACTTCCGGAGGTCTTTGTATCCCGGCTCCGACGCCGGCTCCCCGATCGATCGACATGAGCGAGGGAGCGACATAGCCGCGTGGGCTGCCTGGAATTAGTGGTGGGACAGATCCACATTTCCCTCCGGGCTAACTATGATACTATAATCGGAGCCCTCGAGCTCGAAACTGTATATTCATGCCTGTACAGCAGGATTGATTGGCGCGGACAATAGTAAGAACAGGATGGAAGCATTTAAAATGGATTTTTAGTTTTATAATATAGGCCTGTCTGGAACCAGGATCAAGGCCGGCGGCCGTCCCGCCCGTATGGCATATATGGAGGTAGACACACTATCTACATACAACCCTCCTCCGACAAGGCTCTGCGAATGCAATATACGCATGAAGAGTCGTTATTGCTCAGCTCCATGGTGTAGTAAACGCTAGCAATGTTACTTGAAGGGAACGGGGTTACAAGGGAGTGAAGATTTTCTTACCAATCACAAGCCCGGCCTCGCTGTTGGTGATGATCAGGATAAATTCAACCAAAGCGCCCCTTTTAGCAAACCGGAAAGATCCCAGTACCAATCCAATCTGCGTACGGCTTGTTGCAATGGTGAGCTTGCGGCCAACCTCTGCTGTAGCGCATAACGAAAGCGCCGGCTAAGCTACCCATCAACTTCGCCAATGTCCTCCGCCAATATCGCCACCCCGTCAGGGAAACTGATAAGGTAGCGAAGGCGCATTGACACGCATATCATACTTCAATTGATGGCCGCCATGTTGCACACATGCCTCCCTTCGGTATCATCTTGTAGCAATATACAATAAGATATCCAATAGGCATATTGCAATACCATCATTCCCGTGCCGTGAGTTGACAATTGAGCGTTGTGCCTATGCTTCGAGAGCTTACGCAACGCTTCTTGTTCTATTCTAGTATTCCCCTAGTTTAGGGTTGCTGGAAGCCGAGGCTTCTGAACCGCATCGATTCCGGCTGATCTCCCGCTTGAAAATAGAACAAGAATGGGGGTCGAATGCAACGCAACTAGTACCAGTACCAAGTACTGGAGGTATGAGAGGTAGCGTCGCCCACTTGACTCATTTGAAGAATTTACTCCTCTTGAAAGGGAAAATACTAGTTTGACACCATTTCCTTGGTAATTTATTTCCATACTACTTTTTCTATCTTCACGCCGTTGTTTATAAGAATAAGCGCCCTCGAGCGTAGGGGGGTGGGCTCTCCGTGATATCTCCCAAAGGTATTGTGAAGCGAATGAAATGAGTGGGTACCCGTAGCGACGAGCAAGTAATACTAATAATCTGTATAAATAGTAAAGTTTGGTAAAGTCGAAATATTATTGGATTTTTCAATTTTTGTTCTAAGTAATCGAAAAGTATTAACGTATTTCTTGGGCCACCCGGCCACCCTATGCATTCTGTACGCGCCTTAATTTTTGAAGCAATTCAACCACCAGTCATACCACAAAAATGGTTAAATCATCAAAATCTCTAGTGAAACAGGAAGGCAGGATTCTGCTGGCTATGTGAGCTGTTAAAAACCAACAATTCAACAGTATTCAGAAGGCTGCCCAAGTTTATAATGTGCCTTGTTCTACCTTGACAGATCTCTTAAAAGGAAACATTTTAAACCTCAAGTGCGCTCAGAGAATTGTAAATTAACTATCTCTCAACAAGAATCGCTTGTACAGTGGATTCTATCCCTAGATCAACATGAAGCAAGTCCTCGGCCTACTTAGATACAAGAAACAGCCAATCTTATACTTGCTAAGCGTAATCCTACTGTTACTCTTACTCTTATTGGCAAAAGCTGGGATTCAACCTTTCTTAGGCGCAGGCCTGAGCTGGAAATGTGCTTTATATGCAGATATAACTATCAGCGTGCCTGGCCCAAGTAGGTAAATAAGGTTATTCAGCAGTATGGTAGTACGTCAAGTGATATCTATATTTTTGATGAAACGGGATTTACAATAGGGGATTTACAATAGGCCTAGTAGCTACTACTAAGGCAGTTACTAGGTCTAATATTCAAGGAAAGCCCTTTTTTTGTACAGCCAGGGAACTGGGGAGGGATTACCTCTATAAAATATATTAGTCCTATTGAACAGACTCTACCTCCCTGAATCTTTTTTGGCCAAAGTGTATATAGAGGCCTGGTACAAGAATGGAAATATCCTATCTGATTAGAGAATTTAAATAAGCTCTAATGGTTAGACCAGCAATAAAATCAACCTACGCTGGCTGTAGAATTATTTTATACCTACTACTACAGGCTGACCTTCGGAACGATATCGCTTACTTATTCTCGATGAATATAATAGTCATCTTATGTCTCAATTTGATCGGATTTTCTCAGAGAATGACGTTATACCAACCTACATTCCTGCTCATGCTTTTCACAAGCTTCAACCGCTTGACGTTACCTCCTTTTCACCTCTAAAATAGGCGTATGGAAAATCAGTTGAATCTAAAATGTGTTATATATTCAATTGTATTGATAGAGATGATCTTTTATCAGCATATCCTGAGGCCCGCACGCAGGTATTTACTAGTAGCTTTCGAGGAACTGGATCTGTTTCTTTCAATCCTGGGCAGGTTCTTGCTAAATTGACTGTGCAGCTTCAAACCCCTATACCTCCAGGCAGCAGACCAAGCAGGCAAGGCAGCTCAGCGCCTAAAACACATCATACCGTGAAACAGCTGAATAAATCAGAATCTGGACTAAAAAAGTGTTGCTGAAAAGTCAATCTAGAAGACTTGATTCGCCTGCTAAACTATATTTAAATCAGATTTTAGATACTGAACAGGCTCTAGCTGAGGTAACTATTTTGAAGCATCAAATTGAGCAATACTAGACCCCTCATGAAAAGCAGCCTAAAAATCAAAAGCGCTGAAAAAGCGGCTTCAAATAGAATCAGGTATATCAGTTTAGGAAGCAAGAGTGCTTAAAGAAAGCAGAAATATGCAGATGAAGCCATACGGGCAGATGGGGCTTTACCTACTAGATCGGCTCCTAGACGCCGCCCGCCACACCTAGGTGTTCTGGTTATAATGTATAGAACCATAAGATAACGAACTGCCTGAATCGATAAATTTACTCATTATTCTATAGAAATGCAATTATATGGTGTTTTGCATGGCTTCAATTTTAGAAGGGTGGCCGAATGACCCGGGAATACTCTAATTTGGTTAACTAAGACTATCTACTATCCTAATTTAGCTAGGTCTGATTAGCTTTTTTAAGCATCTAAATATAAGTTTCCTTTGAAAATTAGGCCACGATGCCGCTTTTGAGAAAGGTTACTTGTTCGAGAGACGCTCCTACTATTGAAAGGGTTGCCTCGTTCGGCGACTCTCCGCCTTTAACCCATTTTACTTCCGAGAAATTGCCGGTTTTGAACAAACTGGAGAGAGAGACGAGTAGCTCAAATATATTCTTGAAGATAGTTGGGGTATAACTTTGGTTAGTAATAAGGGCTATATCTAGTCATTTAGGAAGGTATTTATATAACCCAGATATTCTGCGAAGGTTTAGCGTGAAAGCTTGATGTACTGTAAAATATACATCAACTACTACGTCAAGTGGAAGCCTACCGACTATAGAAAGAGATGTAGTCGTCAAAAGACTTGATTGTCTCTGCTATCAGGAAGGCCTATCTGACGGGATCATGGGCCAATTGATATGTAGACTTCTGACAAAGGAATGCAACGTCTCGCTTAAATTCACAAAGCACCTATCCACCATATGCCTGCTATGCATACTAGGTGATTGCGTGGTCATTATGGTCATTTCTACATCGATACGTCAAGCTTATCACTAGACTGGAGAAACAGCTATCACTTTCGGTTGCTAGCTCAAAATCGCCGACAGCTTCCGATGATGAGATACCAAAGGAGGCGCCTAGGAAAAGCCAGATACTATGCTACACAAGGTGCTATTGCCAACTACTATCGCCAGCTACATTCGTGTCGCTGACAAAGCGCTGGTAGTTAGTTACATCAACTTTCATCGCGACTATTTTAGTGTCAAGGAAATTCTTTCGCAAATAGTTGATTGCAAGCCAAACAATTTTCAACTTTGGCCCTTGACACTACCCTGCAAGGGTATATGGTTTCTGTTTTCACCCTTGGGGCCGTATTTGATGCCCTTGGCAGAGGCCCAACTGCCGACCGGCTCTCTTGACGCCGGTCCATTCCCCTAGCAAACATCATTTTCCTCATAGGATCCATCAGAGGCGGCGTGTTTGCCTTACAGCAACTTGGCATTACTGCGGTATCATGGTGGCATTTTGGTTCAATTTCTGTACACAACACGATGGCAGAACGGGGGATAGACAGTCGCCGATTGTGTGGCGGCTGTTACACCTACTACTATGCCGGTCTGGGTCCAAATGGTCGGGTTTATCTACGCTGGAGCTACGCTTGGCTTTGTGACATGGATCTGGTTTTGCGTTGGTGAGACTATAGGCCGCTCGAACTGGGAGATCGCACAGCTGTTTCAAATGCGCGTGCCGGCCAGGCAGTGGGACACCTTTCTCCTTCACTATATGGAAGAGGATGATTCCAGTCCTCCCAAGGATGACCCGAGGGATGTCACTCATGTGGTGAGTGTACCACAACGCTCATCGGTTTAGATTGAGAATAGTTCAATTTGCCTCAATAGCACGAGGCTCGACCGTAACAAGAATGCGTAATGCACCATGGCCTATTTTACATATCCATCATAGTCTTCACCAATAGTAGCCATGGCCGTGGTCCATGTTCTTGTCAATTTTTCATCACAACCCAGCACCGGTACAATGTGAGAGGCCGGGATATGCCCATTATTTTCGCCGTTGTGGTCCGTTGTCCGTCCATCGTTAGCCGTTGCTCAAGCCTAACACGCAGATTTCTGGGGGACTTGAAGATATACTGTCCTTTCAGAATTCTGGAAAATCAGATGCGGACGTTATTTACGGCGAGAACGTCTTCCTAGGATATTCCTGGTACGAACAAAACAATCGGTGGCCTCTTTTTTTCTAATTTCGGCTTGGCGTTATCCTATACCACGTCCCACTACAGCAACCTAGTGGCTCCGCTTGTTTTTGATTTTAATCCACAGCATGTCATGACAATTTCGCCAAATCTTACAAGGGCTGGTGAAAGGTCAGGTGTCGAGGTTTGAGTCTTTATCTCGACGTGCCAGTCCGGCCGAAAGCTTGCGATCATCTGGGCAAAATCTACTGGAGAATAGGGAATAGCTACCAGCAAAACCATCTAGTGTCTTTAAGAAAGCTCCATTCTTCACTATGCTAATATTATCTAGGAGCGTATATGGTAGGTCGAGAGGAAAGGAGTAGATCCTAACGTCTAGAACCCTTGACTGTTTTGATTATATCATGTGCGCGTCGCTAATTTATGAATGATAGATTGTCGATAACCATCTTTTCACGGTAATACGCCTCTATTCTTCTATTCAAGAAAAAAGGCGAGAGAGAAGTGTACTCCTATATAACACATATACATTAGGATAGGAAAACGAGAAGGGGGAAGACATAACCAAAATTTTTCTTTCCTTCCTAATACATGAGATGATAGCCCTTCCACTGATCATGATGACAACAGTATTCTGGATAGACTCCACCATTAGGGTAGCATTCTCATGCGGGAACGTCAACGAGTGTGTCGGATGTAACGTTGATGTTGGGAACACCATTCAATATTCCTTTAAAAACAAAGGAAAATATAAACTTTATAAACTTGATTCAATGTAAGACTCGATCGGGACCGTTGTCCGGAATGAAGCGGAAGTGTTTTTAACCATGACGGCCATGCTATCGGCCACCGAAGTAATACAAGCTGATTAACCCTAACCTGTCATATTCGGTGGTTTCGTCATGGCTAAAGGTAAAGCAACTTCTACATATAAGCCGTACAGGCACTTCTCTGAGATTCAAACGAACTAATTATCTCGTATAACACACCAAGGTACCGCCTACTGCCTCTTGAGTCGTCTGTCGCCGCAATGTCCTCCTTATTGAAGTACTTCTGGGGCTCCGGTTCATCCCAAGCCCCTCCATCCCACCCCCAGCCAATGACGATCGCAAGCACAACTATCCCTCCAGGAATCTACATTGTCCGCAACGTCGCAGCAAGCACGGTCGCCGACCTCGCCGACGCCCAGAGTCAAGAAGAAAGCCAAGTCGTCGGCTGGTATACACATCCCTGACTCGCACTCCATTCCCTTCACCACCCCACGATAGCTAACATCCAATACCAGGCACTTCCACAACGGAAAGCACCAGCGATGGCAAATCGCCGACGCAGGCCACAGCCAGGTCTTCTTCCTGAACGACGGCACTGGAACATATCTCACCGCTGGTACATAGCCCCCCAAACACACCATCTGCCACTACATCACATACTGACACACGCTAACAGACGAGCACCCAACCGCTGGCGTAATCCTGACCACCGGAAGCCTCGTTTCGCCGACTAACAAGCGAGCAAGATGGACTATTGAGTCTGCCAAGACCAAGCAGGCGTATATGTATATCAATCATCCCCCCTTGTTCTTTTTAACTCTTGCCTGGCAGATATGGAGTCTAACGCGTAGACAGTATCCGCAACGTAGCAGATCCCTCCCGTGTCCTGGATCTGTCTTCCTCGGATCCTCAAAACGGGACCCCTATCCTCATTTACACGGACCGTGGTACCAAGAACCAGCAGTGGACCCTGGAGCAGCTCGACGCCCCGCCGCCGCCCGGTGTCATCAAGAATACGCCCGTTGGAGGCAAGGGTGGAACAGCCTTCGAGGAGTTCAAGTACACCGCCGTGCAAGTCGTGGAGACTTGGAGTGGGGAGGTCGAGGATGAGACGGTTGTTCGGGGATTGCGGTGGACGTGGGATGATGGGACTAAGAGTAAGATGTACGGGGCAGACCAGGGGGACCATCAGGTGCTGGTGCTGGGCCCCGGGACCAAGGTGAAGAAGAGCTCGGTAAACTCGGGAAAGAGAGTTGATTCTATCGTTATTGTTACGGAGGATGGAGATGAGTTCAAGGCGGGTGGGAATGGAGGGGAGGAGCACAAGCAGGATGTCGGAGATGGGGTGCTGGTGGGCTTCAGTGGAGCTTCGGGGTTGGATGTTGATCGCATAGGTTTTATCTTTGTCAAGAAGGACGGAGGTCAGTAAAGGGAGTGAAGTGACAGCCATGATAATTAATATTATACTATCTCGTTTGCATGGATATCACAAATCGGACTGTATGTTCTTTCGACATATCAAGGCAAAATGAAGCGCATTAGATCTTCTGCTCGCAGACGTCGCTAGGGATTTCGTTGCTTCCCACACGCCTACGGTAGTCATAGGAAGCTCCCTTCCCTAGGCCACGTTTGGCAAAAGCGGTCCAGATCTCACACTTGTTCTGGCCTCCTGTGAGAGCTTGGTCTGCGTCCAAGATGGCATCTCGAGCCTGAATGAAGTTGGGGTTACAAGGTTGTCTGGCAATCAGCCGTCAGCGACTAACACTCGACTGATGCAAAGAAACACTTACAAGGCCATGGCATCGACTACAAGCTTCATCGTCAAATATTTACCGTCCTTCGGGACCCCCTTGTCATCAAAGACTGGTCGCGAGCCATCTTCCTTTCCATACTTGTCGATCAGGTTCCACAACACCTCGTACAGCATCGTTCCCCAGATAGTTCCCCCAGCGTGGACCCGGTAGACGCCATTCATGGAAGTATACACCAGTGGGTTGGTTTGCATCGAGGTCGAATACAAATGCTGCCGGATGCCCCTCGGATCGTTGTCCACCCAAACCCCCATACCGTAATTCGTCGCACGCGTGTCCTGGGGTTTGAGACGGATTGCAGTCGCCATGAAGTCGCCCCATCCTTCTCCCATGCAAGAAGACTCAAAGGCGCTCAAACAGCGGGAATTGGCGGGGCCACCTGTCAGTCGTATAGACACTAGATATTACGTACGTCAGAATAGCAGATCCATCCACAAAAGCATGAGAAATGTTGAAACATTGGGGCTTACAGCCGTGCGTATACTCATGAATCACAACCCCGGCCTCCATTGCTCCGTCGCGATAAGGTGTGGAGTTTGTGAAAATATACATGCGCATGCGGCCTGGGCTTCCATCCGGGGGACAGGCAAAATTAGCATTGTTCATTCCCGAGCCATCCTGCGCGTTCAAAATCACATAGTCCTTCTCCTTGCCTCCTAGGCCGCGATTGTTCCATTGGAAGTTACCTGCTTTCTCAGTGAAACCCAACGTGTACAGAAGATCATGGTATGTGTTAGCAGTATAGAAAAGTTGAGTAATAGAAGCGTTGATGTTGTCTTTCGGAGACTTATCTCCAGCGTAATCATATTGAAAATCCAGTGAGGGACTGTCTGGTCTGAAATTATTGATGTAATCTCCTCTGCCTCTAAAATTCTCTTGAGCAATGCCATTATTTCCACGTGTCGACGTATAGTTTTTCTCTCCGTCTCCCAACCATGTAAATGAGGACACCTTCTCGTCCCATGGATCCGTCACAACGACCTGAGCACTACTATCCGTCGGGTCGTTTGTTCCCCAAGCGCTATGAGTGGAGCATTCGAGTTAGTGGCCTGATTGTCTCGGGCATACGACGACTTCATACCACTCACTAGACTTTGAACGTGGCTTGAGAAACGTAATCAACAACTCCATGGATTTCCTCCGCTGTTTTTGCGTCCACGTAGGCCAGGAGCCAATTCTCATTCACGTCCGTCTCCACTCTCCAAGCCAATGCCAAAGAACCATCCGCCTTGACCACATAGACGAGTGCAGCCTTCGGGTCTGAGACTGCACCGGACGTGCCTCGAAGGATGTAGTTCTCCGGATGTTCCGTGGATTCGGCAGTCACGCTTTCAGCTTGAATGGGGAGCTTGAGACGTGTCATTGCCGCCTTGAGAGCCGCCACGGGGTCCGTAAAGTCACGTTTGGTCAATGGATTGGTGTCAGGGGCTTTTCCGGTGAAGAAGGAGTTTCCATAAGAGAAGACCTTGCCATCTTTGCCGATCTAGACGCGGTTAGCTCGTTGTGGATGTCACCCAGGATGTATGATCGCCTACGTTAACGTTGAAATCAGCATTGTCGACATCGATATCGTGGATGGTTTGGCGAAAGTGAACATGGGCCACACCGTTCTGACCGATATAGTGATCGTCCTGGACTCGGAAGCTCGCATCTGGAGCCTTCTCTCTGACCAGCTGAGTCGCGGTCTCGATGTAGCTTTGCTCCATGAAGACGATGCTCGTGGTTGAATCCGGGGTGTGCTGATCGGAGTTGATGTATTTTGCGTGGGGACTCAAGCGAAAGGCTTCTAAGTCAACACCAGCGCCACCGGGGGAGTTCTGGGTGGGATGGGCAAAGAGAGACACGGGGAGAGCCAGGGCTCCAATGAAGGACAGTACACGCATGTTGCAAGTCAAGGAGGGGAAATAGGAAAGAAAACACAAGAGCGAGTGACAAGTGAGTGGGATAGGGAGATGGGAAAAGAGCGAGATAGCTCGAAAGAAAGAGATAGAGGGAGAAGAACAAGAGAAGGCATGGTATTTATCCAGCCATGTTGGTGCCTTGGGTGTCCCTCCTCATTCACTTCACTTCAACGTACCTCGGAATTCACAGCGTCTCACTCCTATCTTCCCATGTATGCCTTTGTTTCCCACATTAAGTGACAGCACCACAGAGGGATATCACTCTTAAATACATTGCTTAGCAGCTTCACCGTCGGAAGTCCGCTTAGACTTCCCTGTCCTACTAAATATATAACAGCCTTGACTGAAGGGTAAGTTCCAGATTCTATCCAATGGGACTAGATGGCCTATGGACTAAACGCCTTGGCAAAGTCTTGGGTTACATTTCACTTTCTGAAAGATGAGGAATTCCCTCTGAATAAATAGGTTTAAAAGGATTTTTATATATATCTATTTCCACTTTTTGTCACCTAGAATCAAGCTTTTGTCGCACACTATGGTGTTAGCACTTTATTCGACTAATAAAACAAACCAATTAACAGAACTCCTCCGGGAATCATCGTACGACATCTTCGTTTCCTTCACTATTCGATGAAAGGGAATGGTTGTGTTTCTATGCACCCCATAGAGGGATACCCACTCCGAGATATAATCACCATAATATATACTAATGTCAAGGGGCTATATCAACGGTATATACTATCTACACCCCTCTATGTCTAGCCTAGTTAGTATATTCATTTGGAAGAAGCATTACAAGATGAGTTATTGGAACACAATTAATCTATGGCTTAGAGATCTACCGTAGTCATGAACTGTCTGTCACTGTTCCATTTAAATAACCATTTAGGGCATAAACAAAGATAGGATTGGATGGACCACGTGGCCTGGTCACGTTATCCCAGGATAGAATCATTTAGATCGAATTGATTTCAATTCCATTGTGTTATCCAACTTTCACCTTCGTTCTATGTGATCCACCATTTTCTGCTATAACACAGGGTGTTGATTTGTCGACGTTTACCCTCGATGAGTAGTTTTCAGACTCTCCACGGATTATTATGAATGTCTCTATTCACTTCTTCATCTAGCGTATCTACACACACAACGTTCCTCCACCGGTCTTTCTAAACCTTGATCCACCGGCCCATCCAAGTGTTTACAATTTCTTTGGCCTCATCCACCAATCCAAGATCTAACAAGAGCTGCGTCGTTCCACGAACGGCTGAGTCCAAGGCGGAGAAGATCCAGGCATGAGTGTAACTCGTATGTTCCCCAATGAAGATGGTTTTAAACTCGGTTTGGTAATACGCCGGAAGATACAACTCCTGTTGTCCGACCGCTGGAGCCGCCCAAGCCCCGGCCTGGTGCTCATCAACCTCCCAGCATTGCCGATCATAAATTCCTAGAGGGAGTTAGTGGCGTCGGCCTTGCTCTCAGACCGACCATGCAAACTTACCCGTGTATTGTTCGGTCGCAATGGAGCCATGGATTTGCACCATGGAGCGCAGCACAAGAGCAACGTGATCTTCTGCACTCAATGCAGCTATGGACCGTGCCGGGGTGCCGCTAATGTACGATGCCAGAACAACTCCCGGGCCAGTGCCGTTGATGTTAAATGATGGATAACAGACAGATCCGATGCCTGGCAAGTCCACGGATCCGCACCCTCCAAAGATCGGATTTTCCTGGTGTTCCCAGAACCTTGTCTTAAAATGCAGGGACATCTTGCAAGATTGCTCGTAATTCATCCGGGATATAGCTCGACTGAGGAGAGACGAATAGCGAGGCAAATCCCATAGGCGGACTTTGCTGAATGGCGCCGCAACGACCGCATAGTCATATTCTTGGCTCTCCGGTTGGAGCTGCGTGGGGTTGTCGCGCCAATTGACAGCTATTTTACCAGATGTTGTATTAAAGGACAGCCCCTCGACCTTGCGGTCCAAAGTAGTCTTGTTCGCGACGTGGGGCCAGAAGGCACGAGGAAGAGACTCCAACCCCTTATCAATCGTCCGCCACTCTGTTGCACTGAAGTATGCACCCTCATATAGAGCGTCCCACATGGGGGTTTCATCGGTCCCACCAACGTAATCGGTGATATTGTCATTGTACCCAAGAGCATATCGCAAGTACCCGGCTTCTGACCAGTGAAAGTATCCGCTTTCAACCGCAGACTTGTGAGCTTGGTACAAGTTCGTGACGATCTCTCGGCTAATTTTGTTTGCGGTGGTATAGACCTGGTATGCTTGAGCTGCGTCTGCGGCAGCTGTTGCATTGGGAGAGGCTGCCGTATACACGAGTGAGGGGTTGGCCGCAACCTCACTAGCGGTAGGAATACGACCACTCGGCAGACGATAACCGCCAGCGCTAGCCGGAACATTGGGGCTTTTTTGAACGAATGGAATGAAATTGACAGCTAGGTCTGGGTGATCCACATTCATCTGATTGAGCGTGTCGCTTAGCTGAAAGACCATTTTATGATCTTGAATTTCGAGGGTCTCGTTCGTGTCTGCATAAGTGATGCTCACGGGAAATCGCATCGGCCCCATCTCCTGGTATTGATACTGGTCTGGGCGAGTGTGGTTGAGATACTTGGTACGAATGCGGCCGCCAATTCTCCGGGAAGATTCGATAATGTGCCAATTATGTATGCCGACCGATTCCAGCAGCAGGCTCGTCATCAATCCAGACATACCTCCTCCAATAATTGCCACAGCCGCTTCCTTAGCTTGTGCTACCACTGCCTTCCCAGGTTCCTTCCCTTGCATATATGCAATCCCGTCAAACCATGGCCCCATCGCATCGGCCACGTCCGCAATACTCTCTCGCCGGACGACTGGTGTAGTTACAGAGATAGGAGGAGACCTCCCTACAAGGCTTGATTCCGAAAAGGCGTGGAGGCAGTGCAGATGAGGAGCATCCGACGGAGTTGCCCAAACGAAGCGCTCCGGAAGGGCATTGCGCTTGACAAACATGCGTCCGATCTCATGATGGTGTTTTGTGGAGCTGGTGATTCCGCACTCACCATAGACGAGTTTAATGTCACCTTGGAAATCCGGGTAGGGAAACTCTAAGTGGACGTTGTGAAGAGAGCCGGCGGTCACACCTGGGACTCGAAAGCGTACCAGGTCAGTTTGCATATGCGCCACACCGGCCCAACCCGTTTGACAAAGGCTGAAGACCAGGAGTTGGCGTATGGATTGGCGAACACTCGGCGCCATGATCGGTGACGCTTTGATACGCACTCATGAATCCATATTGCATTCACTGAGTCTCTTGCAATACTTATAGTCCATTTCCGGGGAGACTACACTCTGGCCAGGTACTGTACCCTTATCAAAGCCCATCCCTGCCTCTAGCCGATAGTAACTTGACTCTACACCCTATCTTCTAACGGAAGTGTTACCTACCCGAGGTGAATGATCAAGCAGACAAAGAAGATACAGGCAATGTCAATCGATAAACAATCGTATATGGCCTGATAGCAGGCCTGTATCCCCATCACGGTGTTAAAAGTCCACTTACCTTCTAGATACTTATCTACTCGGCAGTGTTATCGAATACGAACAAAGAACATCCTGTCCCGCAAACCTCCACCTCTCCACATCTATCTGTCCGCATATCCGGGGATCCAGTTAGAAGTCTCTCCAAGGCCATATTTAAAGGGTATCAGATACCGAACGCGTGTGGGGTTTCCTGTCAGAGTAACGATTGACTTGCGCGGTTGGTTCCGAATGTTCTTATCAAACAATGAGAGTTCGATAGCTAAGATATCGTGCCGTTGGAAGGGCGCGGGTGGGCCTGCTTTCAACAAGTATCTTATCGACCAAATATATCTGCTTGGCATATATACCCTTTCTGAGAGACACTCGGCACATACGACCATAGGGTGCGGAGAACAGAGCTTCCCGTCCGCTCAGCCATACTTAAGCCAGTATTATCAACGCGGTCAGAAGTTATATGCGCCCTTGATGGCCTGCTGCTTTACGGGTGAGAGACGCTAAACCACAGGGTGAGTGCGGGTGAGTGAAGGTGAGCTGAGCGATGCTAACTAACAGCATGGGTAAGTATGGGTGATCAGTGGGTGAGAGAGCGATTCTGTTGTGACTGGACTCCCTGTGGCTCATTACTAGTATCTCCATTGCCAGCTTAAATATGAGGGCTTCTTTGCTCAACCATTCTTTTCTTTCCTATCTACAAGCGGTGATGTTTGTGATTTAGTTTCCTCACATCCTTCCCACAATACCCGATTACCACGTGATGCTGAGCTGCTCAGCCTTTGTGATCCGCACCGGCGCTACCCCAAGACCACCCCTGCAGGCCTTGGGCGATCTGACTCAAATTATTTCTGAGAATGTTCCAGATTTGCCATCGTTATCTCTCAGAAACGGCCGAAAGATCCAATCCTAGTATTATGAGACCGTATTCGTACACTAACAAAAGATTACTTTTTGTCGGACCGCTGAATACGCGTATGCGCTAGTATCACCAATATCATGGAGGACAGTGTATCTGTATTGAAAGTAAGGTCTCTAGCTTCCTGAATCTATCTAGGAGAACTGAATAAAAAGGCAAACAGAATGGACTAAAGTAGGACCGAGCGGATGCTGAATAATATAGAAACCTGGCTCACTCTAGTCGACACTTTTGAAATCCCGCGTCGTATTCGTACACTAGTGGAAGGCTTATCAGTTATTACCGCTATGTGTAGATAGACGGCCTACCCGCCTGGACCTTCACCGGGCCGCCGTAACCATAGGACTTACTAGCAAATTTGAGGACCCTTATTGTAGTGAATTTGACATATCTGGCTCCAGTTTGGAACTCTTACACTTTAATAAAACGCTTTTAGTCCCAACCTTAGGGGACGCAAAAGTGGCCCACGTGTGCTCAGATACTGAAACAAGTTTTGCCCCTGGTCTGTCACTATAACCGCCCATGACATATGTCTACATTCTTACGGGAATAGTTGGGAGAGATGATGGTGCTGCAATGAGCTGAATACTGCGTGTGCAATGCATCTAATGGGTAGCATCCACTGTTTCGTGTCCAACCATTTGTGATGTCAAGGCTTCTCTTGGTAGTTATTAAAAAAGTAGTACCAGAAAAGTAGGAATGAAAGTCTGAATCCGTGTCTAGATATCGAACGAGCGAGTTATGTACCTAGTGTGGCAAGCATTGATGAAAGCTTTATACAGTGCAGAAGGTGCAAAGTATCCGATTGTCGCATTCTGATTGGCTGAACGGGAGTGGTAGATGTGCTGGCGTAGCAGAGGATGCCAACACCAGCAAACCGGCAGCTTTCAGTTAAAGCCCGCAATTCTATATTCCCATGATATTCCTGGACCAATTTGGTAGACGAAATAATTAAATAACTTTCATATGGCATCGTAGGTGATAGTCAGATTTCCCGCCAACTGTATGTCCAAGACACTTTTGCTGACCATGACTTCATACGTGCCGTCACGAAGCACCCATTGCTGTGTCAAGACATCCCATTGACTCAGATCACGTCGAGTGAGATGGAATTGTAAATATAAACTATTCCTGGGGCTAATTGTCTGCTTGAGAAAGCCCCTCAGAAGTCGATCCGGCCCGGCTCCAGGAATGCGAACGTACAATTGGGCGACTTCTGCAGCATCAACTTCCCCGGTGTTAGTGACAGTACAGCTGATGGTTGCCACGATATCCCATAGGGAATCTAGACCACCTGGAGGTTTCGGCTCAGTCGTTGTGTAGATTTCCGACCCTGGTGGAAAGTAAGACTTCAGCGCATGACCGGAAATATGGACCTCGAGATTGTGGTAATCAAATGTCGAGTAAGTCAAACCGTACCCAAACTCGAACCGCGGCGTGATATTGTTAGCAATGAAGTAGCGGTAATCGGTGTAGAGGCCCTCAGTGAAATTAGATTGAGTATAATACATGGTTGAGTTATCCGGATACACTGGATCGAGTAGTGCGCCATAGTCTCTTGGGTCCTTTGCGACAGTGTAAGGCAAACGACCCGAAGGTGATTGTCTTCCATACATGATCTCAACCAAGGCAGAACCAGAATCTTGACCCGGAACATGCGCGAAAATCACCGCAGTGATATTTGGATGCTCGATCCACGTATCGACCAGCCGTACTCCGGCATTGTGGATCACAACCATTGTATTATTGCATTTTGCGGCAACATTCGTAATAAGTGTATCAGAATAACTATCCGTTAGACTTGGTCTATCCCAGCCTTCTGAAGATTGCTCATTCACAAACACGATGCATGCTTCGCTGGCTGCATTCACACCAGGGTCCTGAGAGTAAAAGTCCCAGGACAGATATGTGCCATCAAGCTTTGCTTGACGTTGAAAGGCGTTAAACGGAGCATCTATATATGCTGGAGTATTGCTGCCTGATCCGCCACCTGTTATCAAAGTTCCGTTGAGTGCAACACCGGGTCCTGTCGTATTAACAAGAAAACTTCCCATCAGAGCAGCCATTATCTCGTATGAGAAGAGCTGTCCTCCTAGGTACGACAGGGTATTGCCCAGGCCTAGCCCTTGCTGGAAACTAAAGGCTGCTGTCTGGGAGTTGCTCGTCGCAGCAGGAGCATCATAGCCGAATAGCGAAAGGATCTTTGGTTTCTTCAGGGGAAGGGCGCTATTCACGTTTTTCACAAGGACATGACCTTCAATCGCTCCCTGAAAGATAATGTGCTCAGATGCCGGATCGCGGGCCTCAATAATTTCATGCGGTTCACTCAGGTTCATGGGAACGTAAGCCCCAGGGTTCTTAAGTTTCGAGAATTTATACCAGGTAGCAACTATACGTGTGGCCATGTCATCCAGCCGGGATTGAGTCATGGATCCATTTGCAACTGCAAGACTCAAGTTGCCGGATCCCCAATATGGTGAATAAGGCATGGCCATATCCAGACCCGCATTTGCACTGGCGACGCCCGTATGTTGCGCATACCAATCGGTAAGAGTGAAGCCCTGGAATCCTAGTTCAGTCTTGAGCAGACCGTTCAAGCTCTTGCTATTTTGACAGGCATAGCTGTTATTCACACGGTTGTAGCTGCACATAACCGAACCCACGCCAGCTTTCACTGCATCCTGGAATGGCCACATGTACAGCTCGTGTATTGTCCGATCATCAATATTGGACGATACGGACGCATTTACTAAGTAGACGGATGGGTTGCGGTCTGTCTCCTGTTCGTTGCCGACCAGATGCTTGACGCTCGCAATAACAGATTCTTGCATGCCAATAATAGTCTCGTACGCCAGCTTGCCGCAGAGATAAGGGTCATTGGAGAATCCTTCCCAGTTCCGTCCTCCACGGGCAATGCGACCCAATGGTCCCACAACAGGCCCTAAGGCTACATTAATGCTCTTCCGTTTGAATTCTGCCCCCATGTATTGGCCGCGTTTATATGCCAAGTCGGGATTCCAAGCCGCACCGACATGGAGGCCTGAGGCATATGCGTTGACCATGTCCAAGCCTCGGACCCCATTTCCAGCGTCCTGTAAGCAGAGGCCAGGAAATTCAAGCCGGGGGACGGCCCCTGAGTTCCCTGAGCAGCCATTGCTAGCTGATGGGAAACCGTACGTGACGTTGTTTTTTTCATCGTTTGTCATTTGGGCAACAAGAGCTTTGGCTTGCTCATATGCACTGGCCCAATCACCTGCCCCATTTCCTGCAGCTTTGGGGAATAAGCAAGTGCTTGCCCTTCTTAAGAGGTACCAAAACTTACGACTAGGATAAACTGGCGGCGATCTGCCGTATGACCAGTGCCGCTCGAGGTTTGTAAGCACGGCCTGAAGCTCGCCAGTTGTTTCGTTGTTGAATGTCTGACCGCAGACAGTAAGTGCCAGCCCGTAGGCGCTCAGCAAACGTAGAAAGAGAGCCATACGGATAGAGCTTTTCACAACTAGAGCATATGGAATAGAGAGAAGAGAGACAAGAACTATAAGGAGACTGAGTCTGATATAAAGACTGACTACCTGGTTCCCACCCGCCTACCTGGCCTTGGATGAGGATCGTATATCTTGGCAGAATACCACTCACCTGAACGAACAATGTACATTCTTCTTCGCGCTAGCTCTAATCCTCAACTACCCAATTTCATTCCGGGGTAGAACTATAGAATTTCTTTTCAGACGCACCCCGCGCGCTCAAGGTCCGGATTGCATTTCTGTCGTAATCGTATCCTTTCGTATGGCCCCTACCCACCCCCACCTCCCCCTCTCCAGACTTTACTAGCCATGGTTTTCCCCCAGAGGGCTGTGGGAGATCAACAAGGGAACCTCGTCATCAACATATTAAGGCATTAATACTCACCGTATTCGTTCTCTAACACCTTTTCGGTTTAGTCCAAATAAGGACGTACACCAGGGTCGTATAACCATCCAGCTTCCTAGTTCGCTTCCAAACCCACTTGCAGATACGTGGAAGTATATCCAATAGCTTCGCATACGCAGATATAACGCCAAAAACTTGTGAAAGGAACTAGTACATCCGTCCACCCTTCGAACCTCAAAGGATGGAGTATCCTAACTCGATGACAGCATACGAACTTTGCTATTTTCTAGGGGTTTCTAAGCGGAGACCTAACTGTAGCTCTTTAAGGGTAAGCTATCATTGCGGCAAATCACAGCCTGATTGTTGAGTATCACTGTGGGGAGGCAGCGTCACCATTCAGAACCCCACACTCAACGCCAACCGGTGAAATATAGTAGTGCAGAACGTAATACTGTACCGTGGGTGGCTGACTTTAATGACAGCCTGTACACCAGGTCTGTGCTCAGCAGCTGCTAAAGTCTGACTAGTAAGTCAACCACATGAGAAACACTGCTTTTGGTCTGCTAACCAACCCATACCTCTTTACATTTCGCCAGTTATTGTAGTATTCTCTCAATGCATGTTTAAGGCTACACTTATGATTCCGTTAGTGGGATACTTGTCAGAAATATATATTTCAGTTATTGCACATTGGCGGTCGCCGAAGCTCTGCTCTGAAAATCTAACTCTAGTAAGCACGCACGTTTTAGCAGTGCCGAAGTGACTCGGACAGTCCTACCATGAAGTTAGTATCTCACTTTCTGCTATTCTTACTCTTTGATATCTTTCTAGCTGCTGTTCAAACCGAACAAGCCGTATTGGAATCGTCGCATGGGCCGCCTCCGCTAGACGAACAACTACAGGGGCTCGTCACTTGGGATGAATATTCTATCATCGTCCGCGGAGAACGCATCCTATTCTTATCGGGCGAATTCCATCCGTTCCGACTTCCTTCGCCCGGCCTATGGCTCGACATCTTCCAAAAGATAAGAGCCCTAGGGTATTCCGGTGTCTCCTTCTATTTGATGTGGGGACTATGCGAAGGTGAACCGGGTCACTTCCAAAGTGATGGCGTCTTCGACCTGCAGGAATTCTTTGATGCAGCAACCCAGGCAGGAATATACCTGATAGCTCGTCCTGGGCCTTATATCAACGCCGAAGTATCCGGAGGCGGACTTCCCGGATGGCTACAACGGCTGAACGGCGATGTAAGATCAGTAGCTCCAGACTACTTGAATGCTACAAACAATTACATTGCGAACGTTGGCAGAATTATCAGCCGTGCCCAGATAAACAATGGCGGCCCGGTCGTTCTATTCCAGCCGGAGAATGAGTACACTATGTGTTCTGGGTTTACATCAATCGACGAAATCAGTGCTTGCCTTGACAAGAACTATATGGCTACCGTGGAAGAGCAATACAGGCGGTCAGGGATTGTTGTGCCATTCGTCAGCAATGACGCTGTGCCTCTTGGAAATTGGGCGCCAGGGACAGGTGCAGGTGCCGTGGACATTTATGGCTTCGACAATTATCCCTTTGGCTGGGGGACTGGATGTACGTTAAACTTGATTACCTCGACCGAAGTTACTGACAGTCTGGCCTAGGTCAGGACCCCTATAATTGGACCCGAATATTAGACCCTCTGAGCCTGTACAATTTTTCCAAGCACCAAGATACAAGCCCAAAAACCCCATTTGCCATCATAGAGTATCAAGGAGGCGCTCCTGATCCTTGGTAAGATCACTAATCCGCACGAAGATGGCCAGAATAAGTCTCAATCTTAACGTTTTCCAGGGGTGGAGAAGGTGTCAACGCTTGCGCAGCTATGATCAGCCCTGGATTTTCACGGGTTTTCTATAAGCTAAACTTCAGCCTCCGTGCTACAATTGTGAATCTGTATATGGTACTTTCTACCGCTCGGTATGACTCGAGGCTCTCGACTGATGACTTTCAGATGTTCGGCGGAACTAACTGGGGTAATCTGGGTTATCCTTCCGGGTACACCTCATACGATGTTGGAGCCCCCATTAGTGAAGATCGCCTAGTGACACGCGAGAAATACAGCGAAATCAAACTTCAGGCGCAGTTCATGCAAGTATCCCCGGCCTATGTGGTCTCCCGGCCGCTCATTGGTTCTTCCGCGCGCACCAACTCTTCAAACTTGGTTATTACTGTGCTCCATGGAGGTCCGACTAATTTCCTCATTGTTCGACACTCGGATTATGGTGCCCTCGAGTCTACGCCGTACCAGATCATCGTGCATACCAGTGTGGGAAATTTCACGATTCCTACATTAGGGGGTTCTCTAGTATTTCATGGCCGTGACTCTAAGATCCATGTCACGGACTACGAAATGGGCGGTATAAGCCTGATCTATTCGACGGCTGAAATCTATACCTGGAAGCAGTCAGGATATAAGACAGTTTTATTGATGTATGGTGGCGCAGGTGAGATGCATGAGTTTGCTGTTCCACTAGCATCCGACCAATTGAGGATACTGGAGGGTAATGAGACCACTCATCATGGAATCAACAATGTTACCATCGTGCAGTGGAATGTCAGTGCTGAGCGCCAAGTCATCAGCTTTGGTGATAAGCTGGAGGTGTATTTACTCTGGCGAAATCACGCATACAATTACTGGGTTCTCGACTTACCTCTTCCTGGCCCGGTGGGTCTGCATGTTTCTCCTTCAAGAGCGAATTTCTCGGTCATTGTTAGAGGTGGGTATCTCATGCGGAATGCGACGATCTCTAATGGAATATTGTCCCTTACTGGAGACCTTAATACGACAACAGAAATCGAAGTGATTGCCGCTCCTGCTGGCTGTTGCTCGGCTCTTACATTCAACGGTAAGAAGATCAAGACGAGATTGACCAGTGGACGGTTAAACGGCCTCCTTGAGTATGAAGCACCGATAATTGCCTTTCCTGATCTCAACACGGCGAGGTGGCACTACATCGATTCACTTCCGGAGCTTGAGTCATGCTACGACGATAGCCGCTGGACTGTGTGTGATCATGAGACATCCAACAATCCCCGAAAACTTACTACACCCACATCGCTCTATGCAAGTGATTACGGCTACCATGCAGGTTCCATTCTCTATCGAGGTCATTTCATCGCTAATGGTGGCGAGGCATCGTTCTACCTGTCCAGTCAAGGAGGGTATGCTTTCGCACACTCTGTGTGGTTGAATTCGACGTTTCTCGGCTCATGGACCGGAAGTCCCGCTATGCAAACCTACAATCAGACCTTGGCTTTCCCAGAGAAACTTAGTGAAGGGGCTTCCTACGTGTTGACAGTTCTGATTGACCATATGGGACTGGATGCAAACTTTCTCGCTAATGTGCAAACCATGAAGGCCCCGCGAGGTATCCTCGATTACAGCCTTTCCGGCCATGAGAGCAAATCTGACATTACGTGGAAAATGACGGGCAACTTTGAAGGGGAACGACATCGTGAACTCAGCCGAGGCCCTCTCAATGAAGGAGCTACATATGCTGAGAGACAAGGATTCCATCTTCCTGGAGCCCCTGTCCAGGGGTGGCTGCATAAGTCCCCTATGGATGGGCTGCCGGGGCCCGGTCTAGGCTTTTTCGCCACTACATTCAATCTCAGCTATCCTCATGGGTACGATATCCCGACAAGCATTACATTCGCAAACAGCTCGGCTATCGACGATCCTACCGCGCCAGGACTATTTCGGATTTGCCTCTTCGTAAATGGATGGCAATTTGGAAAATATGGTACACCCCTCGTTACATCCCGTTCGCACAGGAATCGGACAAGCTGCTGATCAGTTCCACAGTGAACAATATTGGCCCGCAGACAACTTACCCTATCCCTGAAGGTGTTCTTAATCACCATGGAGAGAACTACCTCGCCCTAACTTTTTGGGCATTGGACGGTACTGGCGCGAAGCTAAGTGATATTCGAATAGGGAATAGTGCAATAGTCCAGACCGGATACCTATCACCCAAGTTGATTACTGCCTCAAAATATGCGATCAGGGGAGAGAGCTATTGAAAGCGGTCGGCACAGAATGCGACAGGGTCTCATATGTGCGCCGTACATTCTCCTTGTAGCTTTTAGGAAATTTGAAGGCTCGCTCATCCAAGTTAGTGAAGCGAAAGAAATTTATCTAATCAAACTGCGTTCCCTTCTGACAAGACGCCAACTGCAATAATGTCGTTATACATACATCTGCTCAGCGGATCCGTCATTCACAGCTGCTCGGTCGGGGTTACACGTACCGCACGGGAACTGAGGCCAGCCAAGCCCAACGTTGGCCGAGTCATGAGTTCATGGAACTCATCCCTAGCGATATTCGACATTTCCCTGAAACCCTTGCATCGCCCGGCCGCGCTCCCCAAACTACCGTAGATCAGTCGGACTCCGGCATGCGCCCTACCTCCGCGTCTGTCGTTTAGTTGCTTTCGGATCGTGGGTGTGGTTTCATTTGTGTAGTGTTTTCATTCCTTGGTAATTATACCAGCCAAACATAGGTTCGACCGGAGTTTAATTTGATATGGAAAATGCGGGAGTAAGACCCAGCTGCTGGGATCACATTTGTCTATCGCGCAGAGTGAGATTATCTCTAGACTAAACATCCCTAATCACTCATAAGCAGCCTTTACTCCAGCCATGTGAGAGAAGTGACGTGGGATGACCCTCCTATGTCGTCCTGCTCTCCTTTCCGAAGAGGTGATGTCCTGCAGAATAAGAGATATAGTCTCCAGTTTATACTTTCCTCACGAAAGGCAGCCACAGCCTTCTCAAGCAATTTTACTCAAACGTGGACGTGTCATATCCGGTTTCACCAGATTCATAGCGCGCTGAAATTGGAACATTCTTCCACGCTTAGTGCCTTAAGGATGTTCCGCAACTAGTGCCAGTAGCAGCTCTCACGGAGCCTTCTTCTCTTGTTGCAGCCCACGATAGCATTTCCAGCCACTAGAGGAGATCGTATCGTTACAGTCGAGGACTGTTAGAAATGCTGGGACCGTGCTCAAAACACAACTGCACTGGAAGGAAACATTAGCCGTGTATATGGCTTAGTTATAGAGGAATTCTAAAGAAAGCTTCCCTGCCTCTAACTGGTCTAGCTTGTCTACCAATGCAGGCCGCAGCCCAGACAACTTAGACTGCAAGATATGCTCTGATCTGCCAAAAATGCTACAAGCTGGCCGATCCTTAGCTCTAGCGATGTTGATTTCAAGGTGGGCTGACACAGATCCTAAATAAGAACAGCATCGCTCCAGACAGAACATATCCAATTTCGCGGTTTCACTCCATGTCAGTCCCACACATCAGCGTCCGCGATAATCTTGAACGGCTAACACAGCATGCTTGCCTCTCCCAGCCGGTATTACTGAGCATTTTGGTCTACCTCAAAAAGCTTCAATATGCACGTGGTGGCCCCGCGGTATTGACTCCCACAGTCCATAGACTTTTACTTAGCTGTGTCACGGTTGCTAGCAAATGCTTTAGTGACAGCTTCTATTCAAGCAGAACTTATGGAAAAAGCTGGATCTACTTCCCACAAAGACGCTGGTAACAAATGGAAGGGGCCAAATACCGTATCAAACGAGCGTGTAACTACCATAGTTTCAACGCTGCGACGAGAGACAAGGTCGCGGAAAACGACGAGCCGAAGCTCAAGTAGTACTGTCATACTGCTAAAATTTTTAACCTTCTCTCCCTCCTATATGAGTAGAGCAAGAGACCAGTACAAGCCAGCCCCCCTGACCACTGTCGTTGGAGTCGTTAACATACGTGGAGGCTGAGAATGTGTACGAAGTGTTCCATTCTTGACGGCTTCCAGGACAAGACGGGCTGTAAATGGGAGTATGGCAGGAAGCGTGACTGGCAGCGGGGAGCCGAGTTTTCCAGATATTTGAAGCATCACCAAGGCTGGGATGCATCCCCGATGACTGGAAGACGGCAACATAGTGGTGCTACAGAAGTGCTACAATGACCGAACGCTGTCCAAATCATATCGGCTGATATCTCTCCTACTAATGCTTGCAGAAGCAATGGAGGCAGTCGTAGCCAGGAGGATGCATATCAATTTCCTGATAATGGATATAGCCACGACGTCCATTCCAGCGTAGTTCATGGCTTTCGTGTTGACGTGGGTTATCCTAACTGTGGCGAGTACAAATGAGCCCGTTTGGGTCGAGAGCGCGATTTTACCGCTGGGTTATGCGTTACCTGCGCATTGGTCCTATCTCTAGCCCATATCTGGAGTGATGGGTGTCAGGACCGACCCTTCCGATCCTTTCGTAATCGGCTTTCTCAACATCCCATTCCCCCATAACGACAAGTGCCCTTTTGAAAACCAGGACGAGATCGTGATCATCACCAGTAAGATTCCCCCAACTATCGACTTGGCCATCCTGGAACTGGAGATGAATTGGTGAGGCAGCCGTGAAGTTCTGCTCGTGGTGGCTCAACGCAAATAACTAGCTTCGTTGCAGAGGATTTGCAAGCCTAGCGTCCGGGTCCTCGCCTGTCTTGCCGGTTTTTATCTTACAAATGCTGGTTCCATTGTCCTTCCTCTCCTCGTCAACAATCAAATATTGATCGCGTAATTCAGTCGCCGACTCGTCGACGAAGGACAGTTCGCCACCATTTGCCACAAGGGCTTTGTTGTCTTTCAGCAAGTATAGCTGGAAAGGAGAGCCAGGAAGAGGGAGGCCGTGATGAGACATTTCCAATAGGCGGACTAGATCATTCAACCGGGATGCAGTGGGTAAATAGGCAGTGGTGGTGCTCCTGAGAAAATGTAAGTATCCATGCTCTATTTATGCCATTGCCTTGACCCTTTTTCGTGAGCCATAGAATGATGCCGTTTATCGGATGATCGACTATTGACGACGAAGAGACGAAGAAGACGGACTTCGGCACTGCCGAACTCGTTGATGCCCATCCATGTTACTTGAAATGCAGGTGTTAGGCCGTCAGTCGTTGAGAGTTCGGAGTACCAGCTGCTGAGGCTGGCTGAGACTAGGGCCCCACAGCAACTTTTTGAAGAAAGAGTTGCAATTTAGCCAAGCCACGTAGGCGACCGTGCGGTGATGCTCGCATAAGCCTGGAATGCAGATAGAGCCTGGCTCTGCATGGCGCTGATGCAGATGTAACTTCAGTTTGAGTTGAACGTAAAATATGATGGAGGTGTGTGTGGTGAAGAAGGAAGTGTAAAGTTCTCGCTCAATGCTGCGCCCTGACTAAAGAGTTAGCCCGACAAGCCTGCCGACAAGCACCTTCGCACCTCGAACGCAGTCGGATTGCTGTTGCGGATGGGTCATCTACCGCGTGCGCTACTGCGATAACGCCTATCAAGATCATGTTCACCTTTCGCTATATTTTAATTCGCTCCTTTCATGAGCGTGGGTTCTCCATTACTGCACGGACTGAGAAATGAACAGAAGGGGTTAAGGCTGCCAACTGCTTTCTAACGGGCCTAAGGGAGTAGACGTATCTGATATCCGTACAGTTTTGGGGGCTCAAACTATTTGACACCCTGGATGCCGCTAGTGTCACCAAACGGGCTCCGAATACTTTTGGGACCCCACTGTAATAACTCACTTTGATGAGCTGGATTTGAGTGTAAGATGTTGAAAATGATCTAGCCAATTGATGGAATTCTTTGCTGACACTATCGGATATACTATTTTAACCACACATTTTAGGAAATCGCAACAAAGCTTGTAAAGCAGAATATAATTAAAATTCCAGCAATGGATGAGGCTCAAGCGACAGAGCTTCTCTTTGAATGCTTAAGCAATAAGACTCTTCTACACCAGAGAGTGGAAGTGGTGCTGCTTCTTAGGGGGCTTGTCTACCTACCCTTGGTGATTTTGCAGGCTGCTTCTTATATCAATGAGAACTGTCTGGGTTCGATTTCGGACTACAGATTGCTCTTGTCAGGGCCAGTTACTGCAGATGTTAACTTGGTAAGCAACAATGGGAGGCCTGATTTCACCAAAGGATAAGCCCTAGGGAGTGGCGCTTTTAGCTGCAGACCGCAACACGTAAGCACCAGCCTCATTGAAGCTTGTAGATGCTTGTCAATGGTACAAGAATTAGGTGCACTTATAGAGTAGGGAACGCCTAGCACAGAGACCATGCAGGCGCCTGACGTTAGGGCATTGAGGCTGTGGTGACTGCTGAGTGGTACCTGGACCAGGATCACAGTTACCAACTTGACATGCTAATGAATGTTGATTTTCAATCATGAGAGATTTGGAAAGGGGAAGGTTGTATACTAATTACTTGCGCCATCTGCCCATATAGCGTTAAGCCAACAAACATAGGAAGTCCTTCCATCAGGCGTTTGAATATATTAAATGCCTCAGAAGGTTACACTACATAAAGAATATGAGCCTGGTATGCCAAGAGGACCCTCTAAGCACCTGTATGATAGCTTGATTGGACAACAAATGCCTCACCTCTCCAAACATATCTAATAGGCGCTTGGGAAGGGCGTCAGGCATCCAACTAGGCGTGCTACAATGTATTAATTATCCTTGATAATTTTCTTATTTCGTCGATATGGGAACATACGGTTTGATCCGGATTGAAGCCGAAGAGCCTTGGGTATAAGAACGAGGACAAATTCGCCTCTATCCTGAGTCTTCGTCTCATTCTTCATCCATCAGTATCTCACTCTGATTCTGATTCTACAAGATCCGTTCCTCTTTAAACTCATATATCATCGTCATCATGGTCAAGACCGCCCTTCTCCCTCTCACTCTTCTTGCTGCACTGGTTCCCTTCGCCGCCGCAAGGAACTGCAAGACGGGGCTGAACTACTGTGGCTGGAACCTCTTGAATATTGGTATGTGAACTTGCTTCCCCCGTCCAGACTCAACGTCCCTAATGAGGCCCTCTCAATAGGCAACTACGGGGCCCAGGTCAATGGCGCCCTCGGGGCTGCCGGGCAGCCCACCGACGACGGCCATATCCGTGAATCCCTCTTCCACTGCAATGGTGGCGACAATGGTGATATCTCCTTCATCACC